CAGGAGGGAGTTTTTTTCCCAGCTTTTTATTTTACTTTTTATTACTTTTTTTTTTTTTTTTTTTGCGAGGCATGCATTCTCTTTTTATTCTCGCTGCAGCCACCCCGAAGCTGAGGCTTCAGCCCAAGAGCGGAAAGTAGGTGAGGCACATGAGTTTGACGGGGGTGAGGCAGGATGAGGGGCTGCGGAGAGTGTTTACCCCGGCTTAGACGGCACTGACAGGCCGTCTGGGCTCCAAAGCATGAATGAGTTGTGGAAGCAAATGAAGTGCCACGCCAGCCGACGTTGCAACCCGCAGCGTATTTAAATATAGCAGAGAACAAGCAGCCGTGGCAGCAATGCAACGCGTGCAGCAGCAGTGGCAGCAGAAGAGGAAGCAGCTGCGCAGCCAGCAGAGACCAACGCTGCGGTGCACCTAGCAAAAAAAGGGGTTATGAGAATATTTTCATTAGTTATCAGCAAGTTATGTTATAAAGCCTAAAAGAAATTTAAGGCCTATTGTTTATGGCCTTTCTTAAATGAACTGAAAATGGCATACCTGAGCAGTCTAAACAGTTTCTTTCGGTGTACCAGGATGGTCGGCAGACGCTCACAGGCTATCATGTCACCGCTGGCGTCCTCATTTGTCTGTTTGCCTGTGTGCTCGTGCAACTTTTTTTTGTATTTTAATTTCTTTTTTATTTTGGAGGGAGACTGGCAGTCAGTCAGTTTAGTTGCAAGCAAGCCTGGGCATATTTTGTGCTTCATCATCTCGGCCGCTGATGATGACACATGCGAATGACTGCAAACAAATCCAGGGAACGGCAGTTGCTACTAGTACTGCTGATGTTGCTGTTGCAAGTGCCGGTTGCTATTGCTGCTGTCATCAGCAACATTTCGCTGTGGCAGCTTCACTGGAACTTTCTCATGTAGCGAGGGCGGCTGTTTGCTGATGCAGCCAAATGCGGAAAGCGGGTGGCGCCACGCCACACCGTCCGACCTTGGTGGGTGGGTCTAGACTCAGAACCAGAACTCCCACGGTAGTTTAATCAACGAATTACGCCAGATTGGAGTGTTAATAATGCAAATCTATAGATGGCAATGCAGACTAATCAGATTAATTGGAGGGTTTCGCTGCTCTTTTTTAGGGAATGGAAAATGAAATGAGTTAGGAATGTAAAGACCTACCTTAAAATACGAAAAACTTATCTCTAATACTTGTAATCCTTATTAAAAATTAAAAAATAATAAAAACCTTTATGTAAAATACAAAAAATAAAAATGTAATCAAAGGAAAATTAGAAAACAAAGAGCTCAAGAAGTTGGTGTGGTCATGGAGCTGGGATCTGGCTGAGAATCTGATTCAGAGTGATTCCCGGACGGATGGCTTGGCCTGCTTGTGGGCTGTCCGGGGCACGTACTTGCGGTGGCAGCCACATAATGAGAGCTGGCTGCGGCACAAACGTGCGATAAACTGTGGCACGCCCCCTTATAACCCCCGCTAGACCCGACCGCCTTAAAACCAAAAACCCACCGATGAATATTCCATGTGGCATGCGTTGACAAAGCATTGGGGCCTCGTCATCTGGAGCATGAGAGCATATCATATAGGCAAAGTTTTTCCTTTTCCCCAACACATTGTGTGCGGCATACACGGAGGATATATATATGCTTTCATATATATAGAAAGTCGTATATCAGGATGGACCGACAAGCAGGAACAGGAGCTTCTAGCTCCGAGCTGGGACTCAACTTTTATCGGTCTTGTTTTGATAGTTGACTCGCTGCTAAGCCTATTAAGGCGTTTGAGTCGTCCAACAAGCCAAAGGCTTTTGCACCGACCGGGTTTCCACAGCCGATCCATCTCCTCCTACACAACCCGAGCGCACGCCCACATCCAAACCCAAACCCAAAACCCTTTGGGTTTATATTTTTTTGTGTCTCCCTAGAAAATGATAGGCCCCACAAGGGAGCTAAGCTCTCGTTGCCGTGTCTGTTGCTGTGGCTCCTGTTAATTATGGGTGGCTGGGGAGGTTGGTTAAGGGGGTGGTGATGGTGCAGGTGGCTATGCTCGTTAGTGACGTCCTCGAAGGGCCTCATCTCTCCATCGTTCTGTCTCTTTCTCCATCCGCTCTGGCTGCAATTTTCTCAAGAAGCCGCACTTAAATGGCTTCCTATGCGGGTGCAAACAAAAGCTGCCACAAACACACACACACACACACACATGTCTACGCCCGCTTTTTTAAATGTGTGTGTCTGCGACAGTTACAAAAAAGAAAAAAATTAAAAAAAAATATTGCAAAAATCGCTGCTTGAAGTGGTGGTTGAATTTCTACTTTTTCCCTTCTTGTTTTTGTCTTGCAACGTGCAAATGGAAAAATGGAAAAAGAGTTGCAAATTTGTACTGCTGCTGTTCTGCGCAACACATGCGCCATTATGCAATTGATTTTTCTTCGTTTTTTTGCGAGTTTTTCAACGCTGTTGCATTGTTCGTTTGCCTCTGCTTCTTTCTCCTCGGCTTTCTTTTATTTCGTGTTTTGTGTTTTTTGGTTCGCTAGGCTGTCAAAGGTCATTCAACTTGGCTGCTACTAATTTGCCGCTGCCCCAGCAGGTGCGCCTAATTAAGCAGATCCCCGGCTTGCAACTAAAGCCCAAAAGTCGGCAACAAAGAGGCTTGCAAACACACACACACACACACACAAACACAGAAACAAACAAACACACATAAAGGCAGGTGTCTAAAGTGACGCTTTATATGGCGTAAAATAAACTGAAAGAACACGCACACAAACAGGCGGAAGAACTGCACGTGCTCTATCTCCTCGGAGATTGCATGCAACTTGGCTGGGGCACATAACCCTGAATGCATGACTTGCAATGAATGCAAACAGGCAGCCAAGACAGACAACTCACAGACGCACCCACACTCTGCACGGAGAGGCCACTACACCAGGCCCAACCGGCAATGCCCACTCACCCCCTACCACTCCACTTTGCCCCTCCCTCCAAGGGCTTGACTGCAGCAGATTGCGTATACGCAGCATTGGCCACTTGCATTATGAAGCGCCTCCTGCTCTCGTGTCAGCGTGATAAGCCACCGCATCTCAGCATCTGTATCTCCATCTGCGACAGCTGCCCGCGTTTTGTGCGTTGATACACTGGAAATAAAGTCTAATTTTGAGCTTTTTAAAATATTATTTAAAGGTAAAATATGAGATTAAGATAAAATTAGAGAGCTTGATGACTACCTTCTTTAAGGAACCTTAGAATAGACTTATTTGGCAATCATATACATCCCCTTAGTATTGTTTTAAGTGTACCGCCCCCTTAAAAGACCCTTCCTTTCACTGATCTCCGCTGCATTCATGGCGAATGTCAAGTGTTGGCAGTTGGCTTGCCAAGATGTTTTGTTTGACGCCGGAGCAACGCCGGAGCAACGCCAGCAACATTTGCTGTGTCAAGTGGCAGTCAAGTGCATTTAACAGGGCGCGTCTTTGATTGACGTTGGCCCGCGTTCGGAACTATGGCAAAGGGCCCAAAACGCAGGGCGAAGGATGCTGGCAATTGCCAAGGAATTGTGCTGCAGGCGACCGTCAGCAGGCAGCTTGTGACTGCGTGCAATTGTCAAACGGAAACGCAGAAACAAAGACGATGTCAGCACAGTTCAAATATCAAAGTCTGGCTTCCTTTAATGCTCAAGAGCTGTAACATTTCTGGTGCATGTCAATCGCTTAATCCGGTCGAATGGCTGTTTGCAACATCGAAGTCAGGCATATCAACTGGCTTATTGCATATTTATGAATCCATCTGGTTAAGCTAATTAGGTGCGAATCGACAATGAAAGATTACAGGCTGGCTTTTCGAACATCTGCCTTTTGTCAGCCGTTACACCATAGCAAATGCCGCTTCTCTTCTCCTTTAATGATCGTTTTTACATATTACCAGCAATCAAAGTACCATTATACATCTCCCACTCACCATATACACTTTTGTATAGTGCACATCAAGAGATCAACACTTATAGGCACATCATATGGCTAAGTTAAATAATATTAACATTAAGACTTGAAGGTACCGCACCCCAAAATAGATTTAACTAGGTTTATGCGATTTTTATAGTTCGCAAGTCATTGGCAGAGTCTATGTAAATCGGCAAACTTATTTGGTTACAAACACATGCCTGCATATTCCAGACAAGATACAACTTTTACTTTTCGCCGAGCTTGAAAACATAACTCGCTTCGCAGAAAGCACGGCCAAATGATGCGAAGCAAATTAAATTACATTAAACTTGGCCGAAGCGAACCGAGCTGAAGTGGCTAAAAGCGGAAAGACCAAAAACATTTTCACGGCCCTCAGCACTGCAAGAAAGTGTGTCATTTTTGTAATATGAAAATATATGTAAGAACATAACTTTAAGTTTTTTAAGAAGGTGAAAAATGATTTTAGAATCACCTTTTAAATAGAATAAAATTGGATTTTTTGAAAATAAATTAGTCTGTGTAAGATTGACCCAAAATAATCGTAATCTGTGAGTATTCAATAATACATTTTTCTTTTTATTAATCTTTCAGAGTAAAGAATGGAAAATTGCATAAACAGAAAGTGTTTTGGTTATGTCATAAAACCCTTTTATGTTTCTTAGAAAAAGTTTGAATACTTAATGAGATCATTTTTCCGAGTGCGTGGAGAAATGCAGGCAGACAATGAAGAGCAGCCCGAGCAGCTCTGCTGGCACTTTAATTATGACAAAATTTGCGTGAGTGATAGTCAAATGATGCCGCAAGCGGCGAGCGATCGTTGGAGTGTTGGAGCGGGGAAAAGGTAAACAAATAAAGAAATAAACGATGCAGAGACAATAAATGGAAAAGAAATTATGAAATGTGTGTTCAAACTGTTACAACAAATCAAAGCCAGTTGGCAGAAGCAGTCGCAGCAACAAAAACAACAGCAGCATCTTGAGTTTAACCCAAAACCCGTTTTTTGGAGTGATCTTCTGGCGGGTTGGCTTTGCGGGTGTCTGCCCTGCCGGAGTTCATTTAGCTGCCAGCCGGCGAAGAGTCCACAACGCGCAGAGTGTCCAAAAAAAACTAGCAAGATGCCCTCCTTATGGCTGTTTATCTCGATGGTGGGTTAACTTCGCAGTGGAATTACAAAAAGGATTATCTTTTAATTGCATATTTTGTTTGATCCCCAGCTGGCTTTGGTTAGCTGCCAGGACTATCAGTACCATCGTCCACAGACTCCTTTTGTGGCAGAGACCTACCGACAGCAGCCGCAGCAGCAACAACAGCCTCATACCACCAAGTTTGTGGTGCAGACTTTGGGTCGCACTTACGGCTTGGAGACGCAGCGGGCACCGACCATCTATGAGGATCATCAGACCCAGATAGTCCAGGTCTTGGAGCCGCGTCAGGTGACGCAATATCAGCAGTATGCCTATCAGGCTCCTCAGCAGCAGTTACAGACCTCCAGCTACCAGAATCCCCTGCTGGTCAGCACTAACTACCAGGCACCACCTTTGTCCTATGCTCCTCCAGCACCGGCTGCTCCTGCCCAGCCCATCAACTACTATGTGCCACCTCAGCAGCAACAGCAGCAATCACTGCCTCAGCCTCAGCAGCTTCAGCCTGCTCCAGCTCAGACTCCCAATTACTACCAACAGCAGCCAGCTGCCCAGCCACCTGCCACTTATCTGCCACCTCAGCAGCCTGCCCAGAAACTGTTCTTCGGCAATCCCTATCCCTATGCACCAGTCACCACTGGCTCGGGACAACAAGTCCTGGATGCAGGACACGGTTCAGGTGTGGCGCCCAATGAGGTGCAAACTCAGCTGTTGCAAGCCACAGGATCGTCACCGCCCGAAGTTCGAGTCGGAGACCAAGTGGGACAGTCTCAAAGCTCCTCCCTAGATGGCTTCGACTACAAGCAGAGCTCTCCCGGAGATACCAGGGAGTACCAGAAGTTCGTGACTAGCTGCCCAGGCGGAGGCAACTGCCAGAAGAAGGAGCTGAGTCCTGGGGAGGTGGATGAGAGCCACAAGAGGGTGCTGCAGACAGTGCGAGCTTCCACCCAGCCGCGTGTGGAGGGCTGCTTCAAGAGCCCAGTGATCTATGTGCCAGTTGGAGCTGCTGTCAATGAGCAGGGACAGCTGCGACCAAAGAATCGGCGTACTTTCGAACGCAAGGAGCAGGTCCTCTCCAGATATCCTTACAACTAAAACCCCCTCTCGCTGTAAACACTCACCGAATTTCAAATCGAATTTATTAGTTGTTATGCTTAGTTGTCAGTTTGTTGATTGTGTTGTAAATAAATCGATCGATGATTAAATTTTAAAACATAAATGTTAACCGATTCGCGTGATTAATCTAACAAGCCCAAAAGTAGGCATATCGGGTTAGGGCCAGCGATTCAGCAAATATGTTAATCACATAACCTGTTGGCCGTTGCCTAATCAGCTGGCGATGGTGATATTTTATGGTGGGATTGCGTATGGCCGAGCCATCAAATGCTAATTAAGCCAAAATCAAATGCACAGGGAGAAATAAATGAGGTCGATTTGTTAAACTTTTAGTGCATTATGCAGACATGCAAATGGGGTCCCAAACTAAATGGGAATATATTCACAGCTATAAACCAGTTTTTGAAAAAGGAAATAAAACATAAATCTTTATTTTGTTTTCCATCTCATTAATAATATTTTACTGGGAGAGATTGATTTGAGTTTGTTCCATTAATATTGCCTAATGAGGCATGTTAAGTAGGTTTTTTACAATATTTAATGGGTTCCAGGTCACCAGGTAGTTGAGTATTTTTAAACACCTATAATGAAAATCTCATTTATACTTTTCACAAAAATTAGAAAACCATATTTTGATAGAAATTTTGTACCTCAGTTAACTTTGGCTTATTGAAGAACGCAAATGTATTTTAAAAGAGCTTTAATTTTGATTTTAGTTATATTTTTTAAAAATATAACAGAAGTGAGGATACATAATATCGATCATTGAACAAAGATTAACCTCTGCTTACCCCCAGATCGTTTCCAAGTTCGAGTTCACTAACATCAAGTGCAATTCAAAGGACAAGAGTTTCTTGGATTTCGAGTACTGCTACATCAAATCGGTCAATCGGAGTTATAAGTATATATCCATTAGGGCCAATATACACGAAAAACCCATTAAAGATGCAGCGGTAGGTGGCTAGAATGTTTGAAAAATTATTACAAATCCTAAAATCTATCAATCCCTTAGACAAGCTTACAATTGTTCAGAAGATTTCGGTCTTATATGCCTGTAAGCCTGAACATCTCCTTCGATGTGTGTAAATATATGGCCAGTAAGAAAAACTTGCGAGATCCTATGCTGCGTCTTTACGATGAGATCAGCACAAAGTACACCAACACCAACCATAAATGTCCATTTGATGTGGGTTAATATTCAGAGTATGAAGTTTAGATCAATAATTGTTCTTAGCGCTATTGCAGCATGATATAGAGGTTGATAAGTTACCCATTCAGTTTCTGAGCCAGCATTTCACCGACGTCCTGCCACTTCCCCCTGGTGAATATGGTTTCTTTAGCTCCTGGTCATCGAAAGGTGCCGAAAGGGCAACGGTCTGGGTGTATGGCAACATAGCATAAAGTGATTTGTATTTTCTTAAATTTATTAAATAACATTTGGTTTTTGGAGTAAATATTTTAAAAAGTAAACACTAATTTCTTCCTCTGTCACCAGCAGATGTTGCACAAAAACATCACCAATGACATGAATCTTTCATAGTGACAAAAGCGATAGATAACATAAACAACCGGTTTTAATCTGTGTTCTCTTTTACCGATTCGATTATGTCATAACCGTTAGCATAATTGCATAATAGGTTCTTAAGGCAGATGAATAGCCATTAGGCGACTGGAAGCACATTCCCAAATTTAGTAACTTTGTGAAGCCCGAAGCGACGAGACATATTAAGAATTCGAATCGGAGAATCATGAAGACAACTCTGCTGCTAACTTTTGTGGTAATCACAGACCTCAGAAATCTAAACTCGTTTCCAAACTAATGACGTCAAGTGGTTAACCCTCTGCTAGATGATGACGCTTGGTGTGACATTGAGTTTGGTTTTGGCCGGTGCTGATGATGATGGTTACCTTTATGGCCAGCCATCCGGTGAGCAGCTGCAGGAAATCCAAGCGGTCAGTCTTCCCAGGAAGCAGCGTTTAAAACCACGTGTCTACCCTCAGCATCCCTCTCAAGGCTGCGGGAATGTGGATGAGGCGGACCACGTCGCTTGCCCTGACCACCTACCAAGCCAATCGCCCCCAACCGCGTCGCATTTACAAACACCAGGAAATCGAAGTGGAAAGCTCGTTCTTTGAGCCTTCCCAGGAGCGGATCGAGGAACTCAAACGGATTCTGTTGGATCAAGAATGAAAGTTATAAGTCTTAGAAATGCAAGGAAAATTTCTGTTCTTATAGCTATTCTGTGAAGTGCCGAAAATGTTCTTTGAGTTATACATAGTCATGAATCAACAAACTTCGCAGTTTATAATAATATTCAAAGACTTATTCGGTGTACCAGAAATGACTTAAAATGTATCAGTAAAATCAAGGTAATTAATTTCTAAACTGACTCAAAGCTATGTCTCCTATTTTGGGAAGATAAATGTTTGTCAATATTTAGGTTAGAGATTATATGTTAGAAACAAAAAGAGTTTAGATAAAAAATAAATATAGCTCTTATTAAAACACTTTGTTTAATTTGTGGAAGAGAAAGATATTAATATTTACCCCGACTTGAAACACAAACAAATTGTAAAACACATCATCTAAAAATATCCAAAAAAAAGTATCATCACTTTTGCATTCTCCAGAATTGGTCTGCTTTCGGTCATAAAGTGAATGTTAATGGCTTTTGGCCAATTATATAGAATTAGATGGCTCCAAAAAAAAAGTGGCCAAAACCGCATTCCAATCGAAATGACGAAAAAACCGTTTGCAGTTAACAATAAATAAATAATTTATTTGTGAGCTTAAAAAGAAAACAAAAACATAAACATATACAGTCACTGTAGAAAGGATTTGAATCCATTTAAGCATCGTAGTTGTACTTCTTGTTATTGGCCGGGTTTAGGCTATACAGATCGTAGTCGAACTGATCCCATTCCTGGTGATCCGATCCCCTGGGCTGGGTGCTGCCCTTCTTCAGCTTAAGCAGGGCCTTCTTCTCCCTGTTGATGTCCACATGGGGTATCTGCTGGCGAGCACGTTTCTCCTGGGCTGACAGCGGCTGAGGTGCTCTCACTGGGGTGTTGGACAGAAACTGAGACTCCTCCATTCCCAGATCGGAGTCGGGACTCATCTGGGCATCGTAGAAGTTGGCAAAGTTCTGCAGCTGCATCGACTCAGCGGGATGATGATCATAGTAGTCGGGCATGATCAGGTTGTAGTTTCCAGTCAGAGTCATGGGTTCCTGTGGACTTGGGGCATAGGCAAAGCTAGAGGAACTGGCTGCGGTTCCCAGATCCCTGGGGCGACTGTAACGCGGAAGGGCTTCTGAGAAGCTCAAAAGGACAGCCAAACTGCAGCTGAGCAGAATCTTTAAAGGAGAAAGGAATAAGTACGAATATTAATATTGAGTTTGGTGAATTATTTTTAAGAAAAGTGAGTTTAAACGTTCTTTTATTTAAAATAAATATGAAGGGGACTGTAATTTTTTTCACAAGTTTAATATTGAGCAAAGTTCCTAAGTTTAATATTTTAAATAATATAATATTAAATTTAAATGACACCACAAAAAGTGGATTTCCATCAGTCTAATATTGGGTTATTGTTTATTTTTAAACCACTTTAGAATTATTCACTGTAAATGCTTACCATTTGTTTATTATTTTTGCAAGCCATTGTTAATTTACGATTAATAATGATTTTATTTAATTAACTTGAATTTAATTTTAGCACTTTGTTGGTTGTTCACACTCGCTGGAGGATCTTTATGTGTTCTCGGCTGACGTCTGACTTTATTCCCCGTCAGTGCGCTTAATTCGAGCTCTTAAACCAGTCTAATGTTCTGAGCCGTGCGATTTTGTATTTAAAGCAAAAGCCAGGCGAAAGCCAAAAGAATTTCATTTCGTTTCGATTTGTTTTGTTTGCCCAGCCTCGGCTTTATTGGCATGCAAATCCGGTTTCGAAACTTTGATTTCCAACCGAGCTGAGATGAATCTGAATTTGAATCTGTTGCTGATGCTGATTCTGATGCTGATGCTGCGACTGAGATGCCGAGGTTCGCCGGGGAGTGAGTGACACACGTTGAGGCGAGGAGCACAGGTCAGGAACACCTGAGGGAAGCCGGAGATCCAGCGGTTTGTCGGGTTTGTGGCGTCAGGTATAAAAAAAAAAAAAAAAAAAACAAAAAACAAATCTGGGATACAAAAGAAATGCAAATCTGGGCGAGAGATGCTCTCGACTATGAGGCGCTCGCGTTGACACACATTTGATGGGATGATTCATGGAATGTGCTCGGCAATTAATCCAAATTATACGTAATAAAAATATTAATTGCACTCGCTTTGTACCACTGAACTTTGTTGGTTGCTGTTTATGTGTGTGTGTGTGTGGGTTCAGGTAATTAAGTGTCAGGGGGTAGGAAGAGGGGGAATATGTTAATTAACAGATTACAAATTGGCACATCAATCACGGCTTTTTATTGCATTGCATTCTGATCTGACATTTCAATTTTTGTCACCCTCCTGTCATTTTAAGCACTGATAATCCTGCGGCGGCAGTTCAATAACATTTTTTGGAAAATCCCAGGCAGTGCCTTTTTGAAAGCTCAACCGAGAGCTGAAGTTCCAAGATGATATCTTAATACGAACAGGTAGCTCTGCTGGGACCATAAATAAAATAAGAAATTAGAACACACTTCAAAGTGAGCTCTGTTAATTGGCGGCCTTTTTACGATCACTTAAGATAAGAGTTAGGAAAATCTAAGACAGGCTGGAAGTCTTCAAAGATTCGTTTCCTTGATACCCTGTATTTGTATTTCCAATTTTGTTTATATTTTAATTAAAGGATTCTTATGATGAGTTGATTCACCTTTTGGAAAGCACTTAACTTTATAACTTTTCAAATTCTTGAGTAATATAACAATAAATTAATAATTGTTGAAGATATTTATTGCCTTTTTAATAAGTTCAAAAGTTGTAAATGCGACAAATGGATGATAATTTTTTAGAGATTATTTATCTTTATGCATTGCTATTTATTTTGATTATTTGTATATATAAATTTAAGCTGTTTTTTAAACAAGAATCTGAAGAAGTTACAAAACTAGTTAAGAAGAAAAAAAAATGTTTAAATTTTTTACAGTTTAACTCCTTAAAACTTATTATAAGTAGTTTGTAGTAACTGATAAATTTTTATAAAATTAAAGTCAAAAAGGTATTTAAATAAAAGTAACTATCTTAATAGCAGACGGATCTGCTTTCGTTTAAGCTTTCTAGCAAAGTTATTTTCTGACTACTGGGGAATTCTCAGACTCCAAAAATAAATCAAATTTCGCCAAAAATGATGACTTGCCATCCGGGTTCCGGAATCAAAGACAAATCGTTCTACATATTTTAGGCTTAGTCTATAATGGTCAGCTGGGTTTAACCACAGTTTATTTACAGCCCTCGATGGGAAGTTGGTGGCAGGCCACATCGATGTTATTTCCCGCAGATCAAAAATAAATTAGCATGTTCCAATGTTTTATATTTTTGGTTGGTTGAAATGTCAGGCGCACACGCTCGTAAAAGTAGAAAGAGAAAGAGAGAAAGGGAAAGGGGGCTGCAGAAAGAGACAGGAGGCCACCCCCTCGATCAAAACGAAGGCATAAATAAGTTTTAGTGTCTCGGGGAAACCCGTTGTCGAGTTTTTGGCATTTCTCGCATTTTTTTGGGGAAATATTTAATGCCCCCGGCAAAGTCGAGAACTCATTTAGCTTTGTTTTAAGCACTTACATATCATTTCGTTTCGTTTCGTTTCGTTTAATTTGCCTGCCATTTGTACGAGTATTTTGCATATGCATATCCACAAAGTTTTCCCTTTTGTGTGTAAATTGGCCCGTTTTTAATTTTGTATTTTGTATATTTTTTTTGTTTTGTTTTTTTGTGATTTTGTGCACATGTTTTGGAGATCAAAGACATGTTTTCGAGAAGCAGAGAAAACAATGTATTCATTTTTTGGCTTGCTCTTTTTGTGGGATAAATGCAAAACATTTTGTTGGGAATTTACGTCAGAGCCGGGATTTGTATATACTTTTACTTAAGCCTGGCATAAAATTTCAATTATCCGAGGCCAAATTCCACCCGTGGGCCATTCTGTTTGGGAGAGGGTTCTGTTTGCGTTTAACTATTTGCCGAAAAGCCCATGCCACAATGCCGATCGAGTTGCCTGCCTCAAAGCAACGTGCCCCGGAATACAACCACAAAATTACTTACTCGCCAGACACGCCCTGCCGCCCCGTAGGTTACTCCACCGCCTCTGCGGTTTCCTAGACAAACGTTGCCCGACTGCTCAGACTCAATCCCGACTGGGCGGCCAAACCAAACCAAACCAAACAGCCAAGTGTCGCCTGGAGCAGCGCAGCATCATTATCGATGCAGAGGCAGCGGCGAATGCAAATCGCATTAAATCTAATATGCAACTCGACCGCAACAAACTGTGCACATCATTTGCCATCGAAACCAAGCAAATCACCCATCCACCACCCACAATCCAATCACCGGCATCTGGTCATTGGTCAGTTTCGGAAACCTCAGACAGACTTGAACTTTCGGTTCATTGTTTTGCTGTTAATGTCCAGAGATAAAGTCACAGTTGCCGGATAAATAATCACCTCTCGCAATAATTTACTTGCACTTACCTTGATGAAATTATGATGCCTGGGTATGCTAAATTTAAGCACAGCTAATCGGTAATTGAATACCCCACAAAAGGTATTAAGTGTTTTGGAAATTTATATATTTGGCAGCTGTTGACTTGCATAGATTATTATTTACTATGAAAGTAACTAGCCTATAGAAACCAAATTGAGTTAAATATTAAAGTGTAACATAGACTCTGCCACTTTATATTGCAGCCTCATTTCAGTTCTGTATTTGTCTGAAAACTTCACCAGATTTCCTTAAAGTATCTCGCCAGTAAGGGCTTTTCCTATCCAACTTTATAAGCTACTTTTTTACCATTACTTTCATATTATCCTACAGTTTTTATTATATTTATTTTGAAAACAGAAAGCTTTTTATGAGCAAAACCTAGTGCATTCGATATACCAGCCGGGGTCGTCGATGATGCTGCCGAGTAAACAACTCTTGCAAATTCGCCACCGAGGACTTAATGAAGGACATCGCCATCTCGCCGTACATATGCCAGGCCTTATAAGGACACTGATCGAAACGGATGAGTGCCTGTTGCACAATTATTCCATTGGCCAGGATATTGGCCACCAGTACCAGCACGTACAAGCATGCCACACCCATGATGATCATCTTTTTGAAGAGGGATTCTCGGCCCGCTCGTTCCACTTGGAAAGGGCATAGACAGTGACGGCGCTCAGTGGTGCGGCTAGCACTGCCATGTTGATATCGAAACGGTAGCTTAGCACCATCACCGCCGAGTACTTGACACGCAGAAAGAACGTATCCACGAAAACGTTGAAGTTCATCTGCGGACGGACCAGAGCGGCCAGGAGCAGCATGTTGAGCGCCAGGAAGGCCACTGCTTGGCGGAGGGTCACATCTATAGAGAGCATTTCTAGCCAATCTGGGAATGATTAAAAGTTAGATATATATATCGTGAAATATTAAGACTTTCTGAGATACCTTTAACGTATTTAGTTTAATTGCTATTCAATTTTCTTTTTATTATTTGATTTATATAATAAAATTAACGATTGGCTTAGTATTAAAAAGGCCACTAGATTTATAGTCGTACTTCTATATAGTGACTAGCCAACATATTAACCATTTTTTGTTATTATTGCTCGTATATTAAAATGTAAATAAAAAATGCTTAAGCTATTATAGTTTGCATAAATCATATCAAGCATTTAATTATCTTTAAAAAAGATGTCAGGAAAAGCATATGATTGGGAAACCAATAATTGTTTGAACTTTTTATGTAATAATGAGGCTATATTTAAGCAGAGCCATATAATCATAAATTATTAAACAGAAATTATAAACACATTTAAAACCACTAAAAAATATTAAAATATATATTAAACCTCGGCTAACCACTCCCTTATCATAATATCAACCTAACTTGAGAGCTATCTTTTAGACCGATCTTGCCCAATTCCAGAGTTAACCCGCTTATTTGGGCCTTTGTCAGCTCGTTTGCCTACCCAATACCCTAATTAAGACCCACTCCCTCTGGGCACAGAGAGTCGTTTGCTTATTCAGACCAGCCCGACCATCCATCAACCCAAATAGACTTCAATTAACTGCAGTTCATCAGCCTGCCCAGCGACACGAGTATGTTCCGTCCCGCACAGTCTTTTGGCTTCAACGACTCATCGAGGCCTTTTGCAATTACTTAACACATTCGAAATGTCATCACAAATGCAATGGCAATCGCGAAAACTCAGAAACCCACACACACTAGTGGACTACAGTAATAACCTCATAATATGGGTCATTAGCGCAGGCGGGACAAGTGTTGCAAGGGGCCAACCACGATGCCACGCCCATTAATTACTTGCATTTCCATCGATACCACTGAATCTTCACACTTTCCAAAGACCAACAACAAAAGGAAAAACTACAGCAAAAATAAAAAGTAATAAAGAAAACGGAGAAAAGCGGAAAAGTCAAAGAGAGGCAAAAAAAAGCAGTAAAGCTTAATTAATTGTGCATTTTCCATGCTGGCGAACTGTAGTGGAAAATTAAATGACATGGAAAATGGGAAAATTAAAAATGCCAATAGGGAAAATCGAACACAGCGCAATCTTCGCGACAACGTCAATAAATCAATGCAAATGCCCTAACAATGCCGGCTAATTGCGAAATGATTAAGCGAAAGTGGCCGAATCAAAATTCAAAATTCATTTCCATGTGCCTGTAATGACGTGTTTCTGAGCTTGTGCTTGTGTGTGTGTGCGTGGAAAGGGGGTAGTGGCGGTGGGCGGTAATGGTGACATTGTGGACCACCCGTTGACAGCGATAAATCAGCAGGTGTAATGAGTCAAAGTTATCGTTATGCATGGATCATTAATCACACACGCATAACAAATTAAGAGTACATTATTCCATTGCCACACAAACAAGCACAAGCACACGCACACACCTTTACCTAAGAGCGGGTCGATGTGTGGGCGAGCGGTATTGTTTGCATACTTTCAGGCTTGTTAGTTGACGGTTTAGGAGATTATTTATAGTTGGGTATTTTATGTGAGACATTTACTGAGCTTGTTAGTTTCTTAGTTTATTATTAACCAAAAAAGGGATATTCAGTCCACGCTGATTTTGCGATCTAACCATCCGTATTATTCTTATTGCAAAGCCAAAAATGATCGGAATACGGAATGGATTACATCGTTGAACTCGTCATTAAATTTCTAGTCGATTTCCATATATACCTAAAAATGTTAATTAGTGATCGTTTTTCGCAAAATTTGATAATGGTACCCCTTATCAAAAATGCCAAACTTTGGAAAATAAATAATTTTCCCATATCTGCAAGAAACTGATAGGGATGCTTAGTTTTGTCGTTAGCAATGCAAAACAGTAAGCCATTTTGCTCTAAGACCGTTCTAATCAAAGTTACGATATGCCAAACACAGAAAATAAGTTTTTTTTTTGTGAAAATCTTGACTGTAATTTTTCATAGAAAGTGAGATTAATAGTGACTTCAGGTTGCATTTAAAACTCCAATCGATCGGAATTCCAACTTGATTTCCCTGTTTTTTCTTTATGAAATGGATTTCGGAAACCAGAAAAGAAAGGATTAATCGAGAAATGGGTGCCTGACGTCGCGATCCCCGAAAGGAGCTTTCGTTTATTTTGGCACCAGAACTTGGAGCATTCTCGCAGCATCTCTCTATTTACCCACTCGCTAATTGTAAATGCCAATCAGGACAGTGCCAGGACCCAGCTGACAAGACAAAGCCAACTGTCTCCGAACTGCGCCGTCAGTTGAGTGCGGCTGAGTGCTGCGGGGATAGGATTGGAGGACAGGGATTGGGACTAGGATTGAGGAAAGGATGGGCTGGCTGTCTGGAGCGCTGCAAACGGGCCAAAAAGCTAGAGAGCCGAGCTGAGTTGAGCTGGCTGATTGCTCCAATTGCCAGGCGACCGGGCACGCACGGCTGCCTCATACAAACTTGCAACTAAACAGGACCCCACAACGGCTACAGGACTCACTCGGCTACAGCAACAACAACAACAATCGCTTCTGTCAACGCACAAAAGACAGCGCTGACGTAACGAAACGGTTAATTTAGAGTACGACAACGACAACGACAACAAACGAAGGCAGTTCAAAAGCCGTCAGCGCGAGATGAGATGAGGTTGCAGATGGGCACAAAGAGAACAACACGGAGCAGTAGCAGCAACATAAACACTGAAAAAATAATGAGTAAAAGAACAAAACTCATTCATTCCCTTGGATTTTTGGATTATTAAAAACCAACTATGAGTCAACAAGCTCTACATTATTAAGACTCATCTACAAAAACAATTTAAAAACTTTCCACTTGAACTCAATTTTCATGAGAGTACTTATATATTTTCTCCCAGTGTAATAGCAGCAACAACAGAAGCAGCAGCTTTGTACCATTTGCATAGGGGCGTGTACGAAGTCCGGGATCTGCAATTACAAAGCACCAGCTCGAGATTGGAATGAAGGTTGGGGATGGGGATGGGGAGAGTTCAGAGAGGATGGGACGATGAAAACCGGAGATGGGGCTCTAGATTCTAGTCATATAAAACATTTTTTAGTGCGCTGATGCTGGCGAATGTTTAGAATTTAATTAGCCACGCTCCCTGATTATGCGTGCATGAAATTACAGCCCCGTCGAATGGCAGGCCCTATAAAATGTGTACCGAAGTGCCGATGACAACAAAGGAGCCATAGCCAAGCACCACACCACCCACCCATGGCACTCTACTCACATCTGCACGACGTCAAAGGGTCGCAGGCACTGCCACATCCAATCCAATTTCAATTTGATTGTCGTAACCAACAGCTAACGGGTACTAAACTTAAATTTTAAATATTTATCATTCGAAAGCACATAATTTTATAATAACTTCGGATATATTTTAAAGGTTTTTGACTTGGACAGAAAAGATTGCTGGGTGAGAATGTAGGTGTTAAGTTTTCTTCTCCGAAAAGTATAAATAGCTAAGGAAAGTTTGATCAAAATCATATTCTTGGTTATAATGTTTTGCGTAAGTAAGCCTTAAGAAGAAATTCCAGTACCTACTCTTTTTTTTATTATTTAGATTGTAAGGATTGGCTTTTCTTTAGAAAACACTTAAGATCTCTACGATTATAGACCTCATCTTCCGAACAATCCACCGACTATTCCGGTCATCAACTCCTTGCGGCCAATGCAAATGCAGGCAGCTGCTTCGTTGACAGGACAAACAATGGGCGACACTTCAGCACTTTCATTTTCCCGCTCGAACACTTGCGAAAAACACTCCGCCGCAGACTCAACGCTCCAGCTCACATACATTTATACATTTTGTGGATTTTTATTTATTATTTTGCTTCTTTTCTGCGGTGGTGCCACTGATGGTTCAGCTCACTCACACTCACACAGACGCCCCACAATTTGCGAGTCGCACTCAACATGAAGTGTTTTGTGCGGTTTTTTCGTGTTGCATGTTTTATGTTCTCGTACGTATATTTTTAGAAATTGTTTTTAGTTGCATGTTTTACTTTTATGCTGAGTTCTCTGTGACAGCTCGGAAAACGGAATACTGGTGATGGTGGAGGATAAAGGAAGGAGGGCTGGGGGCATGGTCTAGGTTCTCTGAGCACCACAGTCGGGGAAGCCACGATGACAGATAAGTCACATATTGTTCGAGAAGTTTCTGGTCTGCAGAAGGTGACAACTAAATCGAGTAAAGGATTATAAAGAGATAGAGCTGAAATTTAAATGGTTCTCTATTTTCCTTTCAAACCGTCCAAGGTTTTCCAAGTTATTTCTTGATTAATTTTAAAAATATGAAATTTAAAGAGAAGAATTTAATATTAAGTCTTTAGTTCTTCTTCTCAAAAACAATCTGCCACAGCTGCTGCTGTCATATAGAGATAAAAATTAAGTGCACACTCACATGCAGGACCACCAATACAGCCATGCTATCGGCCGCCCCAAAAGTATGCAACACTGTGCCCGACTCTCTATGCGCATCTTTATTAATTATGCCAGCGATTTAATTAAAAACTTAACCAGCTGTCGCCTTGAGCACCGTGGCACTGAGCAACGGGATCGTCTCGTGGCCACCAAAAGTGGGCGGAGTAAGAGTGGCTGTTGGCCTGGGAGCAACAGCGGCAACTTCCGATGGATTGCAGCTGAGTTGGCAACTTGCTGGCGCTGCAGTTGCCGGGTATGGGCTAATTAAAATGCATTGTTTAATGCAAATAATGGATTATATATAGTTTGGTAGTTCTCAGTGTTTACTTACGGCGGGTGGCTCTTGAGTTCTGGCGCCCAAACGGCTGCGGCTGGCGGCGCCTTAACGATTTTTGGCCCAGCTACGGGATATTGTTGTTGGTGTTGCTGTTGTTGTTTGGGTTCAGTCTGAATTGGCTTTGGCTGGAGGTGCAGTTGTTGGGCTGTTGGCTGTTCAGGTTGCACATTGACGCCATTGAACCCGGCCAATATTTGAGGTGGTTGACCCGCGGCATTTTCATAAACAAAAAACTCTTGGCCCCGTTGTTGTCGTTGCGGTTGATTTGTGGCCTGTTGTTGCTGTTGTTTTGGTCGGTGGTGCTGGTGGGATTGCTTCTGTCGCTGCTGCTGCTTCTGCTGCTGTTGCTGCTGCCAATTTGGCAGAGTTTGGCCCAGTAACTCGTGCAACAATGGCGCCAACGCTTCGCTTCCCGTGATTTGTTGCAGATGCTGCAGAAGGGCGGCTTCCTCAATCTTCTGTCCCTCCGCCCGATTGATGCTCAAAATGCCGGTGCTGTGGTTCCTGTAAGCAAATAGTTTGCTCAATAGATTGACCCGCTAACCAACCGCCACCCACCCATCCACACGACCTACTTTGTCAGCGGCTGTGCAAACATTTGCGAACAAACGACCAAACACACCAGCTGCAAGTGGAGCAGAACGAGCCAATTTGGATACATATTTAAAGGCTTATTAGTGCTAGACCTTCCAGTCGAAACTCCCATCGAGTACTAACTCTGACTAACTAAGGCCGCACACATCAAATATTCTACGATGCCATGGATTGTTTGCTTGATTTTGGCTTGGCATTCGATTAGGTTTCTTGTTTTCGGGCATTAATTATTTTGGAGCTCATTATACATGCACATTAATATGCAAATATTATGAAGTGTGAACATTTTGATATGCCCCATTGGTTACGGCATGATAATTACCATTTTAGCTTTACAGATCCAAAACACAGCCCGGCAGCATTTCTCCAGTGAGTGAATCTCAATTAATGGATTAAAAAAGTATGATTAATTGATTGATTTCAAATCAATTTATAACCTAAGCTGTTTTGTAGCTAATAAGCTTATTAATAACACAAAAAGCATTGCAAGAATTTCAATGTGTTAATCAATATACTTAGGATAAACTCAAGCTGTAGGCAATAAAACACATAAATAGGAATACAATTTGATTTAAGTTAGCATTTCTAAAGAAGAGAGGATGTTTACCCTGAAGAACTTGCTTACATAAGAAATATCTTTTAAGTAATAAGCTTCCTTTTAACTTATGTTAATGCCTTCGTAACTTATAGGATGTTGTACCCTCAATGAAAAGAGCTCTTAAACTCAGAGCCACAAAAACCAAGCATCTCAAACTGTTGCATTAACATACGAGTCATTTTCAAAGAGCTAACGATAAATCCCAGCTAAAATGTCAACGGGCTGGCAAAGGCTGTGAAACTGTAAAGTGGCCCTTAGCTTCATCTCCCACTTTTCCATCTCCCTCTTCCTCTCTGGATGTGTGGCAAAATGTTTTTCCATTAAATTACAATCCACTCCCTTCTGCTCCTCCTCATCAGTGGCCTTCGTCTGCGTGTTGGCTCGACCAGCAAAGTCATGAAATTTAGTGTTGGCGGCATAATTAGACCATCAATTGCGGAAAACTCATGACAGTCATGAATGGCCGACTCTCTCTCTCTCTCTGTGTATGTGTATGTGTATAGCTGTGTCTGTGTTGGTTGGGCAAAACCACAGAGGCGGGCGGGTGGCGTGGCCAGGGGCTAGGGCTAGGCACACACTGGAATAAAGTAATATGGGCCCCAAGCATAAACTCATCAGCGTCGGAAAAGCTGACAGCAATGAGGACGACAGCAGCAACAAGAGCAGTCGAAAATTGCACTGAGAGAAATATTAGTTAACTAAGTGTAATAAGGTAAGGTTTGGTTGTTTGAAGTATATTAAAATGTATTAAGATGGCTTTATCTCCTAAAATATAAATTAATTTTACATTCAAAGACTTAGAGACTTATCTCGCAGTGTGACAACAGCAGCCCCAAAAGATGGCCAAAAATTTTGACGATGGCGGGGACTGTTGCTCACGAAAAGCAACAACCACAACAACAACTAGTACTACAACAAGAACAACAATGGCCACAATAAAGTCGGAATGTAAAGCACAAATGCTACTTTTGTCGCTCATAAATATTCACTGGAATATATTCGGTTGGTTGGTCGGTCGGTATGTCCTCCTTCCAGCTTTTAGCTGTTGTCCTTGCGGCTTCGCTTTCATTTTCCGCCGCTTTTTTGGCCAAAAGGCGCAAAAGTGTGAAATGGCCAAGTGCGAGTGTTCATATACATATATTTTCTATTTTTATGACGATTTTTCGGTGACTGTTTTAGCCAGCCGAGTGTGAAAGTTAAGCACATAAATTACAGGCGAACGCTGAGAGAGGAATTAAAAGCGCAGTGCACAGTGGCCGAAAAACCAGAAAACACTTAAAATATGGCAACAACCGTTCACTAGGGGGATCCCCCAATGCTCACATACAGCAGGGGTCAAAAAATAGGATCATGGAGTTAGAAAAACTTTTCTTTATACATTTTTATCAGAATTAAGCAAATTTTGATTTGGATTTCATCTATCTCAAGTTAGTCCAAACTATATTGGCTTATTACATAAACATTTTTATATAAAACTTGATAAAGACGCTCCTATTTTTCCAATCCCAACTGTTGCCATGTGTGTAAAGTGCGGCTCGTTGGCGCTTTTTAGTAAAATTACACGCTCTAATCCACAACTTTTGAGTGGGCCCACACCACCGAAAAATGTAAAAAAAAAAATAAAATAAAGAAAAGGAAAAACAAAATCCAGAAAACCCCTAGCCGAGTAGGATCTCTCAGGGAGAGATGAAAGGCAAGTGCCGAGGGCATCAAGGGCTGCAAGAATGCGCCAGACAGCGCCAAAGACCTAAACGCAAAACAAGCAAAGCTAACACAAACTCAGCCTCAAAGTATGCAAAACATAATTCATGCTGATGGAATTGTATGCATGAATATATGAGAGAGCGAGCGAGAGTGAGGAGGTGGAGAAGAAAACCCCTGCAAATCCCAAACTCCAAAACTCCAGAGCCATAACCCCTGGGCTGGCTAAAAATCATATGCATCACGTGATTAAACGCGTCATGCATGAAAATGTAAAATATTGTGCAACCATATAGCTCACACAGACAGCGTTTGGCAAAAGGGGAACCCCCTTCTGGCAGGGTTGACTGGCTGACTGCAGAAATATATTTAAAAAAAAGGGGAAAAAAATTAGACCCCGCACATCATGTTTACTTGACTTGACTGGCAGTCTGGTATCCGTGACCAAAGCAAACGAGAGCAAACAAAACGCCTCGGTTACAAATTTTTCACAATTTTTTCCCGAAACCCCAGGACTTCCTCACCCCCTCCCTCATCCCCTTTCTCGATTTAAATGGAGAGAAATGGCGGAGATGGAGCCGAATCTGAATCTGATGTTAAGGCTTCTGCTGACGGAGATGAATCTGGGCAGCACGTGCCCCAGACGCCGCCAGACATTGGCTTGAACTTGGCCATAACCAGACGTTGTTGCTATTTGTTTTTGCCAGGGCCAGGGGCGTGGTCCTCACACTGCACTGGCAGTCGTGTTGCGGCTTTAAATAAGTCCTCAATGTTGGCTGAAGGTCAAAATCGAGCGGCAAAAGTGAAACGAATTAAAAATTAAAATGCAAACGCATTTTTTTTCAATCATTTCCCTTTTTTTTATATTTTTATGTCATAAAAAAATCGCTTTGTGTCAGAGTTTAAATGACACTTTTTAAAATTAAATTATGTTATTTTTTCCTAGAAGCTATTTAGCATAAAGCCTTTGCGTTTGACTAAGCTGACCTAGTTAAAAATCACATAGAGGCTTGATAATTGGTTTCCATTATTTTAATTTAGCAAGAAAATAAATTATTGAAATAAAATATTTTTTTACAATTTACTAACGACCTCAAAAGTCTTCTTTGACATTTTAAATTAAAACAAAAATTATGTTTTTTAAAGCTAGATTAAGCTTATTAACGAATATTTTCTATAGCTAAAGCAAACCCAATGCTCGTTCTACATCTTCACTAATAACCTTTGAAAAACAAGTACTTTCTATGCTGAACTAGATTGCACTTAGAATCCGCATTGCAACTTGTCATACAAATTATGCGCTTATTGCAATTGCGCTTTTCTCTCTCTCCCTCTCTCCCTGTTTTTCTAACTATCCGATTTCCACTCAGCCATATGGAAATGATTTCAAAGCACATCCACTTACATACATACACAAAAAACAAACGTAAAGACTTTAGCAACTTTGGCATACTTTGTGGCATGACTGGAGGAATTTATTACTAGCACTTGGATATATCATTCAGGACTTGGCGCCGGGCGCACTTCTCGCGAATTATGTCAGCGAAAAAATAGCAGAAGTTTAACTACTTTTCTACGACTTTTTCGCAATGTTTGCCGCTTAAAGAGGAGAAAGCAGAGAAAGCGGAGAAAAGGGAGCGTGAACTTTCTTCATTTGCCGCAGCACACTTTGTCGCAGTTGCCGCACTTGGCTTTGTTGATTATTTTAGTCGCCTCTTTAGTTCTACTGCTCCTGCTGCAGCCTACAAAATGTGACAAATCCTCGCATTTCTTTCTCTGGCCACGCCTGACACATATTCGCCTTTATTTTTTCTTTTTTTCCAACAGAGCTTGGAGTCCCACTTTTCCACAGCATTGCGACCAAATTATTGCGGACACGTCGCATCCACTTGCAGATAAAAGAGAAGCGGAGCGGGCCAACAAAAACATGTAAGTATCTCATTTATGAATGGAGGTTTTAGACTTGAATATACCATTTAAAATATGAGTTAACTTTACATGTTTAGCAGGAAGAAATATATAAAAAATAAATCTTTATACGAAGCAGTAAATTATTTAAATTTTATCCACATTAGAGAATGCTAACATATCAGTTTTCTAGTGGCTTGTTAGTAGTTCTAATCAAGAACTTCTTAGAAAACTCTTTAATTTCTCTCCAACTTCTTTCCTAGCTACAAATCTCCCTGACTTAGCATACCCTTCTAACCTACAAACATGCACTATATATCATGCATACAAAAATGTTAAAAAAAAAAAAAGAAAGCCAACATTAGACGTTGAGGCCAACTACTTGCGTATTAGGAGCAGCCTGTCTTCATTAGTAAGTCCATTGAAATTTAGCATGCCCAGGCCCAGGCACTGGGCAATGCATTGCATACTTTAAGACCTCCTCTTTGGACCAACTCCCAGAGCTTCGGGTGCAAAAAAAAAAAGAAACTTTGCTTTGCAGCAAATCAGCGAAAGCGCCAACAAACTATTAAAAAACTTTCGCAACAAGAAAAAGTTGCAGGACCAAGATTCCAGCTACAGCTCCTGCTACTGCTACTGCTCCTGGTGATGGCATCCATATCTGACGAGTGCCAAAAAGCAAAAGTTTCCACCGCCAGTGCTGCATACAATGTTTGTGCTGATTGCAGCACAGCAAATGGCTTTTGATTTCACAAATCAAAAGTTTCTTGTGCGCGCCGCACGTGATTTATGCCTGCGGCAGGAGCAGGTCCAGATTCAGGAAATCTGCCAGGATGCAGAATAAAGGACGCTGACTGGATGCAGTGGAAGCCCTGGAGAGGATCGCCGGCGACATGCACGAGCGCCCAGCTGTAAAAACTTAGCACTGTCCAGCCCAAGGGGAAAATGAAAAGAACTCTGAGGAATAAGAAAGATACAGAGGAAAAGCATTAGTAGGATGGCATTTTCTTGCCAAATAATCAGTTCAGTGAAAGATATTTTACTACCTTAAAGTTAAGTGACAAATCCTACCAAAACTAAGATTTTTTTCTCTGTGTAGGTAAAGAAATCCCAGGAAGAAATCCAGGGAGTGTTCCAACTAAGTTGCCCATTTTGTTTGCAGCTTAATGCACATTTAGATTTCGCTCAACGTTCTAATGGCAGCTCATCAGGCAGCCGAAAAAGTAGCAAGAATTTTCCCCCTAATGAAGGCGGCGGCGGCGGCATCCACAACATCCTTAACACCTTCCTCTAATTGCCGAGTGAAACTTGTGCCGCGCAATGAAAATAACCAGTAAGATCTTATGGGGGCCAGAAAAACAGGTGAACAACTTGCAACACAATGTGCGGGGTGTTGCATGTGGCAATTCACGTCTTAACGTCTGCAACGTCATAAATAACATCAAATAATAGCCCAGTGCGGGGTTTTGGCCTGTGCGCTAATAAAGTGCCTGGGAACAGCAAAAACAGTCAACTAACAACTAGCAACATCAGCAGCAGCAGCAACAGCAACTAACAACACCTAGCAGCACTTGCAACACCCAGCAGCAACTAGCAACGGCATTCCGAGTTGCAGTTCGCCCAGCTGCCACCCGCAGCTCCTAAAAAGTTTTGTGGTCGTGCATCCGCTTAGCGGTAAATGCACCACAGTTAACTCTTTATGGCGGCGGATTTTCAATCGGGAGAATGTAAGGAATGGAGTGCACCCTATACATTGGGGAAAATCTTAAATAGATGAATAAAGTTCATTTTTTAAATCTTTTTCTGAAAGAAGCAAATACTTTTTACTTAACGTATCTTAAATTTTTCAGAAAATGTATCATATATTATGATCATTTGCAAGATTCCTTATACTGACTGATTCTTAAGCTTGTATCTTCTACAGATCCTTGTCCTCATGAACTCCCTACTTTATAGCCCAATAATCTCCACATACCCTAGAAAACTTTAGTTTCCTACCCACTTATCAGGTGCCTGCGAAGCCGGCTAACAAATTTAGGCTAATTAGTTGGACTTAAACGCGGCTTATGTGCCGTCTAATGGCCCCCGCTCCTACCCCTTCTACTCCTTCAACTCCTTTGCCCACAGAAATGGTCTAAGCACACTTTTTGGCCGGACGAGCATTTAATATATGTAATTGCAGTTGTTGTTCTTTCAGGCCACAGACGACAACAACAACAACAACAACAGCAATGCAAAATGTTGGAAACAATTTTTCGGGGACAAACTCAAAAATTCAAGGGGAATTTGTAACAGTGAGCAGGGGGAGGAAAAAGCGGAAAATACACGCAAATTGTCAGTAGACCACAAAACATGCAAACATTAAGGCCACGTTCTGGCACTCTCCCTCCCACTCTCACAAACCCAATGTTGGCTCATCTGTTTTGCCATGTCATTGAAGCGTAAATGAGACATTTGCGACGCTTGTTTAATTAAAATAAATTTCAATTTAATCAAAATTCGTCTGTCTTACTTGGGAAGGGGTTAGCAAAAAGCAGTGAACACCGTTTTTAGGGAATTTCACATTAAAATTGTTGGCATAGTTTTTAGAGGGTCTCTGGAAAATGAATTCTATGCCATCATCGCCCCTGACAACTGTCGGTCTGTGGGCTTTAAAATGCCAGCAGGGCAAACTTTTGTAACTGCCTTTTGGTTAGCACCTCTCATTCTCCCCTCCTCCGTTTGTGTTTTGTAAGTGCCCAACTCCGTGTCAGGTGTCGTACAGGTGTCAATGTGGGCGTGGCACTTAATTAAATCATTGTGTCAACCTTTGATTAATAGTCATATAACAAATATTTTGAGGATTGAGTGTGACGTGCGGCGTCAATTTGAGTATCAGTCACTTAGACTTGAGATGGGTAGATGGGTACTTCTAACCGAGTTCAGGACTACTTTGGTTTCAATTTAAGTTCGGGTTTTAAGGCTGTATTTAAATGTATAATACAAATATCGAGAGCCCTGGCTGATTGAACTTTCTAATCTAGTTCAGGGAGAGACAAGCTAAGTTTGAATCCCTTTTACAGTCGATTTACCTCAATCAAATTTAAACAACCTTTCACCGACTTAATTCGAATTCCTTTTAAATATTGTTTACTTAAACAAGTGCTTGACCAGCAAAAAAGTTCTTTAAATATATATACAGACTTTACAACTTTTGTTTCGCGTATTTTCTCGCACAGATGGAAGTGCGAGAGCATGAGGTAATTTAATTAAATGCTTTGGCTTGAGAGAAAAGTTGTTCTAATTTAATTGGACATTTTGTTTGCACACGCCGCGAGTATTTTAACGTTGTTGTCATTGTTTCCATTTACATTTGCGGCATTTCCGCTGTTGCTTTGTTATTCGATTTAGAAGGCCACATGGCGTATGAGTGATATGCGTATAATAAAAACGTAAGCGCTAATTGCCAAAAATGCTGGTAAATGCAATTTAAGTTTTTGGCTCCGAAAAATGTTATTGCAATTGAAAAAGAAAGGCAACTGGATGCAGTGGATGTAAAGTCCGTCGAGGCCATGAAAAATGCATATTTGGGTTTAACCGAAAAATAAACAGAAGGCCAGAGGTTGTGGGGGGAGGAGGAGACGGAGACTACACACACATGAATGTTGGTAAAATTCTTTTCCACACCCCAACCTGCATTGTTGCTTTTTTGCATGCCACGGGGCGCTGAGCCGAAAAGTATGCAACAATAAATTCTGCCACGACGGGAGCTTTTCATTTATTTGAAACACCCACCCGGAAAAACCACACCCTTACACTCCATTTCAACACCCAGAAACGACGGTGTGCAAGTCGGACAAAAGAAAGCAAATAAAATCGGGTAAACTGTTGCCAAACTAAAAACAGTTTGTGCGCCAATTTTCTATCAATTTTCATTGGCGTTATCAGCGGCAGCACTTAGAAAAACGCGTTTTCGTTTTTCTCTTTTCAGAATTTATCGATAAATGATAAGAGACAATAAGTGTTTTAGTTATTAGAAATATCAACGGACTAAAGGCAATAAATCATTCGTGTAAATAGCTAGCTTCGTAGCTTTTTTTTTTTACAAGTTGCCAGAATTTTTCTTCAAGTTTAATAAACATTTTTCCTGTTGCAACATTTTCTTATATTTGGTGGTATTTTCGGTTTTTTAGAGAGAAAAGAGGATAACTTTTTCCTGAGTGAGGAAAAGGCACTCTAAGTTCCGGGAAAATATTTACAATTGTACTTTTGTGTGAAGCTCAAAATGGCAGGCACTTTGATGACCCCACTGCCAAGACTGCAGCAACTGGTTCTGGCCACTTTCGGTTTATGGGCCATAAATTCTGTCGCCTTGCCTGGCTTTTTCCCCAGCTGCATTGCAATTGATTTGCATGGCTTGGCCGGCTGTTAGTTAACAGCCAGCACAACTGTACCACATAAATGCCAGGGAATTTATGGCCGGCCAATCGAAACAATTGCCTGACTTCTGGCCGATTGCAGCCATTGAGCCACAAAGGACTCATTCTCCTGCCTGCACCTGCATTTTATGGCTGTCAACTGCAACTCCAACGCATACAACGTCCTGTCCTTACCAAAAATCCAGTCTAAGTGCATTTTTTGGTGCATCTCCAGTTTGAGACTGACATGCAAAATACTTTCCACTAGTCGAGATAAACTTGATATTTGATTTGCCAGCAGACTCAGTGAGCCATAACCAAGAAGCCAGCCAAGTGGCATTGTCCCCTTCATTCCTTCAACCATCCCATTAGCCCAAGCTGTTGTTTGGTAATTACAAAAATACGATAAGGCTCGAAGCCTTGAGTCCGCTCAGCTGGAAAGCAAATACAAATGCCTGGGCGAATATTCATGGCCTGCTGATGAAACTATCAAAATATAATGGAATATGTTATGCCAGATTATCGATAATGCATATTTTTGTGTTTGTCGAATCGGGGATTGATGGTTGGATCGGAAATATATGGTAATATTTGATAAGCGAATGCGGAATAAGAATTGCATATGAATATTATGTGAGTTGCTGGTTTTTCACTTTCAAGATACATTTTTAAATTTGTTTTTAAAAACCCATCTAAATAACACTTAATAAATAATTCAAAATAGAAAACAAATCTTAAGGGTAAACTAAAAAAAAGAGGTTTTTCCACTGTTGCCAAGCCATTTTCCAACCCACACCACGTTGTCTGTTTTTGTGAATAGAAATATGAAAATAATCCTCAAGTGTCAGCCCGAGAGATTAGTGACAACAAACCAAAGCCGCAGAGCGAAATGAGATTTTTCATTCGGTATCAAATATCCGCAAAAACCGACCAGGAAAAACCCAAGCAGACAAAAGAAAATGCTAAAAAAAGTATAGCTTAAACTAGAAGTGAAATGCAAACGAGTGCAATGCTCCGTGAATGGGCAAGGAAAAGGGAAAGGAGGTTTATGATGATGAGGTTGAGGGACAAAGTGCAACTAGGCAAATGCAAACTACAGACTACAGCTGCACAATGCAAATGCAAAAAGTCCGACAGCCAGTAAATTGCAATCAATTAAATCCGACTTCTCCCGGAGCGACGCGTGCCCCATGATCTAGGCTTAATGGGAAAAGACGCCGACGATAAAAATAGATTTTAAAATGTTTTCTTGTAATGGCTTAAAAACTTAACAGGCTTTTAAATATTTTCTCTTGATATATCATTTATTATTAAAATCCTCTGAAAACAGGATTTATTATTAGGAAATTTAATCCGTTATCTTTTGCGCTGCCTAAACCTTACATTTTTCAACTTATTTGTATGTATATTAGACCCACTGTGCTGCATTTGCAGCTGCGTTAGATGAATCCCAGATCACTCTCGGCATCGAAGAGCAGTTGTCACTGGCATTCGAAGCTATCAGGTCATCTTCGCTTGTCGCACTAGATTTCTAACTCCAAAGATCATGGGTAATAATTTCTACTGGCGGAACAAGGTGGCGGTTGTCACTGGAGCCTCGGTAGGAATAGGAGCTAGCACAGCCGTGGAACTGGCCAATGCCGGAATGGTGGTTGTAGGATTAGCTCGTCGACCGGAACTCATTGAAGTAAATTCATTATAAATCTTGTATAATTTAAGAACTAAGACTTAATATTGTTCAGGCTCTCCGGGATCGAGTCACTGGCGAGGGAAAGATCTTAGCCCGGCAATGCGACCTCAACGATGAAGAGCAGCTGACCAGTGCTTTTGCCTGGATTCGTGAAAAATTCCAGGCTATACATGTGCTGGTCTGCAATGCTGGCATACTAAAGGCCAACTTTTTAAGCGGTAAATTAGCATGAAAAATTCAAAATTTGAGATAACATTCTTCGGTTCAGAGTCCCCTACCAAGGACATTAAGGAACTGTTCGATACGAATGTCGTTGCTACGGCCAGCTGCCTGCGGGAGGCCCTGAAGCACATGGCTGCGGTCAAGGTTCGCGGTCACATTGTGGTCATGAACAGGTGAGTGTCCTTCCAGGCAAAAATATTTTCCTCTGGCTATGAACTTCAATGTTGGATGGCTGGAAAATATCGAACAATAAATCCCTTGTAATAATACATTCCATTTAAATATTTAAAAGCAATTTGCGTGGTATTTTAATGGTAGCAATGGTCTTAATTACTTTAAAACACAATGCGCTTGAGCTGTTGAAACGTAAAATACATTTTTTGTTTTCTCTTTTAAGTTGAACTTGCTAAAATATTTAAATTGAAGTAATAGTGATATACCCTTAATATTGAATTTAAGCCCAGACGATTGAACCTCAAATGAAACTGAAGGAAAGTGCAATAACCTTGTTAATTTTAAGTTCCTTTCTGATTTCAACACTTCGAGAGCTCGATCTAATTTTCCTCAAATGAAGGCTGTCCGATAGAAAGTGTTGGAGAGCCAACTGAAGGGAGAGAGTCATCAATTGAAAGCTATACTTGAAAGGATTGTCTATTGACTCGAGACAATTAGATAGAGCTACAAAATTAGCACAACTGCAAACACACACCCAACACACACACACAGGAGCAGCAGCAGCACAATTGGTTGTTGGGGGGTAATTGTTATCATTTCGGGAGCAATGTTTACCCAGCTGAAATGGGAAAATGGAGCTTAAATCGAAATTAGTGCCGAGGCCCACAAAGGCAATGTGCATACACTGATAGAGTTGGAGGTAAATCATTTTCGTACATATTTGCTTTATAGTTTTGCTTGCACTGGGCAAACAACTGACCAAAAGCTGCTGCCTTGAGTGGCAAAATATTTACCAAATTATGTCCTATAGGGTGTTGGGTTGTGTTTGGGCGGCTCAAGGGCGGCCTTAGAGGGGGTTACAGTCGGTCGAATGGGGGAGCTTAATGAAAGTGCAAACAATGCAGCCGGTCAGTCAATAGTCGTGTTCGGAGTTTCGGTCAGCTCAATGCATTTTGCATGGGCAGGCTGGGGTTTCTGGGCACAAAAGAGAAGGGTTCGCGAAGTGGTTGGCGCGTTATTTAAATTATAAAATTTAAATTTAAATTATAAAAGCCATGCGGCAAACAAACAGCACAACAGCACAAACATTTATTGATATTTAAATGGTGAAAGCAGAAGGGGAAACGGGCACGAGTACGGGCACGCATGCTGTTTTTGCGGTGCGGGTGGTGCATTAAAAGCTTTGCATCGCCAATGTGTTTGCCCCAAACAACAGCAACAAACGGCAACAACAACAACAACTCAATTATTCAACATAATTAAGTATTTTGCATTAAGCCGAATGCGTATTGCATTTGCATTTTGCATTCCTCGATTGGCAGTCGTCGATGTGATTTTTATTATTTCATGGAATCCAATGCGTACCGCATTTAAAATCAAAAATGTTGCGCATTAAGCCGCATGTTTGATTTGCGCTATGGCTTTAATTTCAAATTGCATTGATTTAATTTTAATGAAATTTACTTGAGTGCATACGCACAGCCATCCAACCAGCCAGCCCACCCACTCAACCAGATAGCAATTATTGCCATTGCCGTTTTGCCCATCAGCAAAAGGCAAAATTGAATAATTGCGTATACGCACTGTGGGTGGACAGGCATACCATGTTTGCGTGAATGTACATGTGTGTTTGCTTCTTCTTTTTTTCTGAATGGCTGTAAAATCAGTCAAAATGCGGAAATGTTAAAGCAAATTCAACAAAGCCAACGTCAATCTTATTTATTGATTGCCTTTTAGTTTATGCAAAGATGCCAATTTATTCGAGCAGAATTCCGTCTGCAAATGGCTTGAAATCACAGAATAAGATTAATATGACATGTGATACGATCGTTGTGATGATATTGATGTATAAGAATTTATTTTAAATATCTTAGTTTAATAGCTTTTTTTGTCAAAAGGACTTATAAGAATAAGCCTCCTTGAGCTGCCTCCACATCCTGACCACTTTTTGCCACCGAAGAGGAAGGTGCAACATCGAAGTGCATTTAAGGCACACCGTAAATATGCATTTTCCTGAATTTTTTATACGCATTTTTTCCGGCATAATGAGCAGCGGACACAAGCATATTGTCCGCAATCGAATACAATTGAGCATTGCGGACAGGCGGGTGAAGCGGGAAGAGGCGCGGAAAATGCGACTTCGAACTTCGCAAACGTTAATTAATGAGAAAATGTATTTATTTGGCAGCGTTGCGAGGCAAAGACAATCCCGTTCTGGAAACGTTGCTGAGGCGTTGCTAATGAGCGTGTGACGTTGCGGGGGGCGTGTGTATGTGAGTGTGTGTGAGAGGTGGGCCAGGTGGAAGGAGTAGTAAGGTGGTCGTCAATATGCATTTTGCTTAATGTCAGTGCAATAATATTAAGACTTAATTAATTAAAAAATGCAAGGGTATGATGGCCGGCCAGCATCTGCAGCATCGTCGGCAATTGTTTGCATTAAATGCCCCAGGCTCAGAGCCATGCCCACAGCCGCTGCCCCTTAGTAACGACTGCTCTTGCAACTGCACTTCAAGAAATCACTTCCTTTCATTCGGCTAAGGTGGAATTATGAAATATTTAGTTAGTCAAGTCAATACTGTAAAGTAAATTAGTACAAAAAGGCTGAAAATGAAATTGTTAATTTAATTACTAAGGCCTTTATTAGGCTTTTTAACCCTTTGAATTCATTCAATCAGATTTCAAATATAATGCAATTAATGAATAAATATTTAAAAGATTTTTGCTTTCTATAGGCTATAGCTACGGTGATTTAATTATAAAATATTTTTTTGGCAAGTGTGGGGTTTAAATTAAAAGAAGTTTACGCAATGTTTGCATAAAATGCACAGCGACATATGCAGGCAGGTGAATGCAGGACGCAGAATGCAGAAAACTGAAAACTGAAAACAGGCATGGGACATCCGCACACATTCTTTGAGGCATGCAAAATGGGTTTTACAGAAGGGGTGGAGGAAATTCGTAGTGCCCGTCAGCTGCTGACCGTCATTTTCAGTAAGTGTTCGGCAGCGACTTGTTTTTTGTTGCTGTTTTAAGTGCTCGGAATCCGTTGTGTTGACTTTATTTACCCACACATACACACCCTTTGTCTTTTTATTTCCCAACTCCGCCATGTGGACGATCCTCCTCTTCTGGACATATGGTCATATGGACATTTGACAACAGCGTGCTCGGCCACCGGATTCCGGAAGTGCCGGTGCCCTTATTCAGCGTTTATCCGGCCACGAAGCATGCAATTACGGCCCTCTGCCAAACGGTGCGCCAGGAAATACATTTTCTCAAATTAAATATTAAATTAACGGTAAGTTAAATGCAGTGCATACATGGCGCCTCATCCTTCATCTTAATTCCCTGGGAAATGCGGCAAACATGACGCGTCTGGCGATTTGCAAATGGTTAAGTCTCTTTTTCTTTTCCCTCTAGAGCATCTGTCCGGGCATGGTCGATACGGATTTTCTTAGTGTTTACTCGCAGGCGGTGGCCGAACTGCCCAAGCTGCAGGCGGAGGATGTGGCCAAGGCCGTGTTGTATGCGTTAAACACTCCTGATGGCGTCCAGGTGGAGGACATAATATTGCAGCAGATGCGGAAGGTCAATTAACCACTCGATGGATTTCTAAATAACTTTTTTTCACATTTTGTTAAATATATATTGTACATCCTTGAAACCAGAACACACTTTACATATGAGTACCTAATAAAATATTAAGAACAAATGCTTTATCCCATTACAATCAAGGATAAAATCATTATCTTGTATATGTCTTCTGGATTTTTTTTTATACATATTTAATTTTTCCTAAAGCTACAGCAGAATTTTAACTGGTAACGTAATTTTAAATTGAAATTGGCCATATTGCCACGTAATCTCCTAGCCAGTACTAGCACCGTAAGTGGAACAACAAGGGCTGGACAGCATTCAAACAGCGAGTACACCTGTCTAGGCTAGCTGAGTAACCAACCAACTTATCGACATACTGAAATTTTTGTACAATCGATAGTATTGAACAAAACATCGATTTTGCCCAGATCTAGTTGCTTGGTCACACTGGGGCTTACGATTAAAAAAACTGACTCCAATAAAAACGTGAGGTAGAAAAAGCGAATTAAGTTGATAATTAAAACACACAGCACCCGCACGGTAACCACCAGCAAATCGGGATTTAAGCGCGCAGCGGCAACAGCAATGGTTAACGGCTAAGTGTAAAAACAAAACAGCATCAGCAGCGGGATCAAAAATCCCTAAAATGCGTCCACGTAGTGCAAAATCCGATTCGGAATCGGATGTCTGGGCGCTTTTCAGGTCGAGGGCGCGGCTAAAACGGGGTGAACCTGCGATCCAAAGTGTGATTACGAAATGTGCTCCAAAGGCAAAATGATATTATAAAGTATAATATGCGTGTTACCACGTAGTTCCACACAGACAGGCAGACAGAAACACACACACACTCAGTGCCACTTACACACACAGGCAGGCAAACACAGACGAGGGAAAAAGAGAGGAAGATAGAAAGAAAGTGTTGCCCAGTTGACAAAGAACAGGTTTTAACCTAATTAACTGAATAACAGGCCGAAAATAATAATGTACCGCTATTGCCGCCAGGAAGCTAAATATTTATCCGCAAGGTCCCCGGCGGTTGAGTGTGTATGTGTGTCAAGGTTCCGGAAGTTAAGCCGCCGTAGAATTGATTTCCTATAAGCTAAACTGTTTCTGTTGTTGTTGCTGCTGCGGTTGTTTTTGTGGTTGTAGCTGGACATTGAACTTGACTCTAATTGCGCACTAATCCATTATCTATATATCTCTTCGATCTCCCATGCATATATGCATATATAGCCGTCTAGCCCAGCAGCTCTCTTCCCCCCACAAAACACACACACTCTGCTTTTGGAGCCACTTACCCGCAACCGATAGCCACAAATAAAAAACATCAGGATGTTCATCTGGGACTGGTTCACCGGAGTGCTGGGATATCTGGGTAAGAACCATTACGAGGTCCCCGAATCTCTGACATTGTGCCTTGAGGCAGCGTTTCTTGAGCGAATGCCAACAAAGCAGCCAGACAAAAGAAACCGAAATTTTACTGATGTACAGCAGAGGTCAAAGTGATAGCTCTAAAAATATGGGATTATCTCAAAAGCTAAAGGTTGAATTTGTATTAATAACGAAAGGTTTCAGACTGGGTAGTAAATTCTATTATATGACTAAGTAGCCGTTATCATTAGGGTTTTGTATTGCAACAGATTCGCTTATAATATATAATATAGTTGTTTGACAAAGAAAATTGAATTTTCTGATATAAAACCGATCTATCCGGTTTTATTAATATTAATAAAATTTGATCATACATAAATTACTTGAAGTAGTACATGTTTTCCAAAAGAAATGCGAATAGTCAAAAACGGGGTAGCAAGACTAATAATTATCCCGCATTCTCAGAGCTATTATTTCGACCTCAAATGTGTGTTTTCATGTCTGTGGCTGCGCAAACACAAGTGATCCGTCACTAGTGTTAGTTTAGCTGCGTATATTAATTAGTGACGATTGAGAAAAAGGCGCCTATTCAACATTCTCGTCGTTCCAGGTCTGTGGAAAAAGTCTGGCAAATTATTGTTCCTGGGTCTGGATAATGCTGGCAAAACCACATTATTGCATATGCTCAAAGATGATAAGTTGGCGCAGCATGTACCCACACTGCATCCAAGTGAGTATCTGTTAAGGACCAACTCTAAACTCTAAGTATAACTCTGAAATATCCTTTACAGCATCCGAGGAACTGTCCATCGGCAACATGCGCTTCACTACATTCGACTTGGGTGGCCACACTCAGGGTAAGTGTCTTATCTTAACCGGAGCTTCGGAGAATGTGCATCCAAATATTTGCTATTTTCCGAACGTGCCCACGCCTAAATATAGATCAGTATACAAGTGCGCAGGGCGACACATGCAATACAGACAGATCCACGACAATCAGCATGAAATATGGCGCAGCGGGTCACCCATACATTCAAAGGGTCTTACAATCTTTGCATTTGTTGCGTTCAATCAGCGTCGCACACTCAAAATGCATATCCAAGCAATGCCATAACAGTGTTCTTAGAATGTTTCATTCTGAGATTTGTATTCAATATTCCGACTAATTGATACCAAGATTAATCCACTAGTATTTTATAATATGAAGAATTTTTTTGTTGAGCTCACAAAACACTGTACTTATAGGTAAATTAGTATTATTCCTTGGCCCACTGTGCATATATAGGCGAAATATTTATAAATAATATAAGTATGAAGGCAAACATTCTATATAGATAACAAACAAAAACAAGATGAGTACAAAATTATGTTTGTGACCGAAGAAGTCAAATTTGCTCACCAATATGAATCTAGTATATGTGTATAAATAAGAATTATTATGCAAAAATGGTAGAACATCGTGAAATGTATTCTTGGGGCAGGCGATATTGATAAAGAAGCTCCATACTTAAATACGAGTGCAGCTCGTCATCGTTACGATAGTATTCGCTTCGGAACTGGAAAATCAGCGATCAGCCTAGCGCAACCTGAGAGCTGTGAAAAGATATCAAAACTTTTTGCCTGATAACAATGATTTGCGTTTTCTTATATAGGTTCTCTATTATGTATATTATAGGTTGTCGTTTGGAATAGTCAACTACTAAAGTACCCTTATTTTAGTTTAAATATATTATGCATGTTTTTATAATATTTGTTTTTCCTTACAGCACGACGCGTCTGGAAGGACTACTTCCCAGCTGTGGACGCTATCGTTTTCTTAATAGACGCCTGGGACCGCGGCCGTTTCCAGGAGAGCAAAAACGAGCTGGATTCGCTGCTCACGGATGAGGCGCTGTCCAACTGCCCCGTGCTCATATTGGGCAACAAAATCGATAAGCCCGGCGCTGCTAGCGAGGATGAGCTGAGAAACGTGTTTGGACTGTATCAGCTAACAACCGGCAAGGTAAACAATGCCCACTTCTGTTACATCGACCATTTAACTAATAATACATAATTAATTCTCGTTTGATTTGCAGGGCAAAGTTGCACGCGCCGATTTGCCTGGCCGCCCGTTGGAATTGTTTATGTGTTCCGTGCTGAAGCGACAGGGCTACGGCGAAGGTTTCCGTTGGTTAGCGCAGTATATCGATTAAGTCAGAATTAACAAACCACCACCACCACAACATAATTCAACAACACTCAAAACCGAAAACAACTTGGCTAAAAATAAAATTCGACAACAGAAACAGAACCGAAGGGAAAAGCCCAAACCCCAACCGTCAGACCTTAAGCAAAACGAAGCTGCGTGCGCAATTTCTAATTTATACAAAACAATTACAAATATTTCATAATAATAATAAAAAAAAAAGAAAAACACACATTAAAACAATGTACATCTGTAATTAAACGACACTGTTTAATCCAGCCACACAACCACAAGAAAACAAAAACACAACAGAACATCAAAGTGCAAACAACTTTTCTATCTAGAACATCGGGATACAATATTAAGGATCTGAAGGAAGAAAGGAGTGCGCAAGGGAAACTTTTAATAATAATTATGAATAACAAATTGTAGAAAATTAAAGGTGATTTATTTAAGAGCATGTGCTTTCAACGACGCTGTTCCATAAATAAAAATTTAGCTATCTACCTTTTATTTAAAATTTATCAATTGTAAATGTCATTACTGATTTTCCTTTATAGTTTAGTTTGGCTGCAGAATATAATAGATATACCTTCCATCGCCCATTTCCCTTCCGATAAGTGGTACATTATAATTTAGCTAAATTTTTTAAGTTGCATGTCATCGATGTACTTTGTTTCTTTTTATACAATACGAAGGGAAAACAATTTATATAAAATCGCATTTTTGTTTGAAAAAAGAATTCTAAATAAAACGGAGAAAATAATTTTGTAAAATACAAATTTGTTGGACTGTTCTTTTCTATTGATTTGGGTATATATCTGCGGAGTAAAATCTTAAATGAAACAGTCACGTTATACAAATATATTGGACTTTTTATTTCTGCAATTAAGTTTTACGCTAATGAGTCACGTTGGAGCATCTGTTGAAATTAGGGAGCAGGCTTACGGGAGGGCGAGCATGGAATCAAAGAACTGCAAACATGCTTGTCTAGGTAGAAAAATATTACAAAACTCTGGAACGGCCGGGCTGCAGATGATGATGGTGGTAACCAAAGTGCTAACTCCTACGGCAACGAGGCAGCCGTCGTAGCAGCATCAGCTGCCGTTGAAAGAGGCGCATGAGCAAGCCTTTGCGCTTGGCCCGCTCCCTGCATCAGGAGCGCGATGATCCACCCATGGAACCGGATCCCGAACCTCCTCCCGCCATGCGTCGCTTCTTTTTCTTCTTAGCTGTCAGGCTCTCCTGGCCGCTGTCCGTGTTGGAATCACCGCCATCATCACTCTCCTCCGACGACGAAGAGGAACTGCTCGAGGAGGAGGAGCTTGAGTTACTGGAGCTGTCCGAAGCGAATCCAGTGCTCTCGTTCAGGTTAATACTATCGGCGATCTGGGCCAGCTCTGGTCGTTGTTCACGCAGCACGCGCAGCCACTTGCGCGACAATTTGGGTCGCCCGCGAACAGTCTTGTGCCATACGCAGGGAAAGTTCGTCTGCGAACTAAAGTTCTGGGTAATGGCAATCGTGTCGTCCAGGTTAAGCACCACGTGCCACCAACCGCCGGGCACGAATACAGTCTCACCTTCTCCCTGAAGCACTTCAATGGGCCGGTACTGCTCCGGCCAACTGGGCAGCTGGGTACGCGGATATATAGTGCTAAACCAGGTTATGGCTTCGTCTCGTTGCTTGCCACCCATGGCACTGGTGACTTTAAGCAGTTCCTTGGGCGTTTGAGTGGGGAACAGGCACCAACGTTTATGGCCACGGATGAGCGTGTTCCACGCACTGGTGCCAAGGGGATCGATATGGATCCCAGTGCCGGAACGTGCCGGTCCCATGACGAACCACCTGTACGGTGGACGGCGATTCTCGCCGCAGTACTGGAAGAGGTCGTCGCGGAAGTACCTGGGAACCACATAGTCATCTAGAAGCTTACGCCGCCTATGGTGTTCGCCAAAACTGCTATCGAAAATGTACAGCGGGCTGTCATCGCGAGTACCCTGCATATACTCCACGTAGTACTTCATCTTCATCTTGACGCTGTAGCCCTCGTTGTCTTCTCCGCACTTGAATTTCTGGTTGCGATACTTCTTGGCCAGTCGAGCCAGTGTCCATTTCTCCAGCGCCAACCAGCCATCAGTGCAGCCGCGTATAACCACCGGCTTGTATGGCCTCTCGAAGCGCTCGATGAACTCTGCTTCCGGCACCTCCGACTCCTCGATCCGCTCCAAGTTGTCGGTAAAGTCCCAGAACGGCTCGAAATTTTCGCTATATCTCATTGCCACCCAGGCATTCTCTCCGTCCAGCTCCGGGCGGGCTTTGCGCTTCACCTCACGGGTGCGCTTCCTGGAACGCTTGGGCAGTTTGAATTCCTCGCTCATCCTGGTGCAATTGGTCAATTTTCTCCTCCTAGAAATTAACGCAGCACGACTGTCATCGATATTAGGAGGCGTTATTAGTCTGTACCTATCGGGCTCTATGGTACTTCGATATAAAGTGAGGCTTATCGTCCTAACCCTTTCGATCACTTGTATCTGCTTCCGCTTCCGTTTTCGTTTTTCAAATTTCTAACAGATTATAAACGTATTTTAACAACTAGAAATTTCTAACATATTATAAACGTATTTTAACAATTATGTATGCATTCGCCTGCATATGCAGGCATTTGCATTTGCTTTATGTCTTAAAAACTTAAAAATATTCCTAGAGAAGTTAATTCCGTCCTATTTCAGCTGTGGTGTTTATTAAAAAAATGGTGGCCTACAACGAAAAGCCAATGATATGCGGGTATTACACAGAAATAAATGTATGCATATTAAATAATGAAATCCACATTGCTTCTGAAAAACTCAGTTTTTTATATTTACATACATATGTATATAAATTCAATTTGATGAATTTAACACATTCAAAAGTTGGATGATATAAAACTGCAATCAACGGTTCACAGCTCTTATACTCATTCATAAAGTTGCTTAAGACACAGATAGATATTTTTAAAAGTAAGATAAGTTATTTTGTTACCTTAATTGTTCCATTTAAGCATATTGGCGTAGTGAAAAAATATAACAAAAAACTGATATTCTTATTAATAAAGGCACGCAGTGTGCCCAGTCGCTACATGGTAACTTAGTGGAACCCTGGTAATGCAGGGATTTCTCATGTGACAGCTGTAGACGGAGAAAAATAATGATAAGCCAAGTCGGTCGAGGTGCATTTTCTTAAAATCGGTAGAAAAATCATTAATAACCAGGATTATTCACTTTTTCAGAGCTCTACAAGGTGCCACTTCGCATTTTAGATCATCGCGTGTTTGTGAACGGCGAGATCGAGTTTTTTCTTGAGAATTTTGAGGTGCGGCGCAACGATAGTGAGGTGGAGAAACTTTTCCAGGTCACAGAAACAGTGGGATCTTTGAAGTACGATCTCTCGGAGAGGTGCATTGCATCCGGAACACAGAACCTCAACCAACTGGACACCGAGGTGAACCACCTGCTGGACGGGGTCAACGAACTCTTAGCGAAGGCGAAAGTAGAACGAACTGTTAGTGGGTCACCGTATTATCCGCCCGTTTATCATTGATTAATTGGACTTTTTCGGTTTCCAGGCCAGCACTCAGTTGAAGGAGGCGCGACTGGCACGTGAACAACGCCGGGCGGAGTTTTTGACCAATTTGGAGCACGGTTATCGCCGCATAGAGAACTCGTTCGAGGAGAAGGAGGAGGAAATTGCCGAACTTTACTCGGACCTACAACTTAAACTGAACATTGCCAAGTAGAAACCATGCTGAAGTCAACAATCGTGGACACTCGAGTGCGCCTGGTGCCATCGAAGAAGCTGTTGGAATTCCTGGACGTCCAAAAGAATAACTTCCAAAAGGTGACCGAAAATGTGGCCAAGATTATGAAGCAAAGAGGGTATACTGTTCCCTTAAGGACGAAGATAATAAAAGACAATGAGGTACCCTGCAAGCGTCCAAAGATCGACCAATCCCTTCTGGAAAAACTAACTGAGAATATAGACAGCCCATCAGAAGAACCCGTGAATGATAAACAAGATTCCCCAGGAAAGAATGATAATGAAGAAGAAAAACCTGAGGAGGTGAAAAATGTGTTGTATTTGAGTGACTTTCATTGGCTCTCCAATGAACTAATTGAATTGCGCCGCCAAGACCATTGCCAGGTCTTCCTTCATCAGCTGATTGAGTCCTGCGAACTCATTCTACCCGAAAACGAGATGAAGCCCCGCAATCCTGAACTGGAGGCCCGCTGCGAGCGTCTTCGCGCAGAACAACAGAACCGGGATTATCTGAAGATGACTAAGAACGTGGATGCCGGCCTAAAACATTACCCCGAAGACACCATCTCCTACCAGAGTGAGTATTGGATTAACTCCTTTTTTAAGTCACTCTTACTGATCGATTTTTATAACTTAGTCAAAAGCCTCAACAAGCAGATAATTGCTGTGGTGCAGTTTATCTTCTCTGTGGCCGCTGGATTTACATTCGGTTTCTTTGGAGTTAATTTAATGGTCGGCCCTCTGCCCTTCGGCTTTCGCATTCTGCTGGGCGTAATTGTGGCGCTCATTATAGCCCTGGCCGAGATGTACTTCCTGGCCAAGAAACTGCACGAATACGATGAAGTCTTGGATGCACCCAAGCGCAAACCGCAGCCATCAACGCCGGTAAAGCGAAAGGTAGTATCGCAACCGTCCGCCGATGGAAGCCAGGTTCAGACATTAAAACCTCATGCTGACTAGATAATTAAGGACTCCAAATTATTCTTTATGTACACACACACATCCTTGTATTATTTCGCGTTGCAATGTTAGGTTATATAAATATCTGTAAAAGTTTTATTTTCGGGATTGGGGATTTGGATATCGATTATATGCTACGTATGCTTGGTTCGATTATGAATGCACACCCTACTCGTAGTGGTTCGGCTGTGGATTAGGGTTGTTCCAGCCCTCGTCTAAGGCGTCGGATCCTCCACGTCCTAACCAGGCCATCAAATAGACAAACAAGACAAATGTCAGGATGCCGGCGGTCACCAGGAACCAAGTTCGACGCCAAGGCGGTCGCGAGGAAGGCGCGTAAAACCGACGTGTCCAGCGCGAGAAAAGTTCCGCAGGCGTGCGACGCTGGTACTTGTTATCGTCCCTATCCGTTCCACCAATGGGCGATTGCCGTGGCAGTAACGGTCGACGGCTACTGGCTGTTGAAGAATTTTAATTATGAATTAGACGCTTTATATAGAGTAGACATATACGTACCATAGTCACCCGCGCTGGGCGGATTAAATGCGTCCATTAGGAGCACGGAATGTGGACTGACGGCGTCGTGGCCGTTGAGCTTCGTGCGCTCTCGTTCGCCACCGAAATGAACATGGTGCACTTTGGTCATGTTGCTGACTGCCGCCTGGCTGGCCACTTTGGGCTTAATTGCCTTGAGACTGTTACTCTGATCATCGGAGAGCTATGTGAGTTTTTAAATTTAGATCGAATGAATGGATAGAATTCTTGAATGCTTACCAGGGCAAGTCCCAGACCATTCCTGCCCCAGTTAACTTGCGCGAGGAATGTCTTGAGAGCATCGGCCACCGGGGACACAAGGTTGGAGTTAGGGAAGATTTCCACACTGCAAGCGGGGCACTGGTGACCGCACGGCGCAGTATTAGCGGGCAGAGCTGCTTGGCGGGCGTTTAGGCAGTCCCAGTGAAAAACATCTTGGAATGGTAAGATTATTTTATAGTATTCAATGTTTGGATTAGCAAGACCATATGAAATTCTTACGGTAGCAGACAAGACGGACACAATCTCCCTGGTCCAAAGTCGTGCCGCATAGAGTGCAGTTTGAGATATAGTCGCTGTCCCTAAGCCACTGCAAATACGACTGCACAATACACTAAAAGGAGTAGGAAGAATAATGTAAAGTGAAGAATCCAAAAATGAAGTGAAAGAGATCCTTACCTTTGGATGCGACTGGACCATGCAATGTTCGCAAACATTGACGCGGTGCTCAAAGCAAAACTGGTTCGTCACCAGTCGCTTTGGGCACTTGCACAGACCCATATCTAGGAATTTGGGATTTTTAAGGCGCAGGAGGAATTGCACTTGCCGGCCTTGGGGCAGTTATCGCATAGCAATATCCCAATTTAGTAAATTTTTATTCAGACTTGCGGCTGAAATTTTGGTCGGAATTTTCTATGTGGCATTCACAGGTTCAACAGCCACGTATCTGTTCCTGCGCTTCGAGCGAATGCCAACCAGCTGACGAATGTCCCATATCGTAAAAGTAAATGACAAATTACGATAATAATTGTAGGCTTTGCTTGTTCTACATTTTGAAAAATTTGTTTCAGTTTGATTTTTTAATACTAATGATAGAAGTTTAAAATATGTAAATGACATAAATTTAGTTTAAAACTTAAACATTTAATATCATATTTTAAGTAACTTCTTAATCCAACCAATCTCGCATATATTCACAGGTTATAGCAGTTACATCGCCACAGTTCGAGCAGTTTTTGATTACTGGACAAATGCCACAAGGCATCTGAACTAGACCAGTGGGTGGAAGTGGGGAGTTGACCGCCCGGTAGACATAAGATCCATTGTGCTGACGTACTCTTTCCGCATTGCCATCGTACACCACCGTTTTGAGTATAGTTTCTAAATCGGCCTCCGCCAGGTTGACCTTGCTAATGCCAAGATCTGAGATGAACTTCTGAACCTCATTTACTGTACAGCACGACATCTGCTTGAATGCCAAAGGACCCTCACGCTTCTTTTCCGCGTTGTCTCGTTTCATCTGCAAGAAGCGCAGGCACTGCTGATTCAGTACATCCACAAATTCCACCTCGAAGTCCTGATCTTGGTACCACGCACCGCCTGTTATTGAAAGATCCGGCTCAAGATTGTACAACATATACACCTTCTTTTTGCTAGCCTGTAGAGGAATCAATATATATTATAGCATAATAGTGGAAAATAATATCATATAACCTACGTTCACCGACTTCACAGCCTTAATGAGCTTTTTAGTCTCAAGGTTCTTAAGGATCTTGTTCAGCTGAATCATATTCAAGTTTGACTTCATGCGTATGTCCCTTATCCAGATTCCCTTGTTGCCGCCCTCCTCAACGATCCCGTATACCACCTTCTCTTCGTTGTCCGCGTCCTTGGGTAGCGCGCTCTTCTTCTCAGGGTCCTTGGCGCGATAAACAAGCTTCTCCCCCTTTTTCAAGATCTCTATCCCGCCCTGCTGAAGGAGTATATTCAGGGCCTCGACCCGCGTGGCTGCAGAAACATCGGGGAGCGCCTTCGTCAAGTCATCGTTAGTGGCGCCGGCTGGAATGCCCTGGACCACCGCCAGCAAAAGTTGAGAAACTTCAGCCGCCATTCCTATAATTTTATGGGTATTTTTATTTATTTTTCAATATTTTAAGAAAATAACATGCTTACCGTAAAATACAGAATCAAAACAAACAGTTCGGGGCGAATGGCAAGATACGTTAGCTATAGATGGACAAATTTAGAACATTAAGAATTTCCATCGTATTAACATATTTGCTATTAATCGAATCTTTTACATACTTATGGTAATTCAAATTAAAATATAACAATAAAAACAATGTACTTTATTAATTATTATTTTCTGCAAGAGTAAAAATCTAAGCTGCTTTTTAACTTTTGAGCTTTAAACTCCATTGCAAAATGTTTTTAAACCTTAAATATGTTAGCATATAAGTTTAACTTATTTAGCATCTGTAAAATGTTATCGCTTTAATTCATATATTTTTTTTTTTAAATTTCGTGCCACGAACCGCTTATCTTCAACGGAATCGATAGATTAGCGATGGCAAGTAGGCGGTCATTTGAATAGGCTCACGCGCTCATCTATAAAAGCCGAGTCCAACTGTTTTTTCAATCGCCGAACAGATCGCTTGCCGGACGCACTGTTTCTGATTGGAGTGTTTGCTGCCTGTGCATTTAAATTGAATTAAACTAATTCCAAAACAGGAAGAGCAAATACATCTCTCTGCGAGTTCACCTTAACTGTTTAAAGCAGGTAATTATCAGATCATCACAGGGTGACCTCAATCGAAACATCATCCCACTTAAGCTCTGAGAATTTCGCAAACTTAGTTCGCGGTTAAGACTTTTTGTTGTTGTTGATGATGCAAGCAATTTCTCCACATTATGTAGAATTCAGTGTGCCGCCTCACAAAACACACTCACACCGGCGAATTGAATTCGCACACCCATACAGTCTTAAAGTTGTGTCTCGTTAGCGGAATGTGTAAAGGTGAAATAGAAGTCATTCCATACGGAGCGCGCTTCAAGTATAAAAGCCCATACCATCGCAATCACACCCTATAAAACACGCCATCGGGAATAATGCAGCAATAATAATCTCGAAATGCTGTAAACTTCCATTATCGCAATTGTTTAATGGCGCTGTGACGACGATTCCAATGGGCACAGCATGTATGATGAGTAATTTCGCATAAATGTCGTCTGTGCCGGGCTGTCTAATTCTTTGTTGCTATTTTGTTGTCTCAGTGATAAGCATTTGTTGTTGTAGGCCTGAGCTTCAATTAGTAACGGTGCTAACGTCCTTTCTCCTATAAGTTCAAGGTTAAATGCGCTGTATGCATAATATGTATTACATATTGACTGAAGTCTGGAAAAGCACTTTCACTTTCAGAACTTTTCTCTCGTGCGTTTTCCGGCGACGAAAGCTGCAAAGCAAAAAGCTCATGCTGCACGCTTTTTGCGCGTGTCACTCTTGAGCGAAAGAGAGAGAGAGGGATAAAAGAAAAGCTACTCAATGCTCACGCACTTGCATAATGGCGGTGGGAGTGGGATGAAGCTACTTTTTGTGGCGGAGATTAACTTGTCAAGGTCAGCACAGTGGGAATGGAGGTTTAAGTGGGACAATGGGATCTTTTCCTCGGTTATTTTTTTTTTTCGATTTTTTGTCGGCTGATAAGCGCCATCTCGCAGCTGATGATCGGTTTTTTGTTTACCCACGCACACATGGTGACATCGCGTGCTCATGTGATAATATATTAGCGAAAATTAATAAACACTCGATGAAACGTTGAACCTTCTGTTCCGATTACCGGCTAGCCTAGCCACTGAGCTTTATGCCAGTTAACTCCGAAGCTTCCCGCTCTTTGGATAAACTTTCCTCACACCCTACTCGAAAAAAGTTAGGGTATGTTGAGACAATATGATGTTCTTATTTTCTTAAAACATTCTCATTTTTTATCAGACAATATTACGGGCATAATTTTAAGCGAAATTCTTTCTGCTAATATTTTATGTTTAAGTCTTGATGACATGAGTTTGCTATTCTAAGACTATTATATTGTTATTAGAATTATATTGATCAAAGCTTAAAAGGTCTTTCTTATTGCAGTTAATGAATGAAAATTATCGTCTTTATTATCAAAATTAATTTCTCTAGAAGGAATGCTAGCATAGAAACAGTTAATACCCTTGAGTTATCACTCAGGATTTAGCTTGCTGTATCGAATCCTTTGCTAAAGTAGTAGCCTTGTATTAACTGAGTTTATGGAATTTCTTGATCGAGTATATCCTTCCATATACCCTTCCTGTACTGTATATAAAGCTTCTCGCGAATGTTGGCTCTTTAAGGGTGGCCTGTTGCGTCCGTCTCTTGCCTCTTTGGGTCCTAAACTCTCTCGTGGCTCTCGGGGTTTCTGCGTTTCTGCTCTCTTTTTCTTTCGGGCTACCGACATTCTGAGCGCTTTTGCTACGGCTCGGAAAATTTCCGCTTGCCAAAAAAATCTGTGCGGCAGTCGAACTTTTTGCCTTGTCCTCGCCGCGTCCGAACTTTTTGATATATCCGGATTTTCGGCTCGAACGTGGAAGATATTTTGCCAAAATATTGAAGTCGGGCAGTCGCGGCTTTGTGTGTGTTGTACGTGGTGTTGTGTGTGCAGCTGGAAGATATAGGCGTCTATATCTCAAGACCGATCTTGATCACAAAAGCGATTCGCGTTGGTTACATACTGCCCGTTCGGTAGGCAACAAAATGGTGAACGTAACCATCTACGATGAGGCCCCGCAGCTGAAGGTACGTCAATGTCACGGGCCTGACACTAGCCTAAAATGGTCCATAAAGATATACATAATCAGTTGGCTAGCGGGTTTGCCCGATATCAGAGTCATTGGGGAAAAATAAAAGGAATTATGCAATTGCAGCTGCGAAAATTCTGTCGGTCGCGGTCGGCAGAACTGACCTTCGGCGGTGCAGCGATGCCGACGTCGGTGCACACTTTTCTTCCGCATGCTAATTTCTCTCTTTTACTCTCTCTCCTGCTGTGCTTTTCTCCGGTCCTCTCTTTTGGGCCACCCACACCAAATCGACTCAAGCTGTTCAAGTACCCGCACTTTGTTTACATCAGCAAATTCTGCAGCGAAAGATTCCGAGTTCCCTTTACTATAACGTAAACAGAGAAGGAATATCTTGTTTTATTCTATTTCTAAAGATATAAACACTATCATGTTAGTTGGGTCTAGTGTCAACCCGTATCGTTATCATATTGATTAAAGTTTTGAATTAGTATACTTAATCATTGGTGATTTATTTCTTATCTATAGTTTGATCAATGTCTTATTTACATATTATTTAACAATATCAAAATGGTAAAATGTTTTTTTATAAATATAAAATCGGTGATATTAATGCCGGTTTCTTTGAGGTGTTTGTGGCTTGTCAAATATCCTAAATGGCTTTTGGAACTAAAAGTCCTCAGACTTTTTTTGGCCAAGAAATTCAATTCGTTGCTTAGTTGCTTCTATTTATAAGCACAGCGGGTAGTAAACCTTTAATTTGGTCGATAAACACCGTATCGATCCATATTCCTATAAATAATTATGGGTAATCACGTGCAGAGTTCGGTTATGCTGGGGCTTTAATTTGGTTTCATAATGTCTTGCACTATTTCACCAGGGAATGATTTCGATTTCATAAAACTAGTTTTTTTTTTGAGTGCCTAGATTGTGAAATATAAGGAAACGGTGCTGATTACCTGAGAAGTTATTTGCACATATAAACATAAGTAAATAAAGTTTAAAATAGTTTATTGGTAATAGCAATGCTAAACCCGAAACAATAAACAATCGTATAACTGCATTTAGGCTTAAATTAAAGAAGAGCGATTAATTTTCATGTAGAATTTCTAGAAATAGAATCTGAACAAAAATTGAGATCGCTAATTAATCAATTTTACTGTTCTCCTTTCATTAGCCCAACGAAGTACCGCAAAACATGGCCGCAGGAGCTGATACCCAACTGGAGCACATGTGCCGTCTGCAGTTTGACTCGCCAGTGCCCCATGTCCGTCTGTCCGGAATTGTGTGCACCATCGGTCCGGCCTCCAGCAGCGTGGAGATGCTGGAGAAGATGATGGCCACCGGCATGAACATTGCTCGCATGAACTTCTCTCACGGATCACACGAATACCACGCCGCCACCGTGGCCAATGTTCGTCAGGCGGTGAAGAACTACTCGGCGAAACTGGGCTACGAACACCCCGTGGCTATTGCCCTGGACACCAAGGGACCCGAGATCCGTACCGGTCTGATCGGAGGCAGCGGCACTGCTGAAATTGAGCTGAAGAAGGGCGAGACCATCAAACTGACCACCAACAAGGACTTCCTGGAGAAGGGCTCCCTGGAGGTTGTGTACGTGGACTATGAGAACATTGTCAATGTAGTGAAGCCCGGCAACCGGGTATTCGTCGATGACGGTCTGATCTCTCTGATTGTACGTGAGGTGTCCAAGGATACCATTACCTGCGAGGTGGAGAACGGCGGCTCTTTGGGATCTCGCAAGGGTGTGAACCTGCCCGGTGTACCCGTCGATCTACCCGCTGTCTCCGAGAAGGACAAGAGCGATTTGCTGTTCGGCGTGGAGCAGGAAGTGGACATGGTCTTTGCCTCGTTCATCCGTAACGCCGCCGCTTTGACCGAAATCCGCAAGGTGCTGGGAGAGAAGGGCAAGAACATCAAGATCATTTCCAAGATCGAGAACCAGCAGGGCATGCACAACCTGGACGAGATCATTGAGGCCGGTGATGGTATCATGGTTGCTCGTGGAGATTTGGGTATTGAGATCCCTGCCGAAAAGGTGTTCCTCGCTCAGAAGGCCATGATCGCCCGTTGCAACAAGGCCGGCAAGCCTGTGATTTGCGCTACCCAGATGTTGGAGTCCATGGTGAAGAAACCACGTCCCACTCGAGCTGAGATCTCCGATGTGGCTAACGCCGTGCTGGATGGTGCTGACTGTGTCATGTTGTCGGGTGAGACCGCCAAGGGCGAGTACCCCCTGGAGTGCGTCCTAACCATGGCCAAGACCTGCAAGGAAGCGGAAGCTGCCCTGTGGCACCAGAACCTTTTCAACGATCTGGTTCGCGGCGCTGGCACCATCGATGCTTCCCACGCTGCTGCTATCGCTGCCGTTGAGGCTGCCACTAAGGCCAAGGCTGCTGCCATTGTGGTGATCACCACTAGTGGCAAGTCTGCCTTCCAGGTGAGCAAGTACCGCCCACGCTGCCCAATCATCGCGGTCACCCGTTTCCCGCAGACCGCTCGTCAGGCCCATCTTTACCGTGGTCTGGTGCCCCTTATCTACAAGGGTAAGTCTTTCGTTTTTTAAAGTTTTAAGAATTTTGTATTTTACCTTAAATTTGTGCTTGCAGAACCCGCTCTTGGTGACTGGCTAAAGGATGTGGACGTGCGCGTCCAGTTCGGTCTGCAGGTAGGCAAGAAGAACGGCTTCATCAAGACTGGCGATTCCGTGGTCGTGGTTACCGGCTGGAAGCAGGGCTCCGGCTTTACCAACACCATCCGCATTGTGTAAGTTTTTATTCTAAGTATATTTATATTATGTAAAAAAGTAATTATTATGTCATGCACAATATATGAAATAGGTATTAAAAGATTACAGAATTATTAACGATCTTTATAGCTTGTTGCTAATCTATGTTAAGGGATCTAAATTAAGAACAACGAATATCAAATTAATCTTGGGAATTTCTCTCATTCCAGCACCGTCGAATAAACTTTGCCGCTCAGGAAGTACCTGGATGCGTCGCAGCTGTCGCCGGCGTCGCGTTGATTACTGTTAATAACCAAGTTAATTTATTAATTACACAATATTCGGAATATTGGAAACTGCAGGAGGCTGCTAGATCCGCTGTCAGAAGCGCCGATGGCCGGTCCGGTCCTCAAACAGACACACAAATATAATATACCATTGTTGAATAATATAGATTTCTTCGAAAAATTATAATAAAGTCATCACTGTATTTATGTATGTATGGAACTAAAGTAGCATTTTTTACAAAAGGTTATTTTAGGGATTTTTTTCGATGCTTTGGATTCTTGTCAAATGTAACCTGAGAGACTGCCTTTTTCCGATCGTTAATGTGAAACTTTATCCCTCAGTTTGTAATCATGTTTGACTTATCACGCTAAAACTAAAAAAAAAATTTGGTTTCGGTCTCTCAAAATTTCTTCAAAATTCATCCTTACGCCAGAATCATTTGCCGGAGGGCCAATCTGCCCCCATGTTGCAGTATTATGTCAAACCTAGGATATCGCTGTTACGCCAGCAATTGTAAAAAGAAGGTAAGTGCTTAGGCGTTTTTCTTTACGGATTTCTTACAAATCCTCCCTAGAAACCGCCAAAGTTCCAACTGGACCGCGGACCATTTGCATCCGAATTAGATTACCAGTCGCGACTGCAGTTCCAAGCACCTGCTCTGAGTGTTCCCCTCAGCGGAATCATTTGCACGATTGGACCGTCGTCCAACTGCCCAGAAGTGCTACTGGAGCTCATCCGGGCGGGGATGCGGGTAGTGCGTATGAACTTTTCTCACGGCACCCATGAATACCATTGCCAGACAATACAAGCGGCCCGTAAAGCAATTGCCATGTATGAGGAGCAAACGGGTCTTCCCAAGACCGTGGCCATCGCACTGGATACCAAAGGTCCAGAAATTCGAACGGGCAAGGTGGCCGGCGGCAGTGCCACCGCTGATATTGAGCTCAAGGCCGGTGATAAAGTCACATTGAGCAACAAGAAGGAGCTGGAAAACAACTGCACGAAGGAGAACATCTACATGGATTATCAGCGATTACCCGAGATTGTGAAGCCAGGAAATCGGATCTTTGTGGACGATGGGCTGATCGCCTTGGTGGTCAAAGAATCCAAGGGCGGTGAGGTCGTCTGTGAGGTGGAGAACGGCGGTAAGCTGGGCTCTCAGAAGGGAATAAATTTGCCGGGTGTTCCAGTAGATCTTCCCGGTGTAACCGAAAAAGACAAACAGGATCTCAAATTTGGGGCCGAACAAAAGGTGGACTTGATCTTTGCGTCATTCATCCGTGATGTCACTGCTCTGAAAGAAATCCGCCAAGGCACTCGGACCAACGGGTGAAAGCATAAAGATTATTTCCAAAATCGAAAACCACCAGGGTCTGCTTAACATAGATGACATTATTCGCGAATCCGATGGCATAATGGTGGCCCGGGGCGATATGGGCATTGAAATCCCAATGGAGGATGTTCCACTGGCCCAGAAAATGATCGTAGCTAAGTGCAACAAAGTGGGCAAACCAGTGATCTGCGCTACCCAAATGATGGAATCAATGACGACGAAGCCGAGACCCACACGCGCCGAAGCCTCAGATGTGGCTAATGCGATCTTCGATGGATGTGATGCTGTAATGCTGTCCGGAGAAACAGCCAAAGGAAAGTATCCGGTAGAGTGTGTGCAGTCCATGGCCAAGATCTGTGCCAAAGTTGAGGCGGTGTTATGGTACGAAAGCCTGCAAAACAATCTCAAAAGAGAAATACGTAACACTGCTGCCGACCATGTCTCGGCGGTAACAACAGCTATTGCTGAGGCGGCCACAGTGGGTCAGGCCAGAGCGATCGTGGTGGCCAGTCCGTGTTCTATGGTATCCCAAATGGTTAGTCACATGAGGCCACCATGTCCCATTGTAATGCTTACGGGTAACAAATGTCAGGCGGCCCAATGCCTGATTTTTCGAGGCGTTTACCCACTGCTGGTCGAGGAAATGGTACATGGAAGCTTGAATTTTCGACGCATCATGCAGTCGGGCCTGATGCTAATGGCCAAAATGAACATCCTGGAGCCGGGCCAACAGGGATCGGTTGTTCTAGTCAATGCCATGTCGGCGGAAAAGATCACCTTCCGTCTTTGTACCATCCGTCAGCAGACTACGGAAGAAAGGGATCAAGAGGAACGCTGCCGGAAATTAGCATTGCAACAGCGCTGCAAAAAGAAGGCTGAAAGAGATTCCTGTGAACAAGAAAAGGAATGCCAGAAAATGCAAGAGGCAGAGGAGTGCAAGAAGGCCGACAAATGTAAAGAGCCCAAAGAATCTAATAAATGCAAAAACGATGAGGGAGGTGAGAAATGCGAGAGAATGTTAGAAAATATGAAGTGCAAAAAAACTGAAGAGAACAAAAGAAATGAAGCAGAACTTAAGATAATAGAGGAGGAAATGACCAAAATAGTATCGGCTGAGAAGGAAAAGAGTTCGGCGGCGGAAAAGAAAAATAAGGAGGAACTTAAGAAATGCAAGCTATTTGCAGAAGAAAAGAAAAAGAAGGAACAGGTCAAAAAGTGTAAAAGGCAGGAGCAAAAGAGGAAACTAGCAGAAATGGAGAAAAAATCGAGAAAGACTGCTGCCAAAAGAAAGAAGAAAAGGGAGGTTGAGCTCTGCAAGAAAATGGCGGAGGAGAAAAAGCAAGCCCAAGAGGAGCAGGACAAAAAAAATTTAAAAGCAATATGCAAAAAGATAAAGGAACTCTCTTCGAATCCCGAAAGCTCAAATAAGGGCAAAAAATAGTTTAAATAGGGGGGAGGAGTATTTAAATTTAGAGAAATTGTGATGCTAAATTAAATATTATTCGACACATTTAAAGTAAAACCATGTGATCAAATATAAATGAATTTATACTTTTAATAAAACTTACGAAATGTTGACACCAAGATAGAAATGAACTTAAATCAAATTGCAAATGATTTCTCGCATAAAACACTCCATAATATAACCGCCAAATTTTAAACAGGAACCGGGAGACCATCGATACTTTCAGTCCGAACCGGAAAACAGCCGGTGGTCCATCTCTAATTCATCTATCGGATTGCAACAAGTAAACAAAACAGTGCTCGTGAAAACACGTTCCTTTAATTTCGTATAATTGTTTAATGAGCAAAAAGTTATAGTCTAGAGATTTTTATTGGAGGAACTAGTACCATGTCATTGCCCACGACCAAAGCCACCACGGCGACGGCCACAAACGCTGTTGTCCAGGCAGTTGAAGCGTTTATTCAAAATCAAAATTTACTGGGGGAGATTGCCGAGCTGGATGAAATGCTTTACGACCTGGTGGATATCCACAAGGACAACGAGCTGGCTCTGAAGCGGGTGCTGCAGTGCATCCACAACCTGTTGCAAACGAACTGCAGGTGGAACGTACGTTTCGGGCCCAAAGTATTCCACAAACTTATATCTGTGGTGATTGCGGATAGCTGTGAAGACTCAGCCAGTCGCCGTCAATTGGTAGCTAATTTACTGGTCTGCGTACAGCTTCATATTCAAAAGTACCCGCGGATCGAAGCTAAGTTCGTGTTGCAGCAGCTCTGGTCGCTGAGCCAGAACAATGAGCACCAGCCATATGCAGCCCAGATCCTGGTCCACCTTTTTGAAGACTTCGTCCACAACTTTGGTTCAGACTGTGCCGAGGAATTGCTGGAAGTAACCCGGAGCCTCTTGCAGTCGGAGGTGCGCGAGGATCGTCGGTCAGCTTATTTTCTCATGCACAAGTTGCAGGATATCAAGAAAGTGATAACAGCGCTCCAATGTACCGAAATTCAGTGGAACGCTTATGTGGGCATAATGGAAAATCTGGAGGAGCAGCAGTCGCATCTGGTTCTTCCCACTCTCAGCACTCTGCTGCCACGCGTCGGTTTGATGTCCAATACCTTGACTGAGGACTGGCTGGCCTGGCTAAGGATACTGTGCAAACGCCTCCTGGGCGACAATAACATCCTCGTTCTGCGCTGGACCCTAAAGTACTTTTTATCGCATTCCAGCATGGCCCAGCTATCCCGCTTCAATCTGTTGACAGAATTTTTGACTGCCACTAATCGAACGCAGCTTTATAATCCGGAAGTATCTGATTGCCTCACACAACAGCAAATTAAGGATTTTGCTTCCGAATATCCGGCAGATATTTTGCTGGAAGCCCTTGTTTGCGTTCCGTGGCATGCTGTTCCTTTGCTCCATTGGTTGTTGCTTTGGGAACTCAACCAATTGCCCGTGGTTTCCAAAGAGCTGCTGTTTCAGTTAAGCGCCCGCGTTAGATCTCTACAAAATACTATTCTGCGTGGTGCTGCTATCAATTATGTTATCTTTTCGTTCAGTGTAAGTTCATCTAGAATATTAATTCAATTTATTATATGACATTGGTCTTTTTACAGAACACAATCGACAGTTTGTCCTTGGGCGATTACCTACTGTTCATGGAGTCATTGTACAATACCATCGACCGTTATGAATACCATTATCAACTTATAGACAAAATCGAAAAGTGCAGCAACTTCGAGGAACATATTGGTAATTTCAACAGTCGTTGCTGCGAGCTCGTGGTTCAAATGGACTATAAATATGATGTTTTTGTTGCGTTTTTGAAGAAATTACGAGCATTACCAAGAGGCCAACACGGTTGGTGGCGCCTTTTACCTCTGTTCCTTCATCGAGAGTTGGATAATCCGAAACAATATTTGGATTTTTATACATCTGTCTATAATGTTGATACATCGTTTCTTCAAAGTGGTGTCAGTTTGGAGGAGATGCAGCAACACCTTCTAGATCGCTTGGATTGCCAGACCAGAGAGGAAATTTCCTTCGTGCGTGAGCACTGCGTGGATTTCTTTGTTAAGATAAATTTACAAATATGGAACAAGTTCGACGAATTAAAGCTAAACCCCTTGGAACTTTTGGATCAGGGCACTGATGACACATTTTCCACCATGACGAATACCTTATCGAGTCATAAAGAACCATTGGCAGATGAGAACGTGTTGCCTGCTCTGATTTCCCGATTGGGAAAACTAAAGTGCCGGGAAACGTAAGTATTAAACATGAAAGATAAATTTTTTTGCTTACATATTTATTATTTAAATCTTAGGCAAAATATCCTGAAATATGCGGTAAATAATCTTTCTGCCGAAGAGTATGAGTATTGCGTTGTGGAGGTTTTGCAAAGAAACACATTCTTATTGGGTACCATGGACTGCGCTGAGTATATTAAAGCACCGCCTTCGTATGTTCTAAAAAGATTGCTAGAAGGAGAAACCACTACTGGCGATGCACGGTATTATATTATATATGTTGTTTTAGATTTAACGACACTCTTAATATAACGTTATAACAAATCCCCAGCATAGAACGCGCCTTTGAGTATACGATTGGGCAACGCGCAGATACAGAAGCCATGGACCGAGTCCAATTTATTAATTATGCCAAGACAAATAATAGCTTAGATACAAGCTACATATGTGACGATTTGCTGAGAACTAACAATGAGCTCTCCAAAAAGAAACCACGCTATTTCGCCAACTGCAAGGAACACAGAACGAAAATGCGAATTGGCAAAGCTCTATTGGACCTAAGCGATAGATGGAAATGGTCAAACGAATTGTGGGATGCCGCTTTGTTTCCCGGCGATCAGCCCAATATATGCTTTATTTACGAGTACCTTGTTGCAAAAATGTTGCCATGCATCGATCCCTTGTTAGAGAAATTGAAGCTGCTGGGAACTCTTAAGCCCAGCCAACAAATGTCTCTTATCTCTGTCGTCCACATATACTGTTTGTCCTTTTGGGCAAACCTAAAAATAGAGCAACTTTCCGAAATCTTTGCCGTCCTACTACCTCTCACAATGGGCGCGAATTTTCAGACTCGTCTGCTGGCCCAATTGGTTCTGCATCGTCTTTGTACTAAGTGCGAAGTTGAGAGGTAATCTTCTGTTTATAGCATCGATTATTCGAAGATGCTACTAATTTGTTTATATTTTCAGCATTCAAATGTCAGTAGATGCATTAAAGAGGTCAATTGAAGTAACGTTAGGCGAAAAATTGAAAGAGTTTCAAAGCGAGGCTCGCCTTTTGTTACCAGAACTTGGCTTAGAATGCCCTTATTCCGTTTCTGACGCTATTCTTCAAATGACAAATGCACCCTTTGATGAAAACATTACTTTCGTTGGCTGTAGGTACGCTTTTAGAGAAAAACTGAAACGAGCTTGTGAAACATTTAAAGCGAAAAAGTCAGAAATGACACCTGAGTTGGCTTCGCCTTTGGGTGCAATAAACGGTAATGTGCAGAGAAAGATGAATCCCATTGGTGATATATATCCAGAGAGTGACGCAGTCGAGACGAGAAAAGCTTTGGATAACGAGCTCATTGTTGTGGCTTCCCTTATAGACAAACTCCCGAATTTGGGTGGACTGGCGCGCACCTGTGAAGTGCTTGGTGTTAAGACGCTGATATTGGGTTTGAAATCACAGGCGGAGAAAAGCGATTTCACCAACTTGAGGTATTTATATATATTGTAATATCTGTTCAACTACATATAATTTATTGCTTTTAAATATAATCTTTTAGCATGACTGCTGAGAAAACTTTAAACATACTTGAAGTGAAAACGGAAGCACTGGTTGAATTTCTGCTGGAAAAGCAAATGGAGGGATTTAAAATCGTTGGGGCCGAGCAAACCTCACATAGTACAAGCTTTGTAGACTTTAAGTTTCCCAAAAAGAGCATTCTATTGCTGGGGTAACTCCTTCGCTAATCATATTTCTTTTTTAGAAATTTATAATTTTCTTTTCCTCAGGCATGAAAAGCATGGAATACCAGCAGACTTAATTGGGTTCTTGGACTATGCCGTTGAAATTCCCCAGTTTGGATTAGTACGTTCCTTGAATGTGCATGTGACTGGATCACTCTTTATTTGGGAATATTGCAAGCAGCACTTGACCAAGCACTAAATAAATTTTTTATCCACACAGTACAATTCGCTAATTTCTTTTGAAATTTATGTTATTGTAAAAAAAGCTTTCTATATATTAATATTTAATTTTTTTTCTTAAATCAAAACATTAACAACAAATTCTGTAATTAAATTTGATTCGAATTTTACTAATGTATGATTGTATCAAACATAAATAATTACATTTTTAAAGATTACCGGCTTGTTATCGATAATATCTTAAGTGAAATGGCTAATCGATATTTTGCAAACAGCTGATTCTAAAAAACAATAACTCAGACTTCCAAATAAACAATTTTGAAAATTCGGGTAATAACGCCATGAGCTTCTCGGAAAACACTTCCGATTTGGAGTGGTAAGCACCCAAACCTTGAATAACTATTATTATACGCGAAATAAACAATTATAGGAAGGCGAGGAAAATCAACAAGTCGACGTCAAAGCGGGAGGAGGAACAGAGATGTTCATCGCGGACTCTAAAACCCAAGTATAACCAGAAGTTTTGCGAGAAGTGGCTCAAGATTTTCGATCCGTGGCTGCGACGAGCTGCCGAGGACCCCAACAAGCCCTTCTGTCGCGCATGCCAGTGCACCATGGACTGCAATCGGTGCCACCTTGTGAGGCACGAGCGGACCACAAAGCACAAGCGCAATCTGGAGGCGTTGCTCACAAAAGGCGAGGGAGCGGCGCTCCAAGAGTTTCGAATTCGACAGCAGCGTAGCAAGTATTACCACCAACGAAAGTTGGCCATGCGGCAGGAGGAAGATGAAGATCCAACGACGGAAAACGTCAATTTGGAGCCTCCCACTAGGACTTTAGGAGATTCGGTCCCTATGACGATAATTTCTGTTTCGAACTCCTGCTCAACAGTCATTGAAGAAGTGACAGTGCCCAAGCAGGAACTCCTTTCTGAGGCGGAGGCCACCACCAAGATAGCCGAATCCTCGCCAAGCTTACCCAGACGTAGTGAATCCTCCTCCGCTACCTCCAACCAGGACGGTCTGAAGCTACTCATGCAGATCCATCAGGACAAGAACGACCTGATGGACTCCTTCCGCGAACTCATGGGTAGCCAGAGGCTTCACACTCCACCGCCCAAGGAGAAGAACCACGTGGACCTGTTCTTCGAGAGCGTTAGCTCTAGCGTAAAGGCATTGTCTCCAAAGTTGGTGGCAGAGGCAAAGATGCGGGTATCGCAGTTAATCTGCGAACTAGAGTTGCGCGGTCTCAGAGAGAAAATTCCCACGGAAACTATAAATCAAAACCCATTAACAAGTAGATCTCATGTTCTTCGGCCGCCAGGACACTGTAGTCCAGCGGTGGCTGAGCAGTCCGGCTTTAGCGGGATTAGTTGAGCGTCATAGTTTAGATGAAATATTTAGTAATAATTTTTTAAGTTGAATAAAATAGATTATAAAAAAAGGCTGCGGCTTAAACATCATTAAACGTAAACATTTCAATTAAACTAGATAAAAAGTTATATGAAATGATTGTAAAGAATTTTGAATAACCTTGATTTTTCAGTAAATTGTTCAAACAAGTAGATAGTAATCGTATAAATTATCATTTTATCGATAGCTTCGATAGGCAAACAGTAAGACGCCGGTTGATGATAGTTAACAGTTGTAGTTAAGATATGCATTTTATTTGACTAATCTAAAGAATTCAACGAAACTGTAAAAATAATAAAAGCGAAAGGATGTGGAGCAGCTCATGTGTATCCGACAAAACGACTACCAAGAACGAGGAAAACGAGCAGGAGTATAATGTTTTCATTAAAGAAGAGGATCATATAAAGGTGCGATCAAAAAATAACCAGCTAATTTTAAAGTTTACAGTTTAAAGCGAGAAATATCATTTGCAGTCGGTCAGGTCAAACCGCATCAACATGGCAGTGAGGCGAAATCTGTTACCGTATTCGAAGCAAACGCCCCAGAACCGCCAGGAACTTATCCAAAGCATCAGACGAGATCGGGAAGTTCTTGGGGCCTACTTCCAACGATTGACCTGGAATCGAGAGCGAGACAAATCACCCACTGCGCCGAAAGTTTCTAATCATCCTATTCTTCAGAGAAACAGCTACGATTTGTTCTTTGAGAGTGCCTGCGTCAGTGTGAAAGGATTGCCACCCAAACTGGCGGCAGAAGCCAAGAGTCGTATCTCCCAAATCATCACCGAGTTTGAAATCCGCGCTATCTCGGAAATGGAAGCACAGCACAGCCGCCAAACGCAGGGGCGACCCATAATGGATAGTGAATCAGGGATTGTCTACGAATTCCATCCCTGCTCGTAAAGTAGGTTTGGTGTTTACCTTTAAAGTCCCTTAACTCATCAACACTACATTTTTGACGCCACCTTGCTCCGGACTTTCAAAATTCATAATAAAAATTAGAGCGATCAACATCTACTAAATAAAAAGGCGGTCATTTGGTCGCGTTTCGGCCCTAAATTATTGTAACACGTTAATTTAAAGGTGGTTCAATGGCCGGAAATCTGAAAGTATGCATCATTGGAGCCGAGGGCTGGTAGGCTTTCTCAAACTCCAACCTATAAACACATCTAAATTATTCTGGAATTGTTTTTCATAGGGGCACGGCCATAGCGGCCGCCGTAAGCAACAATGTCTTAAAGGGTGGCTTTGACAGCCAGGTACATATCTATGTTTATGATGAGATGATTCGGAACACCGCTTTGTCTGAGGTTATTAACAGTCATCACGAGAATGTCAAGTATCTGCCTGGGATTAAGCTGCCCAATAACCTGGTAAGGGAATCTTTTTTGCAGTTTTTGCACTTAGAAATTTTTATATTAAGTTGTAATTTCTTTTCAGATTGCAGTTAATGATCTTTTGGAAGCTGCCCAGAATGCAGATATTTTGATATTTTCCATGCCCCATGAATTCGTCAAATCCTATTGCAACATCTTGGCTGGAAATATTAAGGAGACTGCTTTTGCCGTATCCATGACCAAGGGCTTGATGCGCGTCAGTGGTGAGGAAATAGGGCTCGTGTCGCACACCATCAGCGAGCGACTGGCCATTCCATGTTACTCGATGATGTCTGCTCATAGTGCCATGGAAATGGCTCAGGGAAAGCTATCCGAAGTGACCGTCGGCTGCAACGAAGATGCACATGCCAAGCTGCTAACTCAAGCCATGCAAACCAACAATTGCAGAATTATTTCTGTTAATGACGTCGATGGAGTAGAGCTGTGCGGAACGCTTAAGGATATTATCGCCCTTGGAGCTGGTTTCGTAGATGGGCTTCGCTTAGGCGAAAACGCACGGTTGACAGCCATCCACCTGGGGATAAAGGAAATGATGCGGTTTATCAAGACGTTCTACCCCTCCGCCAAAATGTCTACATTCTACGAAAGCTGCGGAGTAGCTAACACGGTAGCTTCAAGCTTTGGTAAGTACAAGGATAACAATATATATTTATTTAGTAAGTAATGATTTTAATTTGCGTTTATACAGTCGATAAGAATGCCACCTTTGCAAAAAGCCTTGTAACCTCGGGCAAAACAATTGAGGAAATAGAAGCCAACCTACTTCAAGGCCGCAAGTTATTAGGACCTATGGTGGCCAGTGATGTGAATGGATTTTTGGAGAAGGAACTCTTGCAACACGAGTAAGCGGGGGCTGCAGTAAATAATTAAAAACTTTATTGATTTCAATCCCTTTCGAAATAGATTTCCTCTTTTTACGGCTATCCACCTCATATGTCAAAGCGAGGCTCCGCCAGAACTGATGGTAGAAGCTCTGAGAAATCACCCAGACCTAAGGTAAAAAACAATGTTCAAGATAAACTTAACCTATCCTTATCCTATCTCAGCAATTCATCTATATCGCATTTACTAAGCCACGAGTCGGAGAAGGGCGAGCAAAATAAAGACCATGTGCTGGATCAAGTGGCTGACACCCTGCCCAAGCTGAGAAGCGCTTTAGATAAGGTTTTGGCTAGAGCGGGCAACGAAAATTTTAAGGACCTTAAAGTGACGGAAGACTGGACAGAAGTCAACGAGTACGACACCGAGGAGACGACTTCGAGACAACTTGCATCACAGGATTCCTCCCTTGAAGCCGAAGAAATGCCAAGCCGACTGAGTGTGCAAGCTACGCGTCTTCATAATGACATCCGGGACGGAAATGTGCAGGTGGCCTTCAAAATGGACATTGATGAAGGCTATAGACAAGTGCAGCTCTTGCTGGAAGAAGATCGAGATAGCGCTAGGACCCTGTCCCTCATGTCACCTAGAATGGCTGCAGGCCAAGAGGATGACAATACTAAAACACATAAAGTACACTATATGGACTCATCCGTAGAATCTGATCGCATGGCCGAAGAAAGCATTAACGATACAACGGATATACTAGACGTGAGTTCGGAGTCTGAACCTCTAAATTTGTCCAACCAAAAAAGCGAACATTTCGATCATGGAGAGCCAAGTCCTTCAAAGCTTCTAAAGATGGCCGAACTAAAATCTGATATAGACCAACAAGAAGCGGTTAATATTAAAGCTCAGGAGAATCTAATAAAATCTATTAGGCAGACTATTCAAGCTCTTGGTGATAAGGAAAAAATGGAAAAAATAATTGCCCAAAGTCAAATGGAGGACGAAACTTTACAGTTAAAAAACCAAGTGGACGATGCAGATTTTGAACTGAAAAGTAAAATTAAAACAGATAATCCCCAAATGGAGGAGGGTGAATCTTCTCAACTGATTAGCGAAATGGAGGAGAAAAACTCTCAGCTTAAAGGCGAAATTGAGGATGAAACTTATCAACTGAAAGGTGAAATGAGTGAAGAAACTTCTGAACTGAATAACCCATTGGAAGAGGAAATAAATCAACTAAAAAATCAACCATATGAATCCGAATTTGTTGGTCTCAATCCAGAGGAAGCGCATTCTCTGGAAGAATCACAAGACAGGCAGCAACTCAAAATTAAATCAAAAGCTGATAATCTTAAAGAGCTTATGTTCGCCGATTCAGAGGAGCCTTTAGAGGCCGAGAAGCTTGTCGAAATGAAACTTCAGGATGAAAACGAATTCGAACTGAACGAGGAGCCACTCATTGGGAAAAAAGGACGTACTTACACTAAAGAGAAAATGGAGCTCGAGGAGATGCTCGAGTGGCAAAAAATAATGCAACGAGAAAAAAATAATCTTCAAGAAGATATCCAGAACTACTCTTCAGAAGAATTAGAAGATTCCAAAGCTTACGAAGACCACTCGAGGCTACCAATAGAGCATGATGATAGGTTGCAGGATTTGGATACCCATCACGATGAAGAGCTCCTTCAAGTACGGGCCGAGAACAGGGAGATCAGCGGCTCTGACGAGCTGCTAAACAAGTTTGGTGAGCGGAAGCCGTATCAATATCTGGAAGAGGCCAATACACGTTATTATAGCGAAAGCAAGGATATGGAGACTGGCCATCACGAGTGGGATTGGCTAAAGAACAGTGAATCAATTGATAATGACGACCGCACGACAGAGCCTAACGCCAAGGAAACAAACGAAACACTCAGCAAATCTGACCAGGATAGGCTAGATAAGCTGACACATCAACTAAAGGAAGCTTTGCAGCATGATTTGGATGTGAAGTCGTTAAGCCAAGGTGATGAAAACAATGAAAGTATGTCCGAGGAAGAATCGGATCCCGAAATTGCTAAGAGAATTACGGAGCAACCAAGTACCCCCACACCTGCTCAAATTCCAGCTGTGCCCTTGTCAGTTCCATCGCCCAATAAACAGTCCAACATTCCCGAGGGCTCTCCCCAGTTCGATAATCAACCCCGCTCAGTTCCACCACCTTCGCCAAGAACCAAACCTTTCATGCCCAAAGAACAACAGCCACGGCGTACAGATGCCCCCATCAAGTTCGAGGATGAAGTCAGGCAACCCGATGTGCCAGCTTCGAAAAAGAATGTCCCTGCAGATACACCCAAAACTGAGACGATTATTGATCCGATGGCTAAAGATGTCTCCACATCAAAGCCAAGTAAGCCACTGAAAACCAAAAAGGAAGCGCTACCAGCTAAACAGCGAAAACAGCGTGGTGGCTCCGCAGATGCTAAAAATGCAGACCAATCCGAGGATACGAAAAATACCGAAGAGCATCGGCAATATATAGAAAATCAAAAAGCCCAGCTCGAAAAAATGGGCAAGAAGATCAGCGTTATGCGCAAGGGTCAAGATCGTCGTGTGAACTACAGGGGCCAGGACCCCTTTAAAGGTGAACAGGATCTACACTCTAGGCCGCCGATGGACACCAGCCTCGAAAAGGACAAAGCGGGGGAGTCCCAGGGTCTGGGCCATCAGCGTCGTAAGGTGGTGGTAACACCGCCATTCCATCCACCTATTAATCCTCGAATGCGTGTGCCACGGCCACCCTTCGACGGACGGGATCATGAGTTCCATACGATGACCACCATGCCAGTGGGTCTTATTCCGGCAGTCAAGTGGCCCTCAAAGCCTGTAGCTCTAAAGCAGAACCCCACCTCCTTGGTTGCCACTATCCAAGTACAACAGTTTGGTACACTGCGAAGTCAGGTCGCACCGCAACCCTTATTAAGAATGCCCTCTGGAATGCCCCGCACGCCGACTTTTACAAAGATCCTTTGTGCCTTGCAGTTAGGACTGCTGGCTTCGTACCTGGCTAGGTGCAAAAGGGATTAATCTGTGGATTAGACTCCAATGATGTTCCTGAGCTCGGCGTTTTGAACCCCCTAATTTAAGCACTAAGATCTTCTATAATGACAAATTACTTTACATTTCATTGGAATAAAAGGTGTTAGGGTTAATCTTATGGCTATAACCAGATCAGTTCTTGCAATTGCTCCTGCTGGAGCGGCACAAAAGCCTGCCGGTAGAAGATCAGTCGGTTTTCTTGTGACTGTAGTGGCCGAAAGTTCTTTTGCAGCGGAAGACCCCGGGCGTCGCGGAGTTGCCAAAACTTTGGCAGTTCCTGATGCGAAATGGGCAGCACCTCGCCAAATACATGCCATTGAACCACTGGAGAGCATGGTGGCGTCGTTAGGGAGCCCTTATACGTAAAGAAGTTGCCTCTGTCCAGGTTGCCAAGCAAAGATCCCAGGGTGAAACGTTCCTGCACAGTGTAGCTGCTGTTAAAATTACCCAAATGGAGCAGCGAACTAAAGACCTCATTGAGTCCAGGTTGATAGAACGTTGGAGACGTCTAAAAATGAAGATTAGGTAATTCACAGACAAGGAAATTTGGCTTAGTTTAAGATATTTAGTTTTAGGATTAAACGTATTTACCCGCACAATCTTGAAGAGCACTGCCAATACTGTAATTCCGTCGCTATAGTTTTGGGCTTCGTCAAGGGTCAGATATTTGGTATTCCGATGGACTATGTGCATTTCCAGATCATACCGACGTCCGTTGAGTATGTGCTCAGAACCCTTGCTTTGCGGGGATCCCCAATGGAAGTGAACTGCCTCAACGTCGTAGCAGTCTTGTAAAAGTCCTCCCGTAACATAGGGTCTCACGCCATAAATGGTAGATGGTACCTTGAATTCCACTGTAAGATAATTAATTAGTTTGCAATTTTGGTGGAAAGTATTTAGAAATACCTGTATGTCCATTATTTGTCATGGTCACCAGATCATCAAAGAGTTCATCATAAAGGCCGAAAACCAATGGGGGCAAGTTCAGTGATATCACCTTTCTTCTGCTAATCGCAATTGGTGACTGGTCTGAACCACCGCATTGCGGATATTTATCCTGCCACCTCTCCGGTGCTTTGTAATCAAACTCATTAGATCTGAAATCTGAAATGAGATTCGGATGTTAATACTTTGTATATCTATTTCACATTGAATTTGATCTATTTCTTGGGTAATCTTTAGCTCCCACGTTTATTTATGCTGCTTGGAACAGGCGTGGTCACTTCGCAAGCAATTAGGAAGGCCGTTGAAGCTATTTCTGCACTTGCCAATTTCCAAAATCGTCTCCGCAATTTCAGCAATTTCGCAGAGACTACGGTTATGTTTAAGCGTAGCATAATTGCTTGATTTCGGGTCCGGACCATGGAAACCTCCTTTTGTTTACATTGTTCCAAACGATGGATCGCACACGCCGCTCTTATAACAATGGATGGTACTTCGACATCTACTCCGCCCCCGAAATTGACGCGCTCATTGGCTTTCATGGGGCATTTGTGGATGCAAATTTAATTATTGTTATTATTTACAAGCCACTGGGTTGTTTGCTATCCATTAGATCAACCGCGATGAGACAGTTTTATGAGCGTCGAGTGTGACATACGAGAGGGTTCGGTTCGGTTGGAGGAGATGGCTCATAAATTCTCCTATGAATCCGAAAACTACGTAATAGACAACGGTGGTCATGTACCGTTTCTGGTCGCATAGTCTCAAGATCTGGGTTATAGGGTCTGGAGATCAATTGATCGGTGTCTGGCGTCTCAATATCAAGGAGATCCACTACCGTATTGTGTTCTTCTTGGACACGACACACCTCACTGGTTTGCATTTTTGTACTCACTTGCGACGAACGGCAGCAGAAACACAATTCTCTGATAGAAGTCATCAAAAGCCGGAAAATGCATTTTCCACCTGATCACAGATCATCCGCTGTATACACGTCGTCCTCACCGATCTAGTCAAAATTCGAACCACACAGTAACCTCTGACCGAAGACCAAAGACCAAAAACCACGCACGTTTCTCTGCAGACTGAGCCGCGATCGTCTTAGACCAAAACCTTTATACCAAAGGGCCCCGTTTTGGGTTTGAGTTTCCGTCACTGGGAGAGTAACATTGTCAAATGCTCGGCGGAGCAGCAATAGATGGTAATCTCGACTCGACGATGTCATACCCGGTACTCGAGCTCCGTTACCCCAAGATTGCATTATAATGGAAACTTGGAACTCGGCTCGATAGGGACTTAAAAATAGATTACTCAAATTGAACAAATTCCTTAACATAACTTAAGTCGTCGGTCAAATATTATTTATGGGTGTCGCTAGTCGCTACCTATATAGAAAACACATTCTATTAGTGAAAACTTTTTACATAAAGTTACGGATTTTTTTTGTTTTTATTATTATAATAATGCTGGTTTTATTAATCTATATCCTTTCATTTAATTTTTAAAGCTCTTAAATATATTATATTTTACTTCCGATTTGTATTTTCGTTCTCAACGACTTAACACACCCGGCAAGAACTAGTTTCATATTTTTTAACATGTTTCCTCAAAAACTAAAAATTAATCATATTTATTTTGATCTTTGATCGTGACATCCTCTTGTAAGTCAGATATCTGGCTGGTCCTTGAATTATGTGTTAATTTTTGTGAGCTGAGCTTAGAAAGGCAAGCAGGCTGCAGACTCTTGAGATCCAGTTTTTCAGCCGTATGCCAGTTGCAGCTGCGGAAAGCGAAGAGTTTTTATTATTTCCCAGATAACACACACAATCGAAATGTAGAACATAGCTCTTACAATTTTTTTTTATTACAATACGAACTTGGAACAGCTTTCAGGTGAGTTTATATAACAAATCAGCTAAATTTAAATACCGACTCGCATAAAGCGCGTGGCAGATATTTTGGGCTTAATGCAGACGAAAATTGTGTTGGAAAAGGGTTATCAATTATGAATTAAACAAATATTTAGTTATATTAATAATTTTAGAAAAAATACATGTGAATTTAGTACGGCAATTCCAATGTCTGTAACTGTTTTAAGTAGACATGTATTTATTTTATTTTTTTACTTGCAGAAAAATTTAAAAGATTCATATTTTGTAGACAAAAAGTTGTTGCGTGTTCCAGATTTGCAATATTTTTTGTTCTACACTAAAGCAACAAGTAATTATTGCTAATTTGAAGATGCTAAATATGTGAGATTAAAAAGAAAAACGTTTAATGCTCGCTTTGTATTTAAAAAACCGAGTTGACAAAAATGTAAACAGTTCGTTTTAACTCAATTTTACTGCAAAACGAAACCAAGTAGAAAAATTTCAGTTAATAGTGTTATTGTTATTGATTTTCCCCAGTTGATTCGAAATTGAGCGTAAAACCCAGCGAATCAGCTGTTTGGCGGCAACGACAGCACAACAAAACAATTATATATCCGCCACAGCCGCAAAACAAAAACAAAAATAAAAATAAAAGAAAAAAACAAATAGCAACTGCGCCGCGATAAAATTGTTTGCCAATAAGAATCGGGCTTAGTGCGGACTGGCATCCGAAAGATACAGGAACGTGGTGGCTGCAGCTGCACCAGGAAGACAGGCCATGGTTCTCATCAAGTTCTTGAAGAGTAAACTGTAACGTATATAAAAGCCCAACAGATCAACGTGAACATACGCGAAAATCCAACAAAACATATTTAAAAACGTAGAAAAAAATACGTAAAGTTAAAGATAAAATCTACGAGAATAACAATGCGCGAAATTCAGGCGTAAGTATCCGAAGGTGTGGGGGCGTTGTTTACGTCTAGGAAGTATCTGGTATATCCAAAGCATGGTTACCTTTACCTGGTCAATATTGGTGGGGAATCTGCAAGAGAATCTGAGAACCACGACCAGACAGAGATTAAGATTCGAACTGAGACTGAGAATGAGGCGAGCAAAACACAAAAACCCAAAACGACGCCAAGCCAGAAAATAGTATCTGTGTGAATGAATGGGCCTGTTCTGTGGGGGTGTGTGTGCTCGTGTGTGTGTGTGATTATGCTGCCGATGTCTGGACATCAGATAATGCGAATTATATTTTGTTTTTGTCTCGTCATGTTGGTCGAGCCGCGCGCGTTTTTGCCGCGCTTTGTATCTATCAGATACACTATCCGAAAAATATGTGCGGAATGCGCGGTGCTTTCGGATGTCGGTTTTTTTTTTTTGTTGGCCTTCGCGGGGAGTCCGCCGCTGGACCGCGCTTCAATCGCATCCGGACGGTGTCGAGGTGAGCACACGTTCGAATTCTCAAGTCTCCGGCTCTCGGCAGTTGTTAACATATATATCTACATATATACCTTCACCCTTATCATGAGGTATATATTACTCTCAAGATTGCCGTTCACCCCTAGCTAATCGGGCGGTTAAGACCCGTACTAAATTTTACAGTGGATAAACTAAATAAAATAAACCAACAAGGCCAGATAAGGCACTGAGCACCAAGTGCCACTGCATCGACATACGCAGAAAACCGGTGACCCACCGTGGGATCTAACTATATCTACAAAAGCATACTGCAAACACCCAAATAGTGCTCCTATTACATTATTAAGAGTGCTTAATCAGAATAAAACTAGCTTCGATTTAATAACATTTATAAACATTACCGTATTACCTCTTTTTCCACGAAATGGTAATGGAACTACTTTGGTTTCATCTATTTAACTATTTAGGATAGTATAACACCTTTCTTATTTAAAAATTACTCTCATAGCGTCATTTATAAGAACCAACTAATGTGAATTGTTTTTTAGCTCTCAATTTATGACGAAGACAAATCGCCTGGTGGTTTTGCGGCATGGCGAAAGTGATTTCAACATAGAGAATAAATTCTGTGGTTGGCATGATGCACCATTAAGCGAGTTTGGTAAGTCTAATCCTTAAATAACTTGTTATTATGCCTAATTTTATTCTTTTTATTATTTAACTAGGCATCAAGGAGGCTCTAACGGTGGCAATCCCTTCCCTGGCTCAGTCTCAGCTGGAATTCGACGTTGTCTACTCATCCGTACTAAGTAGATCCCGGGAAACTGCTGAACTGATACTTTGTAAGTTAAACTGCGCCTATGTCCCTATCAAGAAGGATTGGCGACTATGCGAACGGCACTACGGAAATCTGACGGGTAGTAAAAAACGAAAAGTTGCCGATCTTTACGGCGAGGAACAGGTTCAGGCCTGGCGGCGAGGATACGACAGCGTTCCACCGCCCATTGAGGAGAGCAACCGCTACTACTACACCATCTGCAGTAATCCCATATTCGATGAGGTTCCTCCTGGACAGTTTCCGCTCTCCGAATCCCTGCACATGTGCGTCGATCGGGTGAAACCAGTGTGGAAGGAGGTCAAGCGGGAGGTGCTCAAAGGTACTCGAGTTCTGATGTGCGTCCATGGAACTGTGGCACGTGCCCTCGTTCAGCACATCGAGGGTAAGTAAGCTATGGACAGAACAAATAGCCAGATTCCCCAAAGCATGATTTGGACTAACTGATTAGATTAATGGTAATGATATAATGTAATGTTTCTTACAGGAATCTCTAATGAGGCCACCGAGAAGGTTAACATTCCAAACTGCGTGCCGAGAGTCTACGAGTTTGATTTAAATTCAGGAGGCTTGGTGGGTGGCGGCATTAACCTGGGAGATCAGGACTATATCAGGCGGAAAACCGCCCAGGTGGCAGCCATCGGAGACTGATTGAGGAAAACTCCTATCTACTTTTATGGAATTTACATCGATATAAGGCCGAAGCCTCTAACTTTGACCCTAGGGCGAATCTGTTTGCTTTTATTGCTCGGAGCTCTGCTATTAAGGATATTATAAATATTATTTATTTGTCTACCCCATCTGATATTTTCGGCCAAAAATATACTATTTATACAAAATACTATAATTATGATGGAATAGATTTCTTATACATATGTTCCGAATCAAATTTTTAGTCCATTATATCCCTTTGGAAATAGAATATGTCTATGTTTTCCAAATGAAAACAGTTTTTGTTTCGGAGGATATATTTTAAAAATTAATTTTAGAGTTTCATTGTGATCTAAATAATGATCTAGTAAATGCGTTATGTAATACTTTCAGTTTGAGCCACAGCCATTTGAAGAAGCTGTATTCAGTAGTAGCTCGGTTCGTTGTAGAGCGGACTCAGGTTGTTCGGCAGGATGTAAATGTCCTCGGGACGACCATTAAACACGAAGGGACGCTTCAAGGATGTTAGCTTGGAGTCCTGCTGGGGAACTGGCATCGAAGCAAGGCCAAAGCTCTGCTGGGAACCACCGTAACCACCCATGGAAGGCGTCGAGATAGGTCTGTAGGGATTACTGGGAGTCGGTGGCCGCATTCCAAAACCTCCACCACCCAAACCAGATGTCATAGGTCCCAGTCCGTCGCCTGGAGATCCATTCACCTGGTAGACTCCTGTGGGCTTACCGTTGGCCAAAAAGTTTACGGGCAAATTAAATACGGAACCGTAGGCGGAGAACGATGGCATCGGTTGGTAGGTGAGTAGCGGTGAAAATCCTCCGCCAAATGGAGCTGTCGGCATATTGGGCAAAAACATATACGGTGTGGGCGGTAATCTTACGTAATAAATAGGTGAATTTCGGGCAGGCGACGAGTGACTGGCAGCAGGACGACGTCCACCGGCTGCTCTAGACATCACCACATCCTCGAGGTCATTGGTAGCGCCAGAAAAGGCGGGGTAGAACATATCTGGAGCCACGTAAAGAGGAAATGGGATGAGCACTGGTTGAGCATAGCCTATGAAGGGCAGCATCTTAGGCATGGCCTCATAAGGATTCCCCTGCGGCACGGCATAAGGACTCCATGGGTAGCTGGCAGAGTTTGGTAATCGAGACTCCTGTTTAGCCTCGTGCAGGAGCTGGTAAGGATCGTGTTCTTCCTCCTCCTCAGCCTTTATATCCTGTTGCTCGGCTAGGGTTTCTTGGACATACTGCTGGGCATGGATCTGCTGTCCCTGCGGCAACTGTTGTCCTGGTTGTTGTCCTGTCTGCGTGGATTGCGCATGCTTCTGCTGACTCTGTTTCTTAACCAGCTGAACGAGATTTGCGGCCAAGGATTCAGAGACCTGCTGCTCTAGCACCAGCAGAACCAAGACGATGCTCCACAAGTGGTTACCCATTTCAGGTGGTAGCTGTAATTGAATCATGGCATTGGCGTTGAGTACAACTTCTGCTGATCTCCAAGTGACCCCAAACCATACGAGCTGATTTGCATGCCTCGGGCTAGTTTCTCACACTCCAATTGCGCAACCAGCAGAATTTCCCCCCATCAGCACAGGTAAACAACGGAAAAAATATGGTCAGCACTTTGGATCACTATGGCTGGCTGAGATCGGGGCAATGAGGGGAGAATCCCCAAGCCTATAATATTTCCTTATTAAATAAAGTACTTCTAGTTAGCTTACACTCGCAGGTATTAATTAAGTTAGTTTCTACTATGAAGGTAGGCCTCTTTATACTTAATGCTTTGTTAAATTGTATGTTCTTTCTTAAGTTTTAAAGAAAGAAAAAAGTTAAATGGGCCTAATAAATCTATTAGCTTCCTGGCTTGATTACGTCATTGTAAAAGAAGGAGAAACCTTCTTGAGAGCTAAAGACCCTTTTGTGCTAAAAAATGACCAATACATTTTAGTCACTCACTTAACCCTTTTCACACAAGGAACTTTTCACCAAACACTTTTCTTGAACTTACCTGCTTAATTTGAGATGGAGATCGATAATTGCTCAATAGGATCGGAGAGTCCTGATCGGGATGCCAACGATTCAATTGGCCCACTGGTCGGCAGGCGCGTTCAACTGGAAATGAGTATGATCGCGGCCAGAATCGGCGCTTTATATAAGGGGGCCTGGCTAGAATCCACACATTCCCAGTGCCTCAGTCGACGTTGACGTCGCTGCGCATGCGCAGAACTAAAGAAGAGTAGTGAAGAAGTTAAGTGCGCAGAGTGTTTGGGCCATAAGTTTGTTTGCATTTGCGAAGCTTTTTCTCAGCGATCTTAGGCCATGATTTTGAGGTTCTGTGGGCAAGTGATAAATCGGCTAATTGCCAGCGGCTTAAACGCCGGCTTAATTAGCCCCGACTGTGAATAAACCGACGGACTAACCCTGCCAGCTGCAAATAACCATATCCACATGCAATTGCTGCATTTCGCTAGCCAACAGCGAGAATCGCGAGCAATGTTAATTACCCCGGCAAAAGGTCCCCGACTAGGGTAACAAGCGCCCTGCGAGCAACGCCCGCGATTATGCATTTTAATTTTTATGACAGGGCAAAAGAAGACGTCGAGTTTGAGTCGGATAGTTAGATCGTTGGATAGTCGGAGATGGGCTCATTAGTCAATGATATCCGCCTGGCATTCCGCATAGCACCTAGAACCTAGCACCTAGCACCTAGCTAAAGCACCTGTTCCTGCTGATCTAAAGATCTCTTCCCAGTTGCATAATTGGGCATAATTGTGCGATTGCATCGCGGCGTGCCTACATATTTAGTTAGTGTGCATCTTTATTGTCCGCCTAACGATTACCAACTAAGAGCCAGTAATGCCATTCAAAGTCTCCCAGGCTGGCAGAAAGAGAAAAAAAGATATGGAAAAATGGTAAAACGTCTGTCAAACAGGTCATAATTATGCCAGATACTCCAGATACTCCGGGCAGATTAACCCTGCAGGCACTATTAATATTCTAATATGAATAATTTGTTTATTTGTCAAAGCCAGCGGCACTGGCGCCGGCGTTGAGATTAGAGCAATAATAAATTACGCAGCTAATTAAGCGGCGGTTGCAGCGGCATCAGCAGCGGCAGCAGCAACATCCACGCAGATGCAAAAGATACAGATACATGCCGCAGATTGCGGCGGCTGCCACAACAAGCGACGACAATAATGAACGGTTCGTGTTCTATGTGTGTATTACTATTACCCACCGAAAGGCACTATACCAGAGTCCCGAACAGAACCAAAACCAAGCCCAACTTGGCCAAGCCCCATGCCACACGTAATTAGCCTTGGAATGTCCTTGTGCACGTGACTAGCCCCGCTCCTCAGTTCTTCGGGCCCGAGGATCGGAGTCGCCCTGGTGTGGGGCTAAATATAAAACGCGCGTGCCTGCGGATCATCAAACTTGGCCACTTTCCTAACGAAGCCACGTTAGGTGACAATGTCGTTGATGCACTGTGCAAAAAAGTCGTTAAAAATCTAGATAAAATCTGACAGTATTGCTATTAGAAATTAGTGAAGTATGAATTTATAAAATAGTTTGTGTATATGTGTGTGTATATTATAACAAAGTTTAATGAGAATGAGTATAATGTAAGTATATTACTCATGATCATACATCAGCAATTAAAATAAAGCTTTGTTCAGTGTAGGATTGGAGGTGCTATCGTGGTATCGGCATTCGGAACGTAAACAACTAACAGCTATCAGGCTACAAGGGTTCATTAACACCAACTGACAGCCTGGACACAAACATGGCCCAAACAAAACGCCTAAGTTGTTGGGACCACTACTGATGGCTATTGCCATTTAAAAGGCAGAAGCTCTCGTATTAAATCATCAGCCCCATCATCGCTTCGCTACCGCCACACTCGCCTGAGCATGGCCCATCTAAAGTAAACCACTTTTGTTTTTTACACCAAAAGAGAGAGAGATATAAAAAGAAATCGAAGCCAGAAGACAGAAGATCAGCAGAGAACTGGGTCAGAAGCGGCACGACCGCCGATCGAGAATCTGTATTATTGAAAACCCCTCAGGAAGTCGCCCTCCAGACAGTATAAGCAAATAAATTACTCGGCGGCTATTAATATTCAGCAGACTTAGAAATTAAGTACCCTGTAATAGGCAAAACAAAAAAGGTTATATAAAATTCAAAGTCTTAGTCTTAAATACCCCTTTCGAAGCCCTAAGTTGCACTTAACATATCGCCCCCACCTGAGCTCCACTCAGCTACTTTCTTTAACAGCAAACAATTGAAAAATCAAGGCAAACAAATCTTGAACAGCTTAATTGTGGTACTTGCAATTATTTCTACCAATACCATTGACACAATTATTTTACAAACAATTGAGAGTTTGTGAAAGAAATTGAACAAACATTTCGGGATAACGTGGCTGTGATTGGAATACTGAGTTATCAGTCTACTGTGCTTACTATCTGTCTTGATAGGGTTCAATTGGCTCGTAGTTCTGTGGTTCTTCGATAAGAATTTGGAATATGTTTTGCTGGAAATAGTGCCTTAACACAGAAAACTCCAAGGACGAGGTGGCCGAGAGGTTAAGGCGTTGGACTGCTAATCCAATGTGCTCTGCACGCGTGGGTTCGAATCCCATCCTCGTCGAGTTATCCTTTTTATTGTTTTCTTAAAAGTTTTTTATTTGTTTGCTTTAAAAGTAAAAATGTTGTTTATATCCATATTATGTTAGTAGATTGATTTCTAAGCTAGAGTAATAAATAAAAAAAAAGTTTAGTTTAGAGAGTAACTTAAAATAAAGGATTGATTTAAAAAAGAAAAAAGTATTTTTCGACGAGGATGGGATTCGAACCCACGCGTGCAGAGCACATTGGATTAGCAGTCCAACGCCTTAACCTCTCGGCCACCTCGTCAAGTTGGAATTAGCCGTTCTAGATCGTTTTTTCAAATAAGGGTTGCAAAATTTTCCCTTAAATAATACACAACGCGATTAAAGTCCTGAAAATTTATATTAGTTGCTCATAATCCTTTAAGTTATAATTTTATAATGTTTTTACCTTCGGATTTCATTTTTGCTTTTAATTTAACACTCTCTTGCTCCCTAACAGGTTTTGATATTTAAAAGTGTGCAGTGTTTGTTTTTTATAATTAGAACAAAGTTTTGGCAAAATACATTTATATTCCAAAAAATTGCTACCTATATAAATGTATACTATTTAATATATATTTTATATTCGTTAAGCTATACATTTGTTTTGATTTTACATTTTCCGTTTCCTTGCCTAGCTTACACTAGCTTGACCACTTTAGTAATAAAGTTAGATTTACCCAATAATTTTTTCCAATTTTAATTTAAAAACAATAAAAAATAACAAAAAGTTGAGTCGACGAGGATGGGATTCGAACCCACGCGTGCAGAGCACATTGGATTAGCAGTCCAACGCCTTAACCACTCGGCCACCTCGTCCAGTGACACAGGTAGGTCCAACGTGGCAGTAGTTCCGAGCCAACGACTATGAAACATTGTTATCGACAGCAAGCAGTGTTTCTGAGTGTTAGAACATTGTGATTCTAATGAGTATTTCTTTTATTACTTTATTTACAACTGCGAAATATAACGGCATACGAAATATCTATAAATATGTTGTTTTATTGTATTTACGCAAGTCAGTTTAATTCATTTTGTAAGTACCTAGTTGGACCGTTTACCGATAAGAACTATCACCTGCTTGACGGGGAAGCAAGTGGTGCAACAAATCAGTATTCGGTTGCCAAGGTCGCATATGACGAGGTGGCCGAGAGGTTAAGGCGTTGGACTGCTAATCCAATGTGCTCTGCACGCGTGGGTTCGAATCCCATCCTCGTCGTGCTTTTTTTATTTTTTACAACCTCTATTTTTAGAAGTATAACGTTTTTTGTGTTACCGTAAACTAAAAATAAACTTTATTTATAAGAACGCAGTCGTTTAGCCACAGACAATGCTTTGAAATCCAGATGATAATCGTGTTTCAATTGAAAATAAAGTTTTACGACCGCGGCTGCAGACGGGTTACAGTAATGGTCAGTCCAGCAGTTTAAAAGCAATAAAAATAGATACATTGATAACAGCTTAAGTGTCGCTGATGGTGGCATTGGATGATCTTTTGGTCTGGCGATAAGATGAGAACTGTGGAGGATGCTGGGACCACCGCAAACTAGATGGGTTCTGTAGAAATGGGGTTTACTGACATCGCGGACTATGGAAAGGGCCATGCCAAAGTGTGACTTCGGTGGCCATTAATGGCTCGTTTCGCTCTCAAGGTCGACGGATGGGATGGGTTTGACCGTGGGGCGAATTTTTTTTGCAAGCCTAGGTGTCTCCCATTTAGGCCGGCTCGAAAGATGGCAAATACAAACAATGCCCACTCACAAAATTAAATTCCAATTGAAATAATAGTTCGCTTTTGCTGTTTGCTGCCTCTGGCGAGCAGCCAAAACAATATAAGCCGCTGGGTAATTAACGTCGTTTCCAATGATTTCTTTCTCGTCCGCTGGCCAGATAATTAATGCATTTAACGCAATTACAATACAAACATCGGGGTATATTATGTTTTCCGTTCGGTTGGGGTTTCGTCTGCTTTTCCTTTTTACTAGCCAACTGGTTTTCAATTATCTAAAACTTACTTCTTGATCATTAATGGAAAAGCCAAAGAATTTTTTCGCCAGTTGACGGCCGACGTGTTAAAATCTTCCAGCCACTGAAAAAGGCCATAAAGCCATCATTAACGATCTATCCATACATCTATCCATCTATCGCTTGCTCTGATTGTTAGCCGCTTGGAAAGTTTCGCAGGTCGACTTTATGGCCAGTATAAATCACTAGCTTGGAGAGATGTGTATCGTGGAAATCGGAGGTCTTAATTCGGTGTGGGAGTTGACGATGTCTTTGTGAGAGCTGGCAAAACTCTATACCATGTCGAGATACTCATCTGTAAAGAAAAACGATCTCCGATGACAGCCGAAGGTCGAAAGTCTTAGATGATTTCAATCATAAGCACGCTAAAAAATAATTACCAATCTTTGTCAAATTCAATTGCTTTTACCTTGGCATGTTTCTGTTTCTTAAAAAATGAAGTAGTATTTCTTATAGATTACTCATTAACATTTAATTGGTAATTTATAACAGATTATAGTAGATTATGGTAGAACACAAACTTAAGAAATATATATTTAAATATATGTTTTAATCTAATAAATTATTAAAAAAACTTATGAATTTACATACTAAAACGGATTGCTGCAATTGGAAATCGTTCAGAACTCGGGGACTCCCACCAACAGGTGCTTATTCTTTTGTGCACTCATTCACTCACTCTTTCTTTCTTCGCTGGACAGCTTGAAGAACTCTTTCTCCGAACCACTTGAGCCCCTGGTTATGACTCAATAGACCCAACAGACTCAATACATCTTGACTACAGACTTGGCCAGGCAATCCAATTCGCCAGCCAATCGCCCCCATTGTCGGTGTCGGCGGAGGCCAAGCTCCACTGAAAATCGCAACGCCCATTTTAACCTGCTCCCTGCCCCCGGTGACTTTCACAAATCCCGCGAAGAATTCGCTAAACGTTTTGGAACGGATGAGCAAATATTGAATCTTGCGGCTGACAATCGATGGCTGGCTGGCTGGCTAGCAGGTCTTTTCCTTTCGTTACACTTTTCTTTTTGCGTGCTCCACAAATATTTAACTTTCGATGAAAGTCGCTGCCAAGCAGCAGACGTGTTGGCAGTTATGACCCCGATATCCAGGGGCTAAACTCTCAGAAATGCCAAGTGCACGGCCGTATCGGGATGGTTGACATACCGTAGCATTGCGTAAGTCTACAACTTCATTCCCGAGTGCATTCGATGGTGATCCGATGTGGTGCCCACATGCCAAGCACCCCGAAATGACAAATACAAACAACAGAGACAAAGGCTTAGCTTAAAGTGCCTGAACCTCACATGTGAGTCAGTTTATGGTCTCTGTGGGTTTATTGAACCTGCGAATTTATCGTCAATAAAAGATTCGCTATAATTGGCCCATATATAATCGTTGCGATTTAAGCCGGCTGATTAGCCGGGTCTTAACTGTGACGTATCACTGGCGGTGGGTGTTCCCGCCATTCATCTAAATGGATCTGAAGCTCGGGCTCTGTGTGTCTTTATAAGCGGCTAATTAAAACGTTGCCAATGTAAATGAAGCCTTAGAGTCCCCCACTCCTCTACTCGTCAACTTCTTCACGGCATGCTGGCAAATGCTTAAAAATTCAGTAGCCAAACACGCAAGCGCCAGCAGCGGAGAGGCAGCATACAAGAGCCAAGATTTAAGAGTGTGTCTGTCATTCAGACCCGAAGACAACGAGACAAGACTGGGTTTTTAGCCAGAAACTGAGACCCAAGTCTGTGCTGATGACTTTGGCGAGGTTGATAAACGCGACTGGGCGGTTCAGGAGGGTGGTGGGTTTTTATACACGAGGAAAAACATAATAATCTCTGTTCCTTATCGTCAACCAAATGATGTACTTAATTTCTTTATCACATAAAAAATAATATTTAGAAACAGAATTTATTAATGAACAAATTACTAAGTATTTTGGATCTGTTAAAAAATATCACAAGAAATTATGATTAATTATGATTTATTTATTATTATATAATTTCATTTAAGGAATATATTATAACTGGCCAAAACACAAATTAAGAGATACAAATATTAAGAAAGTTTCTAGTTGGAGTTCTGACATTTAAAGAAGCACTTCCTGCAGATTGGATAATAAGATTCATCAGTGGTGTTGTACACATAGAGTTTGGGCTCCTTTGATTGATCTTCATCCCCATCCACGTTACCACCAAATTGGGTTTTCAATTCCAACTCTCTTTGGCTCTTCTGCAACTTCTTAACCTCTTTATATTTTCCCATGGCCTCGTTGGCCGACTCCTGCCAATAGGACTTCTCCTCAATCGTCATACCGCGCCATACTTCACCGCCCTTAACACACACTTCCCTGACACTTAAATCCGGATTCTCCGTTTTGATCTGCTCTCGTCCCGAATAATTCAACCACATCAGGAAGGAACTCATAGGTTTCTTAAGATGAGTATCGCAGTGCGACATCGTTAGTCAATGGAGGTTACAGTTGTTTAAATAAAAGATACTTTTTTGTCGCTTGGATTTTACTCAAAATTTAAAAAATATGACTAGTTTTTACGTTGTGTTTCAGGAAGAAGTGAGAATGGTATTGATTGGGTAAGCCTTTGAATACGACACTAAGTTCAAAGACTACTAAAAATCAAATTTGTACATATACGAGGTGTGTTCAAAAAGTAAGGTGACTCTTCAAATTTCGCGAATTTCAAATTTTTCGATTATCGATTTTTTTGTTTTGTTATATTGGTACACTCTTCCCTAACATCTGTACCAAGTTTCAATGGAACATCCTCTTTTGTTTGGTTGTGAGAGGCGTAAAGTTACAAGTTATTTTGCGAGCTCGGCGATTTTTTGCTATCGAAAAATACGGATCAAAGGATTTGATTTTTGGCCAAAAACAACACCACAATAATGCCTCGCCACCATATTCACCGGATTTGGCCCCATGTGACTTTTCTTGTTCCCAAAACTGAAGATAATCGAAAAATTTGAAAAACTTGAAATTTGAAAAGTCACCTTACTTTTTGAACACACCTCGTATAACTTCTAAAAGGTTTCGATAATCGAAAAATTTGAAATTCGCGAAATTTGAAGAGTCACCTTACTTTTTGAACACACCTCGTATATATTAAATAATTTTTTAAAATTTTAAAAAGGTTAGCTCCTGTTTTACCCATTATGTTTTAATTTTATTATAAGAGGAAAACATGGCCAAGTTTTTTTTAAAGTGCAGTCCCATCAGTCTGTTTTGGTGCCCCGTGCCCGGGCCATCTATCCATATTGCTTCCGTCAGCATTAAACATATTACTCTTAATAATGCCTAAAACTCGGTTCACACACGGCGCTTGGACTGAATGTGAATCAGTATCAGCAGAATCAGAGGCACGAAGAGACGTTACAGATGCACAGAAAGTGGCGTTTGCAGCTTGTTCGTGATTTGTGTTGTCTAATCGTTAACAATTACAATTAGGCCTCTGACTGCCCGTTCTTCTGGCAGGTGGTGCGTGCAGTTGGCTGTGAGAACGGGTATATGCTATAAATATATATATATATAGATTCCGATACCATTGGCCATTTGGCACATGCGAGAGTTTACGCACTTCAACACACACTTTAAACCGGAGGCCTAATTGCCGGGAGTTCTGCTACTGCCACGGCTAATTAATATTTAAAGTGCCTTGCCAACGAATAAGAAGTTGGTATGTTGTATTATTCGAGTGCTTTTGCGGTTATGTCATTCGGTTTATTCCGGGGCTCCCAAATTTTTAGATAGTCTCTGTGGTCAAGAGAGCTGGTGAAAGATGGCTGGGCCCTGGGAAAGTTGGAAATGGTTTTATATAATCCCTCGACGCGGCAATTGTGTTAGTTGCTTTTACTTGTTTTAATTAGCGGCTCATAAAACGGTGCCTCGAAGGGAAGTGATTTAATTAAAGTACGTTTGCCGAAATTTCGCCATGAATTATGACAACTTTATTTTTGATTTACCGTAGGGATTTCTGGCTCATTGGGTCACAGCTTCCACTTCTAGCAGCTGCAAGGTCGAGAGAGATTCCTCTTTCAATCATCCAACACTCCCAATCAACGTCAACAGCTCACGCAAAAGTGTTTAGGAAAATGCCCCGAACACCATTTGCCATTCCAATTAAATTATGATGAGGGCAAAAACGCACAGATCCCTTAGAGCGCCACACGCATATGGTCATTCGGAGTTGGAGCTAGAGCTGGAGGTGCCTGGTGGCCTGTCAATAAGCCAAACCGAAAAAAAGCACACATAAAAGCACTTGGAGAAGAGAAGAGCAGACCGGACCGAGACCTAAACCCTACCCCAACGAAGGCTTCGTGTTACCGCCAACGGCTTTTGTTGTCGTAGGTTCATTTGTAACTAATTTGTGCAGAGTATCGGAAAGACAAAGGAGCTGCCAGCCAGACTAGACCCCCGATTCCACTCCCCAACTGGAGTCAGGCACAAGTTCTTAACCCTTTTTCCCATTAATACCACACGAGATAATAAATTATTGCTAATCCGTTAGCTTTGCTAAGTCAGTAGCCTTTCTTAAGACAAAAGATAATGGTTATCATATTTAATAGAGCTTTATTGTTAAAAGCAAAACGTGGTATTTGGTTAATCTTAAAAAAATGGCAAAAAATAAAAAACTAAAAGTAAAATCCGAAAAAAAAAATCACAAATTAATTTGTAAACATTATTCAATCCGCGTTATCAAAACAAACAGAGAAAAGATTCAAATTTATGCTAATACATACAGTTTTGTATCTGTTGCGAAGAAATTTGTACCAATTAGGTAAAGATTTAATAATAATCTTACCGGCTTAGCAGAAACTACAAAAAAAAAAAAAGAAAAAAGTTTTTAAAGTCATAAAAAGCCGCATTCTATTTTTGAAATTTTAAAATTTAGATTTAATTCAATATATTGTTTCTCTACCTAAAAAAAAGGATGTGGTCATGGGTTAAGGACCTGTCACCTGGCCTTGCATTTTTCGAGAGGGTTAGAGAGGCTGAGCCCAGTGGCTGCCAAGGTGTAATCCAATCGAGAGCCATCCGACTGGTCAAGTGATATTGGATTTCCTGCTCAGTTCTCTGGTAGGGGAGCAGAGAGAAAATGCAAAGCTGATGAATTTGTTAAGCAAATGGAAAATGCGGCACGCCGGCAAATCCCACCAAGTGCAGTTGGCAAGTGTAACAGTAAGTGGACAAACAATAAACTGGCTAATTTATGGTCGCTCATCATCCGGAGATCATCTGCCATCCGGCGAACCAGTTGGTTCTGCAATCTTCATCGGACCTCACACACTAATAAATCCAGTTGCCGCTGATGACGACACAAAAGCAGCGACGGCGGCAGCGACGTCGGCCGACTGATTTTTGATTTAAGAAGAAAAAGAGAAAAAAACAAATTACAAACGGTCCGCAGATCTCATTTATTTGCCGCACTCCGAGGCGTTCACAACGTTCAAAAGCAGCGCGCTCGAGCTAAGAAAAAAAAAGTAAAAACCAAGCCGAAGCGTCGGCAAAGCAGTGCGAGGAAAACGCAACAAAGTGCAAATCAGATATATATCGCTTATAAAAAGAATTTAAATAACTAACCATAAACGTGATAGCACGTGTGATTAACGTTACGCATAAATTAATTTCAAGTAAACATCTTCGCTTGAAGGACACTCGGGCAATAAATTTTACAATCAGCAAATATAATTAAGGAAAACTCAGCAATCGACTAAGTTAACCGGCAGCTGCAATCACAGCCATTTAAAGTGAGTGCGATTAGAATATAGTCGTATGCCCATAGAACGTTAAATCATTTGCATTTGACGGCTGGCAGGCGGTTCATTAATAAGTTTATAATTGCTCCCCATCCGCATCGAGTTCGCTGCCTAAGTCATTCGTTCTGCAGCGAGTTGCTGCTGCCTAAGTCTTTCGTTTCTTCCCCTTTCGAGTTTATTGCCTAAGTCTTTCGTCTTTCGCTAGAAAAGAGAAGCGTGATATGATTAATCATGGCCAGCATCACGAAAATGACCTTGGCAATGCTGTTGATATAGGCGCAAAATAAAACAGCCTTAGATAATTGAAGTCAGTGAGTGGACAAATTAAATTTAGTTTTTCAGTTTCTAGTTCCTGAACTCCGCCAACTGCCAGTCATTAAGGTTTTAAGCAATTAAATTGTAATGAGCCCAGACGTAATTGTTGAGGGGTGTGTGTGTGTGGTCTCTCGAATTTCGCATTTCGCTCTTTGTTCTATTATCATACCCATCCCTGATCACCCCGATCATATATCATGCGGGATTTGTGATCAGCCAACAAAACAAATTCCCAACTTTCTGCAATTTATTTCGGCTACATTTGTTGTTATTTCTTTAGGAGAATTTTGCCAGATACAAGAACTAGACAAATGTCTTTATCGGAAAAACATATAGTTGGAAGTGATTTGCATAGCACACAACCTGTTGAAACGGTGGGCGAACCGCAGACGCCCCTAGTTAGCCCCGAAAAATCGTGTTATCCACTTCGATCCCAGATTTTTCGGTTGTTGCGGCGATCAATTTTTATTTTTTTTTTACTGGCTCATTAATCACTGAAGCGTTGAAGTCTGCGCCGCGGATGGCGCTCGACTCGCTCATTAGGGTAATTGCTCTGCCGGCGTCGCTTTGATTAGCGTGCATTAAATGCTTTCATTTAAATCAAATCGAAACGAAAATTATCTCTATGGCATGTGGAGTGAGTGAGTGCTTCGATTTTCATCTGTGTACAAGAAATATATGTGGAGAACGTGAGAAACTTTACAATGTAAAGGCGAAACATTTTGCGCTTTGATGCGCACAGACAATTTATTTGTTATTAAATTATTCGGCTTTGGCATGTGACTTGCAGAAAATCGCATTGGTTATTATTATTATTATTGCTATGATTGCCAGCAGTCGAGTTCGCCACTTCGGTTGCCACCCCATCGATCAAAACCTTGAACAATCGGACAACCCGTCGAGTGGGGCGTGGGTGGCACTCAGCACTTTCATTACCGCCTGTCGCCTTGACATTCTCTCACCTCTCACAAATATTTACCTGGCTTCTTGACATTATCTACTCCTGATTGTTATTTGATATTTAAAATTACAATGGGTACTCCAACGTGCCGAATTTTCGTTAAATTTTCTGGAAATAAAAGCATTAAAGCGTCTCGAAATCAACTTTGAATAGGCTACGTTCGGATCTGTTAAGCTAAACATAAATTGACTATCATCTATATACTTTTAATAACGGAATATATACTCACCCTTAACTTCAGTTTATATTTTACATCAGCTATAACTTCGTTGGGACATAATTTTTTTAGATTTCAGAAAGTCAAATGGTTTTGCAAATGTTATAACAAGCCAATTAAAATAATTTTCCAGAAATATTTTCTTGTCAAGCTTTAACAAGCCACTTTTGTTACCACTTTCAGTATGTCGCCGCTGCTTCCATTGGCATCTCTAATCATCTTGGCCAATTTGGTGGCAGCTCGACCCTATTCCTATGGCCCAAGGCCAGCTGTTCCGCCCACGAGACTGGCTAATCGGATTCTGGTGCAGTCGCCATCGCTGGACAATTTGTACATGGACTACGTGGTCACATCGAAGCCGCTGAATCTTCGCAAATACAACAAGAATGGCAGTAAGACGAAAAAAACGAAAAAGGATTCGAAAATATATTACATACCCGTACCCCCACTGCCCTTCCGACACATACCTGGCGTTGGTCTGGACTATCAGCCGATGAAAATCAATCCCATACTCCAGGAGGAGGAGAAGACGACCACCACAACGTTGCGTCCGTCGACGACGACATCTAGGCCCAATCTGGACCAGTGGAATCCCAGTAAGGTGCTCCGAGTGCAGCACCATAAGGATTACTACTTCAATGGACGCCCACATCGACTACAGGTGGCCCATGCCGGTAAAAAGTCCGGACTGACAGCCCTCAACCTAAAGTCCAATTTCTACTATAACAAAAACATTATTTATTAGTACTCTTAGTTAGCAAATAATAAAAAACCAAAACATAAAGAAAAACAACAATTGCTTTGTTTTTCGGCATTTGGTAAGCGAATATTTTAAGCGGCTTTTGATTGGATGGAGTTGGCCTTAAAAGGGGAAATGGCAAAACCTTTCAACTGGATCGCATTTCCTATGAGCCGAATTGACAAAACCCCTCGAATTGGGTCAAAATCAAGCGAAAGAAATCGCTAAAAGTTGAGGGGCTATTAAATTTGATGATATCTGTTCGGATCATGATATAATAGTTAACCATCATTATTAAGACGGCTTCCGCGTCGGTAGCATCATCGGTAGCTTAAAGTCATCTTCACGTGTGGTCCGGCCATCTTCGCCAATCCATTTAGTAAAAGTAATTACTGTCACCGTTGTCTTTGCGCATGCCAAATGCTTCGAAGTTGTGCAATAAATAATAATAAATAATAAGGCGCTGAAATATGACTGATTTCGAACTGGGAAGCCGCCGAAATTGGGGCAATTAGAAAATATTTATGGCTATGCAAATTTGTAAATGCCCAGTGGAGATGAGGAGCTCATTAGATGATTGGGTGCTTTCACTCATGAAAATTCACTGCGAATGCGTGAGAAAATCTGAATACAGTTGGAATTCTGTAAGTGGAACTTCTAGAAAGCAATCGATCTAATAATTTAATTAAGAAATCTAAAATAGCTTTGAAAGTTTTTATGGTTGTAAATAAATAATTATTAAATGGTTTTTTTCTTAGGCATAGATTCACTGCTACATGCTTCACTGTACTTGTTGCCCACGAAATTAGGGCTTAAACGGCTTTTTGGCCTACGAACCCGTTGCCACAACAGGGCGCCTAGCAGCGGCGGTTATTGAACAAATTCGTGGCTCCCACCCATGGACATCCTCTTTTAGCCACATCTCAGCAGGCAGTTAATTTGAAATTACATTAACTATAAACTATTATTCTCTTCCAATCGACTGATATATATATATATTTTGTGTGGCGAGATGAGCGCTGAAAGAGCGTGCCCCGGGCTATGTGTGCAATGTGCAACTATATGTGGAGCCCAGTGAACGGCCCAGAATGCCGCCTGGTTGTCCACCTCCTTTGGATTCTCGGAGTACCGATTCGGAAATGCAACACTCGGAGGAATGCTGCGTGGATCTGGAGAACGTAACTGTCAAGTTTAGGCTCTCGGAGACGGATATCCTGGCCCAAATTTATCCCAACTGCATGACTATAGCCGAGGTGAAACAAGATATTGCTCGTAAATTCGAGGTGGAACCAAAACTGCTAGTCCTGCGGCAGAATGGACATATTATCTGCGACTCCGTGCCCCTTAACTCCACTGCCCTGGATGAATTCGGCATCCATGAGTTCCAGTTGGAGCTGAGTAACGAGGGTGGAGACAACCAGTCTTACAAATTAGATCTGGATGTCTACTACGAGTGGGTGTAGGATAAGTTATTTTTAAGATCTTTAAACTATATTTTCTTTATCAGCAAACATCGACTGGCGGACTTTATTACTGTGGACATTTCCGGTGATGATACTCAGGATGGCCAGGCCAAAACCGTTGTGGTGGAGATCGAAAATGCGGCTATTGTCAAGCCTTTTCTATGCGGCTATCGGGATAAGAACACTGGCAAGGAGTACCTGGATGCCTTCACACAAACTGGTCCCTACTTTGACAAGATTAAGTTTAGGAAGTACAAGACCCGGGATACTCAAACATGGGAGCCAAAGGAGAAGACTCTGGTAAATTCTGAAAATATTGCTTTAAATATATTACAAAAGATTACCCATAAATCCTCTCAAGAACACAGCCCATGAGCAATCGGTGCAATGCCATCTGGATGGGATTAACATCCTGTATGTGTCCGCAGCCAATGACTTCACCATAACTCCCGGCAAATACCAGACTTTTGCCCAAAAAGAGCGGGCAGAGCGTAAGCTAGAGAAGATTTTGCTCATCCAGCGAAACTGGAGGCGTTGGATTTTATGGAAATATATCCGCATGCGGGCCAAAGAATATCGGTGGGTAGTGACACTAATTTTGGGGGTATTCTTGTCTGTATGTTATATATTTTCCAGTCGCTTGGTCCAAAATCGCGAGCAGGAGGATGAGCGTTATGAGAAGTGCGTGGAGCGTCGCATAGAAAGGCATCGGGTGGTCAAGCAGTTTCCGCGAAACAAGGACGACTTTGATCTGCTCTTTGCCGAGGTGAGTCGCTGGAAAAAGGCTGAATTAAAGCGAATCACAGCCAACTATGAGGGTCCAGCTCGTATTGCCGAGGTTAACATCCTGCTGGACAAGGAGATCCAGTTGCTGAATGGCGTGGAGCGTCAGCGTAACCTTGTCTACAAGGCCATGGAGGATTTCCGCAAAGATCAACTGTTAAAGGAAATGGGTAAACCTATTGAATGGATCGGCTACAAGGATTCTAAGATCCACATGGATCTGCTGAGCACACAGAGGGTGCGCTTTCTAACTGAGATCTACAAAGATCTGCGAAAGCCGCGCAACAAAGAGGAACGCTTAGATTTCATCCGTCAAGTAATGACGGTGCTCACCGAGGAGACTTGTTATCCAAATTTTCCCGAGCTCTTCGATCTCTTTGAGCGCGAAAAGAATCTTATGCTTTACGCTAAATCTTTTGATGTGGAAATTTTGCGCAAACGACAGACCATGCTCTTTTTCGATCTGATAAAGTTCCAAAAGGGCGAGCCCAAGCAAAGTGAGTATTGATAAAACATTTACTGAACTACTTTTAAAAAGTTCCAACCAGGAACTCCATCGCGCATGTGCATCGTGTGCAAAAAGGTCAAGACCTATGCCGAGTTTGCCATTAGAACACGCCAGAGCCATGTGGATACTTGCAAACACTGCTACTATCTCAAGGTGATATCTTTCATCTTTAACATATCTAGAGTAATATAAATAATATATCCTTACCTTCAGCTTACAGCTACGGAGAACACGGTTTACCAGTCCATTTTGCGGTGCATCCATCGGGATGAACGCAAACGCAAGTGCACCACATCCTTTGCTTTCGTAATGCAGTCTGATGATGTGCGTCACATCATAGACAAAATATGGCATGGGCACTCGGCTCTCAGCAAGACTGAAAATCTAAGTGAACTGAGGTAACCTCTGTGTAAATTACTAGCTTGTGATTGAACTACAAAATATCACTTCTTGTTCAGGTTGCCGCGATGGAAAAAGAGCGATGACTGGGCACCTTGGAACTGTATTTGCTTGACGGAACGGGAAACGCGTGATCACTACAAGATCGAAGACATAGAGAAGGTGTACGATCCCAAGTTCATTTTGCACATTAGCAATCTTCACATGCTGGCACGAAGCTTGTTCCACACATTGGCTGCTGTGGCTATTGAGTTCCAGGAGACGGGTCAATGGTGGAAAGTGGGTATGAACAAGCAACGGACCAGTAAACTGGATGCCGTCTAAAAAAGTTCTTAGTTTAAAATCTAAATTTTGCGTTCAACCAGCTAAACTCCCGCTAACATAGTATAAACTTCATCCTTTTTGGGTTTAGCTTGTAATTCAGCGCCTAATTTAACATTTACAAAATTTAAACAATTCAAATATTGATCAATCATTACAAGGAAAATTAAATAAACTACAATTGCAATTATTTGCTACTTGCAATCGCCTTGAACTTTGACTCCAAGTACTGAACGCGCTTCAGTAGTTTGTCACTGGTATTAAACTCATTATAGGGCACGGGGATAACATGGTAACCACTCTTTTCCAGCAGGTCAAATGTCAGATTCGTAATGCCGCTGGCACTGCGATGCGTTCCGTGGCAAATGTCATGGAAATCGATGACCATTAGCGCCACCCTAAAATCCAGATTAATAAACATAACTGGGAAATTGGAAAATTTGGGAAGTATTTACCTAATGGCGTTGGGGTTTTCCTTGTCCAAAGGCAGGGAGTTTTTGTTAGCATCGAAGTAGCACAAAGCATCTAAAAGATTGTAAAATTAGTAAAATCTCACATAGTATGTAAAAACTATTTCTTACCTATGAGGAAGCCCATTTTACTGTCCACCGCGCTCTGGAAATGATTGCCCGCCGGAAGCAGACTCTTAAGTGCATCCAGCATGCCATTTATAAGGACTTGCTTTGCTTTTGGATGCGCCATAGGCACTTGGTATGCAGGACTGTCAGCGGCCAGCACTGGACCCTTGTAATCTGTGGCTAGTAACTGGGCATAGCTATTCAGGTTGAGTAGCCTCATTTTTGATGTTGCTGTGATGCCAGTCTTGTCCTTTTGCAATTTTTCTAGAAAGTCCGCACTACAAACATATTTAATGTAAGATTTAAGGATTATCAAGTTTTTTAAATAGGACCAAACCTTAAAACTGAAGACAAGTGGCTCTGTTCTACTAGTCCCAACATTGTGAGTGACCATACAAAGTTCAGCCATTCAGATTGCTTGGTGAAATCCTCGCGAACAATGGATTTCGCCAGTTTATTGCTCACTTCCTCCAGCTGGGCGCTCTTGAAGTTCAGCAGGGCCGATGTGAGGAAATATGCGCTGAGATCTGTAGGACGGCAGATTTCACTGTTTTTTAAGAGCCACTGCGTCAGCGATTCCAATATATCTAAAAAAGAAAAAAAAATTAGTACCAAAAATGATTTCACATACTTTTGAGCAAACCAACCCAAATCCCGGTAGCGCAAAATGCCCAAACTGGTGATGATGGATCCTACAACGGCGGACTTCTCTACATTTTTCGGCAGTGCCGCTTGGACATCTGCACACACTTTAGCACCCAGCACAGAATCCTGGAAATTCAGCGTAGACATGGCAAAGAGCACATCCGCAGACTGCTTTAGATCCAGAGCGTCAGAGGCGCTGCTAATGTTAAAAGCCAGGGAGCGCAAAAGGGGAGTACTGCGTCTCTTTCGCTGCGCCAGCGTGCTCATAACCTTCACCATTTGGGGCAGACTGATGCTAGCAATAAGCTTAGCCGCCTCATCATCACCAGCTACACCCAGCACGGTGTTTAGATCATCCGTTCTAAAGCCGGATATTCGCTTGCTAGTGCCATTGCTCTCGATTAGAGTCTTTTGCCACCATTACTTTTCGGAATAGTTCGACCCAACATCCGGCAAATCCGCAAAAATCTGGTGTCACTTTCAAACTCAGAAATCTTCACTCGGTTTATTGTGCTCCAGTCGGCCAGGATGGAGACAATCTTAAGGGCATGCTTTCTAGAGAAGGCATTGTTGTTCTCCGTGATGGCCAGCAGTCCATTGACTGTCTTGGCATTGATGATCCGCTCATCTATTTTGCTGGAGGCCAGGTTTTTGCTTTCATCTTTCGGGCTGTCGTTCTTCAGCGATTCGAAGGCGGCGGCAACCATGGTACCTAAAAATTATGAGTTCTGATAAATGAAAACGGTGGTTGGAGAAGCTATTCACCCTTGGGTTTCTTGGTCACCGCCTCTGCAGCCGGCGTGCGTGCGTCTGGCTGCACTACCTCGGATTCACCTCCTATGGGGGTCAGTGGTACACCAGCCGCCCGCACATTGCTGCTGTAGGCCGCCCGGCGGTACAACTGGGTGACAATACTGCCGGCAAAACGTTGTAGTCCCAACATTTTCAGTCAATCTACACGCTGCAAGAAACCACAGAAGTTTACATAACCTTTTTGTTTACATATTTAGCGGGCGGATTTGGGATTTATAAAGAATGCCAGGGTTGAAGATATATGTTGATGACTTGATAAGACTTATTTTGGCTAAAATACATTATGTTTCATTTATTAATTGCCTTAATTTAAGTAAACTTTCCTATTGAACGTTGAGAATCCACAGATGACGGCAGCGTTCAGCTGTTGAAAGTTTTCCAAGCTTTTTTAACACTGGTTTGCTGGCAGTGTTGGCAGTTCAGCATTTAATAGCTAAATTTGGCCCTTTTCAACTGTTTTTCTTTCAACAGCTGGAGGTATTTGGATTATTTTAATAATATTTTAATTAAAGGAATTAGTCTTGTACCTATATTATATTGAACAAATATTTATCATAAGAATTTTAATTTCATTATGTATTTTAATTTCTAGTCAATTATCGAACTTGGCTTCCAAGTTGAAACGAAAGCTGGCAACACTGTTTTGCAGCCCTGGACACGACAGCTCACCAAAAAATTAGCTGCTGTGATTTTGTTTTACAATTTTCGTTTAAATTTTTACATTTTTGTTTAGCGGATAGCGCGGGTGTAAGAAAATCGTGCAGTTTACATGCAAACGTGCAAGACGGTAGCTGAAAAACGCATAAAAAAAGGCACGCCAAGTCAAAACGAGTTTCGACGTCTTGTTGTAGTTGGATTTTCCAGCCACTTTGCGACGAGATTGTGTGAAGAATTCCGTAGCATTCAATAGCTCCAAAATGGTGGATAAGTTTATCAGCATGTGGAAAGTGCGCGAATTGGCGGACAAGGTGTAAGTGATCGGAAATATTTTTACCAAATGGGATGTGTGTATAACATTCCTTTAGATTCGAATTGAATGTGCAGACACCCACGCCCCAACTTCCCAAATTCTCTGATTTCCCGCCACACCCCCTACTCCTCAAAGGTTTTAAAAGTTGTATATCCAGCAGAAATCCATAATTATTCATAGACACTTCTTATTAATGGATGCACTTCATCGGGGTGCTGGATTAGGTTTACTATTTTACCTGTTTTCAAGGTTGTTCGTAATTCCAAACGAGCTTTACCAACACAGTCACATTCCGATATGGATATCCAGATGTGTGTGTATGTGTGCGTGGGGCTTTATCAAGAAACAATTTGTTTGCTTTCGACTGCCCAAATATAACAAAATGTTTCCACCTGTGTTAACACCTGAACTTCCAGGCTTTCCAGTGAAATGGGTGTTTCTGCTTTGCCATCGAATTATTAATTAAACCTGGCCCCTTTCACCTTTCCCATTTATGGGGTGGTGGTTCCAAAAAAAATTAGCTTTAGTTCCAATAAGTCATAATCAATGGAGTTCCAATAGCGGGTAGCCAAATCATTAGGTTAAGTGCAGTTCCTATTGGGGAAACGGGTAGATTTTTCCTAGAGCTTATCTCAAAATGATAAGGAACAACTACCTGGCCCAGTTGCGACAATTAGCCCTCTTCCATCACGTTTCGAACGTCTATCAACGTCCGAAACTCAGTTTATTTTATTTATCTCTATCTGGGGGTATTGTAAAGCCGCATTGTCACACACCGTTTATTTTAAGATACGAGTTCTGATTAACTGGCGCTGTATCTGTTTGACTATCAAGTCAATTGAATCAATGCGCAAAGTAAATAAGCCTTATTTAACTTTACTACAATAAGCTTTTCTTATAAAGAAGATAAAAGAAACATTTAGCTATATAAATAAAAATGTTTCCTAGCAGAATAGATAAATACGCATTGAAGATATTAACTTATTAATAGACTTCTTTTCTTAATTAGGAAAGTTGAAATCATAATTTATTAAATTTTACCCCAAACTGTAGCTTGATTTTCTGGTTCCTAAATTTGATTTGTCCTTTTTAGGTGTCTTAATAGATTTGAACCCAAGAATTAGATCAATTTTTATATATATTCAATCCTTTTGCAGCACCAATGTCGTAATGAACTATACCGAGACGGAGGGCAAGGTACGAGAGGCCACCAACGACGATCCCTGGGGACCCACAGGACCTCTCATGCAGGAATTAGCATACGCCACCTTCTCTTACGAAACATTCCCGGAAGTGATGTCCATGTTGTGGAAACGGATGCTGCAGGACAATAAAACAAATTGGCGGCGCACCTATAAGGTATAATCAATATTTTTTTTATTAATGAATATAGATCTGACGTAAATCGTTTATTTATAGAGTCTCCTCCTGCTGAACTATTTGGTGCGGAATGGTTCTGAGCGGGTAGTGACCTCTTCCCGGGAGCATATCTATGATCTGCGCTCGCTGGAGAACTACACGTTCACCGACGAGGGCGGCAAGGATCAGGGTATTAACGTTAGGCATAAGGTACGAGAGCTTATAGACTTTATTCAGGACGACGATCGATTGCGCGAGGAGCGCAAAAAGGCGAAAAAGAACAAGGACAAGTACATCGGCATGAGTAGCGATGCTATGGGCATGCGTAGCGGTGGCTACAGCGGTTACAGCGGTGGCTCTGGAGGAGGTGGCGGCAGCAGCGGGGGCTACAATGATGGCGACTACCGCTCTAGTCGTGGAGACAATTGGTGTAAGCTTACTATATTAATTTAGAATAAAAACGACGTCTAATTTTGAGGCGATGCAACTTTTATCAATCAATTCTAATGCATTATGTTCTTCTGCAGACTCCGACAAGAACGCCGATAAGGATCGATATGAGGATGATGATACTCACTATGATGGAGAGCGCGAGGGATCTGACAGCGACTCACCCAGTCCAAGGCAAGTATTTGCTTTACTTTCGATTAGATAAAAATACTAATGGTGTTGTTCAACGTAGACGTAATTATCGGTACAATGATCGCGCAAGTCCCGCCGAAGTGGCTAGCGAAGCCAAGCCCAACAGCCTCAACATGAATATTCGCTCGAAGAATGTCAGCTCTCCAGTTTCCAAGCAACCCACTTCAACGGTGTCAGCCAAGCCGGCACTGTCCCAGAAGAAGATTGACTTGGGTGCGGCTGCTAACTTTGGAAAGCCTGCCCCTGGCGGTGCTGCTGGCATTCACTCGCCCACTCACCGCGACACTCCCACCAGCGTGGATTTAATGGGCGGCGGATCGCCGTCACCATCCACCTCAAAGGCTAACAATAATACGCAAAGCAATAACAATGATCTGCTGGACGATCTGTTCAAGACCTGCTCGCCTCCACCAGCGCAGGAGAAAACACTGAACAGTGCCGCTGTTATCGTAGACGATGATGATGACTTTAACCCTCGGGCCAGCGATGTAAGCCAGCAAGAGTTCGGAGATTTTGCTGCCGCATTCGGTGGTCCCTCAGGAGGATCGGCGGTCAGTGAACCACCGTCAACGGGATTGATTCCGGCTGCCAACGACGAATTCGCTGACTTTGCTGCATTCCAAGGATCGACGACCTCGTCTTCTGCTTTGGACGGAAATCTGTTAAAGACCGCCACTCCGGCGAATGATTCATTTGACCTGTTTAATGCTGCACCCACGTCGACGGCAGGGGCCACAACGGCTACAGATCTCCTGGCGGGCCTGGGCGATTTGTCCATACACCAAAGCATGCCCATGGGTAAGTTGTAGTTCGGTTCTCGTAGCTTAACTTAGTCTTAACATTGAATTAGGATTAGGAATAGAGTAATTGTCTTGGCTTTAGTCACTTCATGACGTATTTAGGAATTGCTGCATGAAGGCGAGTTTCCCGAGCTTGACTAGAGCTGTTATCTCTACCTCGAGCTCCCCAGCCCCACACAAAGATACACTATCACAAACTCCCACACATAAACGGCAACATATTCCAATCGGATGCACTCGTTCTCTTCTCATTCTCTCTCGCAGCTGTCGAAGAGCAGTTGGTATCCGGTAACGATTTGATGTCGACGCCAGCTCTGCCGCCGCCGCCGGAGGCTGTGAGTTTTGCTTTGACCAAAGCTCGAAATATGCTGCGTGACTTGAAGAGGGTTCACAGCGCTTCAGGTGCCTCCCAAGTGGCTGTCATTCTGAGGGAATTACATAACTCAAACGCACTGCCCGGTTTTACCACCCCTGAGCAGTTGGTGGGTCTTGATCGTCAGACGTGCGACTGGAATTTGTTGGTTAATGGAGAGTACACAGCATTGCTTAATCAACTGCTGGAGCTATTCAGCCTGGAGTGGCCGGAACCATCGCAGGATGTGGATGTCCTGAACCTTTTTAAACTGGATCACAGCTTTGAGTATATACGGATAGCCTTTGAGACACTTCTGGAAAAGTTGTATAAGATTCCATCTACTATTACCACCTTCCTGGAAGATATGTTGAAGGATGAGGGCTTAATTTCTATTGCCTTGCTGCACATCTCTCGCCAAAGAAGGGCCTTGATGGAACGGTTCGCCAGAACTATCAAAATAATGCCGGAAAGACTTTTAGAGGAACTGGATGCCCAGGTGAAGGCGTTCTTTCAACTGCTTATAAGTCTGCCAGCCCAAGTGGCCAATCGTTTGGGTCGTAGGCTGCCGGAGATGTTTGCTCCTGTTTCTTATCAGCAACTCTTAATGCGCCAGTGGCTGAAATCCTTGCACTTTGTTTTGCAATGTGATGATAGCGGAGAATACTTTGATTTGGAACCTTACTCGTGGCTTCTGTCCCAGCTTGTTAACCTAATTCACGATGGTTCAACTTTGGAGAGTTTTCTGCGAGTACTGAAGGACTATGCGGTGGCTCCCAGAGGTAGAAAAGTGGTGCATGCCATAATGAGGGAACTGGATCCTGCTGCTTGTCTAAAAACCGCTCAATCGGCACTTTCTGCCGAAATCAATCTCTATGTGCTTATAGGTGCTGCTACTCTAGAAACTCCCCATTGGAGACATTGCCTGCTGCAGAAGGTGCCACTGCAACGAACACCAGTAGAAAACAAACAGCTTAAAACATTAGCAAGTTATCTTAATGTCGTGGCTCCTGCTCAACTGCAGGTGCTCTTTAATCAGTTGCTGGGAATTTGGTCGAAGCGTATTTCCTTGCACAAACTTGGCAGCCAGGAGCACTTGGCTATATCCAAATTGATGGTATTGGCGGGAAAATGCCTTTGCCGGAATCTTGAAATGGATTTGGACACCAAGCGTCAGCTACACGATGGACTCAGTAACCATCTGCAATCACCAGATGCATTACAGCGACATGTGGGAATGAAGGCAGTGGAGCTAATTTTTAATTTTTTGGCCTTACCTGATACAAAGGAGGATGATCGGCTACGATTTGAGTATGATGCCTTCAAAGATACATTGCAATGGCACATTTTCGAGGAATTCGATGAATTGGCTCAGTTCGAAAGTCCTAGCACGTCCAAACTAGATGAAAAACCATGTGAAGATCAGGTGAATCGGTTAGAATCCCATTTACGGGACTTTATGAGTACTGCGGAGGAGAAAGAGCAGCTTAATAGCCAGAATGTTGAAACCAAAGCGAAGCCAGCTGTTAGAATTGAGAATATCAATATAAACATGCAGCTTGACTCGGATGACGATGAACCACTTGATGAAGACGACGATGATTTAAAGCCCTATGACATGTCAAATGATACAACGAACACTATCGAGAAGCGCCCCAAATTTATTATGGACTTACTGCACCTGCTGCGAACTAAAGTCGAAAACTATGAGGTGTTTGAAGGAGCCTTGGGCACAGCGGAGCAGCTCATCCGCGGCCAACTTGCCAAGCATGACACCCAGTTAGCATTAGATCTGCTCCAGCTTTTTATAGTCCTGGAAATGCAGTTCTACTATGAAAACTTCGAACGAACTCAATTTAAGTGTTGCGTGGCCATTTGTGTGTCTCATCCTGGCCCCTGCGCCGAGTACTTGTGTCAGCAATTTCACACGGATAATTCCACTTACTCCGCTAGTGTGCGTATCCTGATTCTCCAGGTGCTGGCAGCAGCTGCAAAAGAACTATCTGGCGATGAGAAACAGCAAGATGAGAATGAAATCCTGGACATTGTACCACCAGCTGCAAAGCAGCCGAGAAAGTTTGACCTCCAGCAGGAAGAGGATAGCCCTGCTGCGCGTCTGGCCGCGGCCCAAAGGATTATCCGTAACCGTTTGCGGGCTAAAACCAAGCGGTATTTCAGCAAGCCAAAGCTTGGGGACCGTATAGAAAAGCCTAATCCGTTTCATCCGGTGGCCGGTACCTTTTTCTTTACCTTGGTGAGGGGTCAGCGCACCAGGCAGATGCTTTACGTCAAATACGAGAACATATCCCACGACATCGATACCCAGTTGCTTGTAAATCTGCTGCACACCCTGTCCGTGTTCGTCATGTGCTCCCATAATTGCCCACTGCTGCCGGCGATGACCAGGGAGATTTTTGACCTATGCGCCTTTGTTCGTTTTAATGCTGAGGCTCGCGTTCGGGCGGCTACTCTGCAGCTAATAGGTACCGCCCTGGTCACCACACCTGGTCATGTACTGGCCCAGCATTTCGCTGAGTCTCTAAATGAACTGCAACGTTGGCTAGAGGACTTCATCAGATCGCCGCTCGTGGGTGGTGAAACGTCGGATGAGTGCCGGGACTTGGCCCAAAGTATCCTGGACACCTGCTACAAGCTCTTCGACACAGCCGCAATGGAACAGGCTGCCTAGCTTAGCTATTAACCGACATCTTAAGAATTTAAATCTTAAAGAATCTTAAGAGATCGTAACTATAAACATTGTATTAAAAATAGATTAACCTTATTCTTTTCTAATGAAAAACATATTTGACCAAATATTTGGAGTCATTTGAATTGACTTATAGTTACAAGAACACTTTTAATAGAACAGCTTAGATTTCATATTGATTTCGTTAAAATATTTTTGTAACTTATACATACACTCATTAAAATATTTAAGAAAACATCAAGTCCAACCCAAAAGAGAAACAAAGAACACTGTGTCCTTAAACATTTCCTTAATATTATAACACTAATAATAGATTCCCAAGGAAAATGTATTTGCTAGAAATAAGATTATAGATTTCTCGCCTTTCAAACACTGTATTGCAGGTTGTATACATATACGGATTTACTTCATTTAAAAAAACTTTCTTTCGTTTATTTGTTTTTTCTCCAACTGTATATTTGTATTGCAAACCACACACACATCGGATCCAATTTTATTTCTCAAATATATATATGTACTTAATTATGGTGAATTGAAAAGCATTTCTCAATATTCCGGGCATTGTGCGGCCACCGCAGCCGCGGACTCATTAGGTAAACCAAATCCAATAAAACCGTAATAAGCGCCATAGCCATATAACAGATACGAACCTATTCTTTGACTATGTAATTGCACTTGATTTGCTGCGCAAACGCTTCCGAGTAGTGACCACCTCATTAGCCGATCACAAAGTAGCCGCATTTGCAATTCTATCGAAGCCACACATTCTAAACAGCTTTTTGTAAAACCAAAAACGAAAAAAAAAGGAAAATGAAAACCCAAATAACATTTTTATTGCTTTTGCTTTTTTTTCCAGACAATATGCTGCCTCCACTTGCCACCGTTACGGGCAATAATCTGCTCCAGCCCATGTCGGTGACCAATAATAACAATAATACCAATGGGGGAGCAGTTACCACCACTTCAAGTGTCCAGCCCAACAATGTGGGTGCCACCTGGTCTGGTGACCTGAAGGGAGGCAAGATGAACATCGACTTGGACAACCTGCTGATGAGCAAGTCGGGCAAGCCCAGTGCCCCTGCACCCTCTATGAACGCCCTGAAGACCCATAGTCCAGCCAAAGTGCCACTGAATGTACAGACAGGTGGCGGATTTCCTGGACTGTCGCCAATGACCAGTCCTAATATATTTGGAGCTCCGGCGCCCCAGCAGAGCATTCCACAAAACCAATCAGCATTTGCCAACTTTGGAGCGTTCCAGCAGCAGCAGCAGCACAGCAATAATAACAATAACAGCTCGTCGGCGTTCGACTTGTTTCAATGATATTGTTTAGCCTAATTTAACCCACCCCAGCCTTAAACTACTTCCCCGAAATTTCCACTCTCACATTCACATTTCCACGTTCGCTAAACTCGGCAGCTCTATAATATTATTTACGTTTTTTCCTTTCCCCTTGCTGTACAAAAGTTTGCGAAGCGTGCAATTTGTTGCTAAATTTATTGTTAAACAAGTTTCCCCCGATGCAGTTTTTTGGATCACACCCATGAATTCCACATCCGTCCTGATTGTCCACTCGGAATTTGAATGTCGTCATCAAATGCAATACAGAGTAGTTGAATAATGGTTGTACTGAACGGATTTGTTAGCACAACGCGCGGACGGACGGCTGACCGATCGATCCATCATTGAAATTGTTAAAAAAAAAGTACTACAAATAATGAAATCAAACAATTTTAGCAATAGTTAACGTTACGATGTGTCTGTATATAAATTGAATGTAAAACAAATATGAAATATAAAATAATTGAAACCAATAATTATAAAAGTCCCTTACTGATTTACAAAATCAAAAGACAAACCCAATTTGCGGGAAATACCCTACAGTATAAGTTTATTAAAATTGAATTGGGATCCATTTGGGGTCAAAGAAAATACAAAAGAAGCATGTAAAGTAAAAGGTAATTGTTTGAACTTAACACTAAGCTGAATGTAATGGAGAAAACTACGCCTCCACGGCTTTCTTTTTGTTTTTCTTTTTCTTCTTCTTTGGCTCCCCATCATCGTTTCCATTGCCGTTTTCTGCCTCGGCGGCTGCTCCGTTTCCATTGCTGGCACCATTAGCCTCCCCCTCATCCTCAGCCGCACGCTTCTTCTTCTTCTTTTTCTTCTCGGACTGAGGAGCGGCTGCTGCTTCCTGACCAGCTGCCTCGATGGCCTCTTTCATTACCTCGATGTTCTTGCGCGGCACATCGCCCGACTCGTAGAACTTAAGACGATCCTCGACCTGCTGCTTTAGAGTATCGCCAAACACGCTGGTCGGCTGCTCCAAAAAGCAATCGATACGTGAAGCGATAGAGCACTTGTTGGCTAGGAAGCGAGAGATGCGACCCTTGTTCTTAAGGCCAGCCCGGCCGATGAACGAGGAGTGATAGATAAGACCATACTTGGGCGTATTGGAGCGGGTCTTAAGGGCACGGAAGAGCGCCTTCTCAGCGCCCAGAATTTGTACAGTCGATGCTGGGTACTTGGCCAGATTTGTCAAGCTGCCGGCATGCGAAATCAGACGCGCACCGACCTGGTCGCCAATCAAAGACTGCAAATTGGGTGCCACCAGGTTCATCTTGTTGTGCAAGTAGGTGGACAGTTTCTTTCGGTACTCGGAGAGTTTTACAACACGCTCCGCGAACAGTTCAATATTCATCAGATCCACAATGGAGATGTCCATGCCCATGGACATCTTGGCGGCATCGATGATGGCCTGAGCTTTAGCTGAGTCCATGACGATCTTCTCAAGATCCTCCAGCTGTTCTTGCGTGAGGTTCTTACGATCCTTGATGAACTTGGCCGTCTTGGCGAACATGTAGTTGTCGGGCACGATTTTGACCAGTTCTGGGAAATGGTACGAGTACCACTCACGTATGCGCATAGAGAATGTATTTACATCCTTATCCAGTTGATCCAACAGGGCAATCGACTGGATGATCATGTTGTCGGAACGATGGACATTAAACTTAACCTTGGCACGCGAGTAGCTGTGGCCCAGACCCAGCTGAGCAACGCCCGCTGACTTGTCGGTGAATCCTAAAGAAAGTCAAGAAGTTTGTGATTAAATTAAGCGGTTTTGTATGGCAGAGATTAATCTTACCCTTGACAAGCTTGGCGAAATGGAATCGCACGCCTCGCAGAATCTCAGGAACAACACCAAAGTGACTGCACTGCACGCCAATGGCCTCCGTAATAGCAGCTCCCAGCTTAGCATCTGCAATGCCCAAGGTACACTTCTTCTTCTTAAGCTTGGCGAAGAAATCATCAAGGAAGGTCAGCAGGTCTTGCGGCACAATGCCCTCGGAAATGGCATTGATGTTCTCCAGAGCAGCGATGGCCGTCTTAAAGGGGGCAAATCCCGCCAGCTTCACAATGGAGTTAAACTTGCCGAGGTCCGTCACCGAGGACTCTACTTGAGGCAGGAACATGGACACTTCCTCGAACTCCTTGACGGAGAAAAGCGAGAAACCCGCCGCATGCTCGTACAGCACATACAGGTTCGACTGGAGGAGGGGAAATGAAAAATTATCAGTTTGGTGTGGTGGCAAGCACATGTGTTTTAGGGTGCTCCGCCAGTTAGGTTAGTTTTCATTGAGAAAACATTTTAGTTTTACTGGATTTCCATGAAACAATTGTATGTGTGTCTTTATACATTAAATACTTACCATGTTTATGCCGAATATATGCCTTTTTTATATAAAAATACGTATATTTATTCACGCACAATGCTTTCAACAGTTGTTTTTCCACGTGCTTACTTGAAAGTGTGACCGTAGCGACCAATATTTTAAATGTCAAATACATACTAAACAAAATTCCAAAGTACCGTACTTCATTATTTCAACAGGCTGGCCACGTTGATAACCTGGTAACCTGTCGCGTTGTCCCTTTCGCACCTTCAGCAATTGTCTCTGTGTGTGAAAGCAATTTTATTTTTATTTATAACAATTTTTGCGTTTATAAACACAACATAAATAAGTTGTTGGCTCGGCACACTTCCTGGAACCGCTTGCATCAGCTGTTGGGCTTCGGAATTAGCTTAGCAACCGACCAACTGGTGGCCAGATACCGTCATTTCCATTTCCTAGTTGACCAGAGAAAGAAACCTGCTGCGAATTCCAGCTACTTTTCTTTCATTATTATTCGGCGTTAATTGTGTGAAAATCGGCAGAATAGAGCTGCTGACACGTCACAGGAGAGCCGGAAAAGTGGTGTGGCACTCGCCGGAAAAGTCAACGTATAGGAAAATTCCATCGGAGGCCCAGTGAAAGGCAAAGCACAGCAACTGCATGCCATGGACTTCTTATTGTAAGTTCTGGGGGCAACAAAAAAAGCAACAGTGCGTCAACTGCAATCCTTTCAAGCACAAAGAAAGCTCGGATCACCCCGCCCCCATTTCTGACTTTCCGGCTTTGTTTCCCCATTTGGGGGTGCTATCCCCATCTCCTGTACAGTAGAACTTCCCTAACTTAAACAAATTTAAATCAACAAGTTTTGCAACTGAAAAGTTAACAAATACAATACTGATTTTATATCAATGGAAGAATGAAAATCAAATTATCTATTATTATATTTTTTTAAGTTATAAATAATTGTCGTATTTTAGAGACTGTTTTAATTCCACAACTTTGGGTATGCAAAAATATCAACGTAAATGTCTTTAACGACCTTTCGAAGAAAGAGGATAGGCTTCTTTTTTATGTAAATTTTGAAGAACCTGCTTGATGTAAACTTGTGGTTCCAGTTATGAATGTTCTACTTTTTGTTTAGGGTTGTTGAATCCGTGACTTATTGCCCCTCTGTTCCTACAGCGGTTCCCGTTCCAGCAAAACCTTCAAGCCCAAGAAGAACATCCCGGAGGGCACACACCAGTATGATCTCATGAAGCATGCGGCAGCCACGTTGGGATCGGGAAACTTAAGAAATGCAGTGGCTCTGCCGGATGGCGAGGATCTCAACGAGTGGGTGGCCGTCAACAGTGAGTATTGTATAGTATAAACAACAGGAAAAATCAAATCTTAATGGTGAAAATTTTGCAGCTGTGGATTTCTTCAATCAGATCAATATGCTTTACGGCACTATCACCGAGTTTTGCACGGAGGAGACCTGTGGCATCATGTCGGCTGGTCCGAAATACGAATACCACTGGGCTGACGGTTTGACCGTAAAGAAGCCCATCAAGTGTAGCGCCCCCAAGTACATTGACTATCTGATGACTTGGGTACAAGACCAGCTGGACGACGAGACCCTGTTTCCCTCCAAGATCGGTGTGCCGTTTCCAAGGAACTTTCACTCCTCCGCCAAGACCATACTGAAGCGTCTCTTCCGCGTATATGCGCATATCTACCATCAGCACTTCACAGAAGTGGTGACGCTGGGGGAGGAGGCCCATCTAAACACGTCCTTCAAGCACTTTATTTTCTTCGTGCAGGAGTTCAATCTGATTGAGCGGCGCGAGCTTGCCCCACTCCAGGAGCTGATCGACAAGTTGACGGCAAAGGATGAAAGGCAGATATAGGAATCACTGCAGGGAGCCGGTTATTCAAGGGATTCCGGCGGAGGTGGCCGTGGCCTGGGCTTGCAGTTGGACTTGTGATGGGAGCGCTCTGGCGGACTCGTGTATTATGCTTTAGTTAGTTACCGCCTATCCTTTTAAGTTTCGTTCATTGCTTCTTGGGGTGTCTCCCACTAAACAAAAAAAACAGCCGATCGGCGGAGTGAACCGAACTATAGCGGGATAATTGCTGATTCAGAGCAACTACTATATTTTTATATGTGAATCGTAACTTTAAGGAGTATAAATCATATTTATATATATATATAAAGGAGAAAACAAAAAGCATCAGCAGCAACAGCACGCCTCTAAACACTAACACATCCCGCTTTCCAGAAACAGCCAATATTACGTTCACAAACTGTGCGTGTTTCCTTGTTTATCGTTTTTTCTTTCTGTATGTATTGTATGTATTTATTACTATTAAACTATCGCTAAATAGCTCGGCGTCGTACAGCGGATTAAGCGATTTTGTAATGCAAACCCCAGCAATGTGAGGCGACGGTCGACAGCACCCAATAACTGATAATAATTGTAGACTTGATAAACATTTTTGATACGTTTTATACTAATAAAGAGAATATTATGAATAAAGTCAACTCTCTTTTAGGTTTATCGTGCATTGACACTTTATTTGGAAACAAAAAAAAACAGAAATGGTATAGAAGAATAACATGATGAAAATATGCCTTTTGAAAAGGTATAACGCAATGTCTTAAAATATAGAATTATGGTTTAGTGGGGAATTAGGGAGTACTTATAGTACCCTTCCATAAAATATGACAACTGATATGCGCCTGTGTGCATTTGCGCATTGTAAATGTTTTCGACTAATCTATAGCATTCGGCTAATCGTCTTGTTATCACTGTCGCCACACTAACCCCAATCACTTGAGCTTGCTTTTGTATTTGTCTTGTTCCAAATAGAAATCGGCATTCTCCTCAACCATCTGTTTCCACTTCAGAGACAGTTCCTTATAGCTTAATCCTTGTCCACCCAGCTCCTTGGGCAATTGATCACAGGTCACAGAGGTTCCCTCCTTTCGCACGAAAAGTCGGGATCTTATTTTGGGCGTCATGAATATTCTAAAATAGTTGGTTAAAGAAAGAAATTTCTTTTTGAAATAATATATAACTCACCTAAAGGTATTTAGAAAAAAGTTAACATGTCGCGGGGCGTTGGTGAACTCCAGTAGCTTGGGCTGACATGGATAAGCTGTCCAGCTCTCCACCGATCGCTTTATGAGTTTTGGATTCATTTGAAGGGCATGGCCCAGTTGAACGCCCTGCATATCTAAAATAGCCACCATTCCCCGGGCACAAGTCTCGGGCTCGAGCTTTAGCAGCAGGTCCAATATCATTTTGCTGGTCTGGGAAACAAAGGTCATGGTCATACGTAAAAATTCACAGCATTATGATATCGAAACTATATATAATTCTACATATTGGCACGTTATTCCCTGACTCACCTTGAAGACATTGTTCTGGGTATGGAGCTTAGGATCGTGTGCCGCTGTCCGGATGACCACCACCATCCTTTGTTCCGCATCTGGACCAATGGGAAGGAATACTCCAAGATTAAGTAACTCCTGGATTTCGGGCAACTGTGGATCGCGATTATCGAACCATTCGGTGCGCTCCGCTCGCATTTGGTAAAATGTTTTTATCTTCTTCTGGGTCCGTTCAACATCGAACTTTGATGTTCTGAGGAAGAAGTGCAAATTCTCGAAAGTATTGCACCCGTTGATTTGGGGATTGGCCAGCAGCCAGTCACTGAGATCCTGCACCTGCGCCAAAACCTTCTCGGGGTCACCATCAGTGGTGGACACTTGTCTTTTTGAACTGCTACTGCGCGACCACATGGCGCTCTTTTGAAGACGACGACTGTCAGCAAACTAAAACAATTGTTTATAAACAAATTGCGACATGCACTCGCCAGCCAAAATAAGCTTTTTAAGCTTTTACGCGTACTCAGCGTTTTTTTTAATCGTTCATTCCGTCAGCACTTCACACTGGCGAATCGCATTCTAAAAATACATAATTGCTGATCCATTGCAAGCTTAATTGTTGCGTTTTGGCGAAATTGGATTAAATTAATTCGAATTGATTGCCAAGAAGCGCTGACTTAGTTGCTTTGTATTTTAAACTTGCTGATTTCGATAGACGCGAAGGCATGCACATTAGAGATGGACAATTTTAAATGGGCTTACATTTTCTGTTAACTTGCTGTTGACTATAATTTTTTAACGGTTTTATGGTCTCAGTTCTTGCTAATTTATGTAAATTTAAAATAGCTAATTGAAATGTCGAATGTCTCAGTAGTACTTAAAGAAATATATATATATATATATATTTTGGTTTTTATGTTATTGTGTATTTACATTAACTTTAGAAATTTTTTGACAGTCAAAGATAAGAATTTGTATAGCCATTTCATATTTTGGATTGAAACATATTTAAACTAGGTACTTTAAAGTTTAACCTTTTATGGTTTTTTGGGTCAAGTGTTTGTAGATAAAAATATATGATTGATGAGCTTAAGAGCACATTTGCAAATTTAGTAAATTTGCATGTTAGGTATATATATTACTTTAGGTATATAAACCCGACATATTCAGGGTGTTCTTCAGTTGTCTTTCAGCATTATATCATCATGTTTCTTCGTGTGCTTTTGGTTAGCTTGGCCCTAGTTGTAATGGCATATGCTCAACCGGCTCCTGGGGACAATAATATACTTGATGGTAAGTGAACTTACTGTGTAAACTTCGAAATTTTATAAAATCTGAAATTTTTAGGTTCTCGGTCTGGTCTAGCTCGTCCATTTGTTGTCCCGGAGCCCAGCGATGTTCCGCAGCAGCGTACTTTTGTGTTTCTCCTACCACTACTGTTCCCTAAAGAATTTTACATTTCCTAAATTAATTAATAAAGGCAACTGATTTTGAACATATTTTATGTATTATATTTATTTTCCTTTTTTTTACCAAAAATCACAAAAACATGATCTAGTTGTACTTTAAGATAAACTTTATTCACATAGAAAATAAATAATTATTACATTTCAACACTTTGCTCTGCCAGTTATGTCTCACCATAAATTCCACTTTACCTTGCTCATCCTGCTCTCTTTTTTATATTTTCCTTAGGTCGATGCTTATGTTTTAAAATAAAATGTATATTTACAAAGATGTTGTACGTAAAACTTATGTCAACGTTGAGGGCGGTAGATATTTGATTCTGGGTAAAAGAAAGGACTCAGGAGCAGGAGGTGTGTTGGAGTTCGTGGTAGTGCGGTATGGTGGTGCTGCTGGTGGTGATGGGGGTTTTTGGTGGTGCAAGTGCTCAAAAGGCCCCGTTGAAGTGCAGGTTTTGTGAGGCGAACTGCGGTATCCCATGGTTGAGAGCTAAAACTTTACTGATTACTTTCAATTCATCAAAATTTCTTAAGCTGCTAAATTGACTAAGAGGATTGCCATTGGGGCCACTAGGTCTGCCCTTATAGTGTGCATTACCTGGACTAATGTCGCCGCTGGCTTTTGGTTGCTGTTGTTGCTGCAACTGTTGCTGCTGCTGCTGCAGATATTGCTGGGCGTTCTGCTGCAACTGGTTGCTCAACTGTGGCGTCAGATGTTGCCTGTAGAAATTCTGATTCTCCAGACTGGGATTGCTATTTAAGCCAGGCTGTTGGCTAACAATTGTGGTGGCAAAGGAGTTGCTCGGCTGAATCTCCACATTGGAATTCAGGCCAAAGTTACCCACTCCCGTCTCCTGGCGGAATTGCCGAGCCCTTTGTTGCTGTTGGAACACCGCATTGCTGACGTAGTTGGGCACCAGCAACTGTTGCTGCTGCTGCTGCTGTTGAAATGGCTTGTAATTGTTATGGGGCAAGGCCTGAAGTTGCGATGCCTCAGCCGGTGCAAAGTTGAACTGATTGGAGGGCTGGACTTGAGGGTTTTCGTTCGATTTCTGCAGAGATTGCTGCAAATTTTGGAAAATCTGTTGAACTGCATTTGCTGGCGGCTTCTGATAGTTATTTGCGTTTACGTTGCCATTGTGCAGGGCGAATTTATGACCCGAAACGGCATCGCGCAGCGGCAATTGCTGCTCAATTGGATATGTGGGATAAATAACAGTTTTGGTATGTGTGCTGGGTATAAATTCCACCGAAGGTCTTATGGAGTAACCACCGCCCAAAGAGGGCGGTTGCAGGCCCGTTTGAATGGCCTCCAGCGAACCATGTTGCTGTTGTACTTGTGGCAGTTGCTGTTGCTGCTGGAGGTGTTGTTGCGGTTGCTGTTGTTGTTGCTGCTGTGGCTGCAATGTGCTGGGTTGGGCAATCGGTGTGCCCTGGAAACGACTTTGAGTCTGTTCCTCCAACAGCTTCAGTTGGCGCAGGATCAGAGCCTGTTGCTGCTGCGCCTGAACCTTAAGCTGGTAGATCTGTTGCTCCAGAGCCCGCTGCCGCTCGATCAGGTAGTTATTGACACTTGGTGGCTCTGAGAGATTGTTCAGGGGTTCCTGCTAAAATATTTATATAGTAAAATATAATCTTAAATACGAGTATATTAACAAATCTTTATTTAATATTAACTAAAAGGTATTTGCATGTCTGAAGGATAAGAAATTGAGTAGCTTTAAGCAACTTACCTTCACATAATTACTGGTGGAGCTGGACAGGAAACCTGGAGTGGTGGAGAAACCACCGCCGGCAGAGGTGCTGGTGCTCGTGCTAATCTGGGTGGTGGTACTGCTGGTGGGTGGAAACTGTGTGGGTAGCGCATTGGCCGGTGGCTCAGTTTCCAAAACACTCAGTTTAGTGATGGTGGGTCCAATGTGTGGCAGCTGCGGTTGCTGTTGTTGTGGTACTGCGAAATTGGTGGTGCGGTGATGCTGGTTGCCCGCCAGCAATGGGCGGAACTTTTGGGCCGTGCCACGCTCGTCCAGATCAACGGTAAAGGCGGTCACCAGTGGGGCTTCCTGAATACGAATGTCCTGCTTGTCCACTAGCTCTATGTTCTCCCCATCTTCGTTATGGGTGGGTCTGGGAGTGGTGGTTGTAGTTGTCGTTGTTGTCGTGGTGGTGCGACGTCTAGTGGTGCGAGGTCTTGGCGTAGTGGTTGTGGTCGTTGTCGAGGTTGTGGTTGTCGTGGGCGTGGTGGTCTTCCTTACATTGCTGATCTCGAATTTGATCTCGTGACTGCCGCTGTCATGGGAGATCTCATTGCTGCTCACGGATCCGGAACTGGAGCTGTCCACACTACGGGTGAGTTGTCGATTCTCTGGACCCTCGGCCTCTGCGGATTTCGGTTCAAGTGGCAGGGAAATGGCAGGTAAGTTCTGTTTACGTATTGTGGTCTTCTTCCAGAGCTTGGAACGGTCGATAAAGGAAGATAGCAGCTGCTCCTGGGCATTCTTTTCGTCAAAGGTGGCCGTGTAGAATTGAACTGTCGGCACCACTGGCTCCGGTTCGTTACCCCGTGTGCTCTCCTCCAGAATCTCATCCTTTTCGCGATGCGATGGCAGAGTGGTGGTTTCTGTACGGAGTAGAGAACGGGAACCACTGCTGCTGGTATTCTCCTCACCACTTTCCGTGGCTGCCGCCTCTTCCTGCTCCAGTTTATCAATGGCTCGAAGTAAAGCCTGTCTCACAGAGTAATCTAGCTTTTGAATAGCTTCCCTGGGAATGATCTCGTTGCTCTCCGTACTGGAACTATCCACCTCCTCCTCCTTTTGATCGGCAGTCGATTCAGCATTGGTCACATGGAGCTTCAAAGCGGTCAGCAGTAGAACCACCAGCAGAGCCCAAGGCAGGCTATTTAAATGTCTCTGTTTACGGGAAAGAAAAAAAGAAACCGAAAGAAAGAGGAAACATTAATGGCTACGCTTAAAATTTAATAACTTAATAAGTTCGACAGCCTTCTCTTAATGGGGGTCTTAGTTTCAGGCCTCATTTGCCTTAATGGCAATTGATGCTCGGCTAGTTGGAGACACCTTGGGCACCAGGGCACTTGGGCTAATTGCCTGTGACACCTTAACCATTTCGCATGGCATGGCAATAGGAAAAGTGCTCTTTGCCAAAATGGCTTGCGGAATTATTCACCCTTTTTAAGCTTAGGCAATTTTCTTTAACTTGTAACTTTGGCTTTGGGTTTGGAAATGCTTCTGAAAGTTATTTGGAACTCCAAGTAAAAGTAACTTGAAAATTGTAAGTTATTTAAATTAAGGCTTGGATTACAAAATTGCACCTTAACAAATATATAAATGGAACTATTTACATCTAGTTATCGGATTAAAGTGTGTCGTATATTATGAGATTATTATTACTTAAGCTGTGTCAAAATTTTTGCAAAATTTTATTGCATAAGAAATGCTTTCTGAATTTTCTAACTAAACTAGTTGAAAATTCGATTGCATTTCATTCGCCATATTAGAGGCCAAGCCCAATTGCGGCAAAACGTTAACAACCTGATGGAAAATGCATGCTCTTGGTGTGCAGCTTGTGACCCCTTCTGTTTTCCCAACCCAAGTCTGCTAATCTCGGCGTGGTAATCTTTCCGGCATTCGAGCAGATGGAAAATCATAACGCAATGTATGTATAGTTTTTGCTGGTCAGGCTGCCCACTCATGGTATTCGTGTTTCTGGCCTCTTGTTTTTTTTGGGGGAATCTGCGGCTGCGTTTGGGCCTTTGCCATTGCCTTTGCTTTTGCACAATTTCCCATTTTCAACAGCTTGACGATTGATTCCTGGTGGTTTGTTCATGTGGTACGGCGAGACCGTTTGCAAATTGGCCAGCAACTTGCAACGCTTGTTTGGCTGTGGCCAAGTGCTTAGGCTAATTGTTGCATCAACGACCAGAGGAATCGGTTACCTGGCTGTAGGAAAGCCAAAACCATCTGACCACCTGTCGCCGGAGCTACGTGAGTTTCTCGCTTTGATTTGGTTTCGTTTTGTTCGGGCTTTAAGATTTTGTAGATTTGGGTTTTGGGTCTGGGTTCACTTTTAGGTGCCCAGGATATTTGTGTGGCAGTCACGTTGTTGCCACTTGGCACTTGGCATTACTTCGCGTTGTTGGCCAAATTTGAACAATCGTGGCCCAGTCGTTGCCTGACTGGGAATTATTTAATCGGCTTCAGCAGCAACAGCAGCAGCAGATGAAATGAAAAGCCCATTTGATGCGCAGGAAGGATTCCAGCGATTTGCAATGCCAATGTTGCATAAATCTCAGTTTTGCACAGAGAGGAATTTTTGAACAAAAACGAAATGGCAAATAAAAGCAAAAAATTTTAAGACTTAATGTAAATGTTTAGATTTGAACCGCTTAATAAGATACTAATTACCTATTCATAAGCCGTATTTTTCGCGTGGATTGTGGCAAACGCAAAAATCCTAGAGGCCATTTTTCAGTTGGGCTTTCCTATAGGTCATCAATCTTTTCCATTGATTAAATCTTTCAACTTTGATCAACACCTTTGACTGATGTTCGCCCCTTAAACTTTCTACTTGTCCGCCTTTGGTTGTTCGAATAACCAAAGGCGTCTCCTTTGATGTACATAGCTATAAAATCGAACATGACTCGACTCTTTACACATTAAACAGGCTGTTGGAAATAAGTATTATTTTTCACAATTTAACTGGCATCCGCCTTCGTCCGCCCAAGCCAAGGCCAGAGTTCAAGTTCTGCTAAAGGGCAAAGCATTATGGGCCACGCCAACGTCCAGGAGGCAACCATTTTTGATGGGAAACAACCTCACTTGGCAGTCATTTCACCTCGCAACTACCTTGCTATTGACTTTCCTCTTGCCTTGTTTTTTTTGCGTTTTTGGCCAACAAAATCGATGGCGTTGTCTGCTTTGCTGCTCATTTGCGTCAATTTCACTATGGAAATCATCGTGGGCATCAAGTCAGTCAGCCAAATAGTCGGACAGTCCGTCAGTCAGTCGCCTCGACTTGGCGCTAAGCTAATCAAGTTTACCGGCTTTGATTTCGCGGATCGGGTTGGAAAAAAGGTGTATATATATATAGAAGGGGGAGGGAGGATTCGCAGACCATGTAAAAAGAAATAGCAATCATCATAAATTGTAATGGCCAGTTGGGAATCTCTCTGTGGCCATATGAATAGGCAGCGGGCTCAATAGCATGTGGCCATTTCCATTTATTTCATTTCAGGCCATTTCCCTGCTATGTTTGGCACTTCAAAACACGAAAATTCAATGCAGCATTTGCGGAAGTGCTTAATCGTAAATATTTGAGGGCTTTAAGTGGATTACATGATTATGTTGCCGTAAATAAATTTAACATTTTTTACATTTTTATATGTTTAATTAAAGATGATTGAGTTGTTTGTACTTAAAACCTTGGCTGAATGTAATTATGAATTTGAATTAAAAGTTTGATTGTTATTAAAGTTCATATTTACCTTATCTGTATGGGAAAGTTATTGTTAAATACAATAATTAAAAAATGCATATTTATTTTTGAAAATAACTCAAGGGTTCGAAGAAAAAAGTTAAATATATAAATTAAAATTTGAATTTTGATGGCAAAAGGTTAATAAGCCTGGCAGCAATTTGAAAATTTCTCTATTTAAAATTCGCGCCAGTTCCCAACTGAAAAATCCAATCAAAAGACGCCGCGAATTTCCGTTTTAATTGGATGAATATATTCCACATTGTAAACGTACGAAATTAACAAGCGCGTAAAACGCCAAAAGGCAGCTCAATAAAATTCCTTTAATTATCCATAATTATTTTCGCTTCCCCCTTGGGTTCCGCAAAAGGAAGAAAGAAGCTCGAAGCCACAAGTCTGGCCACAAACATGCTGCAAAGTGTAAAAAGTGATTTAACAACAATCGGACAAAGCCAATAAATTAGCAATACCTCAATGGATAATGGCCCAGAGCTGTCTATATAATATATTTGTGTGTATATATCTGTTGTGTGTGGGTTGAAAGTGTTTTCTTTATTGTTTTGCCTGCTCTTCAGGTAACCAAATATCTCCCCGGGCCAAAAGAAGCACCAATTGCATAATTCCAAACTGACCAAAAACCGAAACTTCACTTTCGACGTTCGTACTGGGTAACCCAGTTCCACTGGACAACAATGAAAACCAAGAAAAGCAAAAAAAGAAAAATGGTACATCATATTCGTATGCCAGTAATTCGAGCTGTCAGTTGGGAGGGGACTTCGTGGATTTCCCCCTTGCTTTTTTTTTTTATTGTGATTAATTTCACGCCTGCTGAGCGCCGCTGCACCTCAGATATTTCGCATTCTACAGATGCATTTTGCATTTTGCATTTACCACTTAGAGCATTGCTCAAACCGGTGGTGGTTGCATCCACATCCAAAAGCCACGCATTATTAAGCAGCTGGCAAGATGATAAACCCCCGAAAAACTTCGAGACCCCGCCGAAAGTTGTTTATCTGGCTCTGGATGTAACAGTTCGCTATATAACGCAATCCCAGCTCCAGTCCCCAAATCCCAAGTCCCAACCCCAACGCCAATTGACTAGCCGGTGCAAATTGGTGTTTATGAATGTGCTCTATGTGGGCCAGCATAAATATTAATGTTGTAAAATTGATGTTGTAAGAGTCATAAAATGCAACCGCATCTAATATAAATATATATGTATATATTATATTAAAAGCCAGTTCACGCCCAAATAAACGATTGATGGGCTCAAGGGAACATGGTTTTGTTAATATTCATCTTGGCATAAAGCTCGTATAAATGTCTTACTATTATGATATACAAATTGGACTGTATTCATAACCAAATTCGAGATGATAATTAAAACAATGGGAGTTATCACATGCAAATGGCTGACAGAAATCTTCTGTGGTTAAAATACTTTAAAAGGGTAAATATAGATGTTACAGAAATGGTTTCTTGCTGGTTTATATCATATTTTATGGCTTTTATTTAAGTCTGAATAAGTTTAAAATAAACTGACATTCATAAAAACTTTATTGTTATCTGGAGTATGGAAAATTCTCTTTAACTAAAGTATGTTTCGAAATTTTAAAGACTTTTATCTTCATAAAAATGTTATAATATTATATAATCTAAGAAAAGGATTGGGTAACATACATATCTACAAAAATCTATTAAATTCCTGTGACATTTATATTGCAAGTTGGTTAAAACCCATTTTAAGAGGAAATCGGAAAAGTAATAATCTCTAATGGTCAAGCAGATTCCAATACTGTAAGAGCATGTACAAATCAATATGTTTGCTACCATTTTTTGGCCTTTATCAATGACGATGCCACTCAGTGTTCGGTTGCTCAATAAATTTGTTACAGTATTTTATGGGCTTTTAACTGCCTTTGTGGCTACCAAGCATCGTTGTCCACAGACCCATAAAAAACCACCGTAATTGCGTGTGTGGGCTTCGGCAGCAGCAACAGCAGCAGCAGCAGACTCTCATCTTCAATGGAAGCCATCTAGTCACTCGATGCCAGATAGCAAGTCCCCTGGACCATTTGCATAATTTCACACTCACATCTCGAGGCTGACGCGCCCTAATCTCAGATTTTATACCATTGTTTTCGATGCGATATCGATATAATCTTTGGGCCTAGGCTGTTTTGACATGGAAGCGAGCTTTTGATTTGGTTTGATTGGCATTGATTGGGTCGCTGGCTGTTGGCCAATAACTGCGATATATCGTGCGATATGCGAGATGGGGGGATCTCCGCCGAAATCGAATTCATAGCTGTTTACATTTCGATTAGGGCCCATTTTGCTGACTGTTATTTTGCATATTTATGTGCATTTAATTGAGCTTTGGTTGCGTGTAAGCCGTCATGGCAGATATGGCAGATAGCAGCATTTCGATGGGTCATAGACAAAGGTTATTTTCGTCTGATTGGCCAGAGGTCAAGTTTATTGATGGACCACCGATAACCAGCCGAAGTTCAAGTTTGGGACATCAAATTGAATTTGCCAGGCGATTGACAATAATATTATTCCGTCTGTTACAACAGGTTTCCTACCATTCATAACTATTATTTTTTTTCTTCTATTTTTGCCACGCCAAACTCTCTCGCTGGCTGGAGTGAAAATCCGTAGACGTAGCTTATTGACCAACGCTTTTTGCCATCTTCCCCGGCTTTTATTTAGCCACACTCACACACAGGTATTTCATAATAAAAATAAGACAAAATTACCAATGTGCGCATATTACGATAAATTTCCGCAGCCCATGCATACAGTCATAGTCATGGCGGTAAGGCAAGGTTTTTCCATCCAACAAATAATTTCTGTTTGTTTGTTGGTGTTTGGTTCGCGTAATGTCTGCCCATTGTTCGGCGTTTGGATTTTTTAAAGGAGGGGCCGGAGGGAAATCTCTGTATTTTCTTTTTACTATTTTTTTTTTCTTCACTTTTTGTTTTGCTGTTTACATCTAATGGCGCGTTGAGACAAAAATGCAATGTCAATGGCATCATTGGGCCCGTGTGTACTCGGTAATTTCGGTTTCACTTTTATCGATGCCCGGGCATCTGGTCTCCGAAGATCCAACTGTTGAGGAAGACCCCAAACTAAGGCGAGACGAAGATGCTGCCGGTGTCGGTGCCGGTGCCAGAGATCATCGGTGGCAGTGGCCAGTGGAAGTGGTAAATGTTTTTATGCCCAAGCATTGTTTGGCCTGTCTATATAGTTACATATTATTATGTAAATCGGTTACATTGTGTGTGTGTGCCAGTTACCACCGAAAGGTACCAACAGCCAGTACAATTGTCAGTTCGAAATGCTGCTGCTGTTGACCTTTCAACGTCAGATGCGTCGATAGGTTTACAAAACAAAAGACTTAGGCAACGAACTCGATACTAAACTCCCCCTAAAAGCGTTGCATGACCGTCAGCTCATCTATTGCACTTGCTCACCATCTAAACTTATACTCTTATTTATATATTACAAGTGGCGCTGATTTATTTGAGGGGTTTCTCCTCATTCCATTACCATTACCATCACCATCACCATTCCCATTCCCTATTCCTTTTGGTTGCCCATCTATCATATGGTAAATTGTAAATTGCTATTTTGACAATTGCACAATTTCGTGCAGAGCCTGGCTTTTTTCTTAGATACAGATCTCCTCGCACGATATATGGTCGGTGCTCAGTGTGCGGGCGGTTTTTTCTTGTTATTTATTTCTTGTTGAATCCATGAATTGGATATCTTGTGAATGAAGCGCCGGTCGTGAGTGAGTGTGTGGAACTTTTACTTTTGTGTTACCCTACAATAATGGCGCCGGGTCAACAGTTCCGATAAGCAAATCAAATATCATTACCTGATCAATGAATGACTGTGGATATCGGTACGGAACCCCAGGGCACTTGATTGTTAATTGAATTGATTGAGGGAAACTCACGGGTGATAAAAATCCATTCAGATGTGTATATAGTGTAAGGTTTGTAAGGGAAACGATAGCCAATGACTCGGGTCATTATTAAACCAATTGTTTCCTTTATTTTATGCTTGGACTTGCTTTCATTAATGAGTATTACATTTTCTTTGTGTTATTTATAATTATATTGATGAAGATTAAAAACTACTACAAAAACTGAATTTCTATTGGGAAAGGTGTTTCTTTTGTGATGATTTAATAAAAGTTTCAGCAATTAGGTGTTTGTTTTGATTTATCAAAGAAGGGTTAAAAGATCAGTGCGGGAAACTGGAATTGATAATATATATTGAAGGGAACTTATATCCAATGACTTTCAGAATTTGTAATACAATTTTGATTTGTATTGCCGCCTAAAACTTTCTTTTATTGATATTGATTAGAGTGTTGATTAAAGAAAATTATGAAATAAAGTTTGAGGAGTTACAACCACTAATTTCCCTGGACAAAGGTAAGTACTTTTTCTATGTACTCCTTCTTAATTGATTTTACAAGTGGGAGCATATTTATGAACTTAACTTCCACCACTCCTAATAAATAAACATACTAAAAGTTTTAATAGCTGAACTCTATTTTTTTAGAGTTGTATACATAGGGAAAAACCCCGGGACATCCCTTGACACTGACTGCCTCTGGATGATTTATGACCCGTTGGCTAATTTTGGGCTGGTGAAATCAGCGGCCGGCAAGGAAGACAACTCTTATTTGCTACTTTTTTTTGCCGAGGCAAACAGAAAAGTGAAAAAAAAATGGAAAAACGCAGCATAATCAATTTTAAGCATTGTCAAACTGCAATTATGCAACGGTGAAAAGTGAAATTTTATTGCATGTCAACAACGGCAGACATCTACACACATCTTGCGTTTTGGGACGTCTTCACAAATGACTTGGTGGCTGGGCCTGGGATTGGTTATTTCTTTTTGGGATATTGATATTGGGAGTCGAGTCTGGATCCGGTTGCTCAGGTCCAGTCGAAGGCTGGTGGTGCCAGTGCCAACTCTCAACTTTGGCTGGCGAACAGGTCGCACTGGCCATTTGAATTTGGCCATAAAATGTCGATTGCATAATCTGGAAATCGGATATGCCTGGGGTGTGGGCTTTAGATTGGCTTACATGCAGGTCAGAAGGCACATAAATCCTTGAGCGGGTTAGCCAATCTAATTGGGTTAAAACAACCATCTGACCAGCACCTGTGCTTGTTATAAACACCATCCAATCGCATTTCGACCTCAAAGAGGCCTTTTTATGTCACTTTTAACGGTCTTAATCAGACACAGTCACCAAATGAAGTTTGGATGATTAACGGTCGTAAAACAACTTGATCGGTAGCTGGCATACGCATTAAATGCGTCTCATATGTCGCTAATTAAATTGTTTTATTGGCCACGAGACGGAATCATTAAATGGCATTAAAAACCCATTACCCAAATGACATGGCAAATGACTTTCAATAATTTGATCTTGCCAAAAAAACGTAGAAATCCCATGCATATATTCATGAATGGGCTATCTGATCGATTGGCGTTGATCGTAGCTGTCAGATCATGGCCCGTAACTCCCACGCCTGGTTTTTTCTTTTTTTTTGAAAGTGCCAAAAATGGGCGGTGCCTTATGTCTTACTAATTGATGTTATTTAATTAGCAAAATTGGTAAACTTTCTATTGAGGTTTGTCTGTTAAACTTTCTGATACAAAAAAAAGTGTTAGGGGATTTCTTGAGGGATCATTATAAATAATGCTAAGTGGTTTTCTAGTGGCAAATAAGTTTATTATCATCTTGCTATTAATCTTTTAGAACGAATCTAGGCCTTTCGCTATTTACTTTTTTGGTTCTTGCAAAAAAGCTTCTCACATTTTTGCTAATAACTTTTAATTTCTATAAAAAATATTAACATTTTATCATATTTAATCCCATAACCCAATATTTTTATATGTCCTATATATACTGGTACTCACCACCAGCATTATGATGATCTATTAGATATGTATCTTCGTATCCAATTTTATAGCTCTGTAATCCGATGGTTTGATGACCACTCCACCGCACTCTATATTTCGCTACCAGATGAGGCACGCAATCAAATCGCAATATTCGAAACGAAATAGAAACATAAAATAATCAAATGCGAATTAGCTGCTAACGTTTCCTTTATTGTGTTTTTGGATTATATTCATTTGATTTGTATAATGCCAATATGCCGCTGGCTGTCGGTCGTTCCTCGTTGCACTTTATTTTCGATTAATGGCCAAATTTCGAATCGTTATTTTCGAATTAGCGGACAACAGTTCACACCGCCCGATAATTTTCGCGGCTCAGAGTTAGTTAGATTTTGTATTTTTTCTGCTTAAAGGTTGCCTTTTAGCTTTGTTGTTTTTGTTTTTTGTTTTTGAGATTTAGTTTTTAAAGCGCTGAGGCGGCTAACCGCTGGCAGAGAAAAACTGAACCAAACCAAACCGTCTGAACGCTCGATGCAGACTGAGCGGCAACCTCTGCGAGGTTTCCTTGCCGAAGACAAAAGCATAAGACCATGGGCATATTAACTTTGGCGAGGCGACCAGTTCGCGATCATCAAATAGACTTATCGATTGTCGGGACAGCTTCGTTGGTGTATCCATCTTATCCATAGCGATAACGATTTTAAGGAATAAGTGTCATTATGAAACATTTTTGGAATATATTATGAAAAAAATAATTTTGAACCTAATGTTGCCCCATTCAAGGTTCGAACACTCACATAGAGAAAAGGACACGGTTCGAGTAAAAAAAAAACCTTCTTGGGTGAGGCAACAGTTTGGTGCCTGAATAATTTTCAGGACGCAGCTGAAGATGCCTCTTTTTTTTCTATATAATATTAATCAATATTAGGGTCTGACATTTAATTTGTACATGTATATATTTATAATTTTGTAATTTTTAAATTTTTTATTATGTATCTAATTATTTGAATCAATATTTAATAAAATTACAATATTTTTCAGCATATCAATTTCCAGCAACAAGTTTCTAAGCATTATTGTCGTCTTCGCAACATGTTGCCAAGCCAGTAATTGTTGCCAAAGAAAAGAGATATATTTCTTAGCTGAAAGGGTAAGGGCAGAGATTATTTGTAGAAAAATTACATTTATTTATAATTTAATTATAGTTTATGAAAAATATAAAAAAATTGAATGGAAATATTTTATTTATGACTTTAAAGACCAACATAAATATTTTTGTATTATTTTAACGAAAGTCAGCAGCTTGTTATGGCTTCTTTCATTGTTAAGCTTGAACTTGGCTCGCAGCAAACTGCAAACTTGCTACACCTTTAATGGCCATCATGACGCAACGGAATTCTAGTGGAACTGCATTGCCCGAGGGTTAATTAAGTTTTTTTACCATTTAAACATTTACATTTATTTATATTTGGGATTTTATGCTGCGTGTCTCTCTGGCAGACTTTCCAAGTTTCTTTTGGCCATTACCCAACATCTTTGGTTTCGCTTTCGTTCAAAATCCTTGCCCAAAGCTTAATGAGCGCTCAAAGCCAGTTCGGTTGAACTCACACACGTGCCGCAGATCAAAGTTGGCTCTTGGATGCGGCTTTGTTGCCGCCGCATCCACTTCCTCGTGGCTAGATGGCAAGGCCAATTTTTTTGGGCCACTTCGCGGCGCGAATTTCTCTCGAATTAGCGCCAATTCAGCATGTAAATTAACTCATTTCTGAAGACGCATCTTTCGGTATTCGATTTCCGCTTCCGTTCAACCTTGCTAGTTGCAATTATTTCTATGATGGAGCTTCGATGAGCAACAAAGTGGCAAACAGGCTAGACCTGGAAGCATTGCATGGTCATCAAAATAAAATGCAGCTTTGGAAAAACAAGTGATTAAAGTGATTTTATCAGCAATGTTAAGAAAAAAATAATGAAAATGTCTTTAAAAAAGGTATAAATTATATTTTTGTGAGTTTTTATCCTCTATCTTTAGAAACTTCACTTTTTATTGAGTTTAAAAAAATGTACTTAACCAAATGTCTTTCTTTAATAAGTGAATAAGTAATGCCCTATTGCATTTAATACCATTTTTTTTGATATTACCAAATCGTAGCTGGTGGAGGTGCCATAACACCATTTGGGCAACCATAACCTGCCTGGGAAAGCACCAGTTGGCGGGGGAGTGGAAGAGCAAACAGAAAACTCATCCTATGTCAATGGGGAATGGAATGGAAAATCGGCAGTCAGTGAAAAGCACTTTCCGCCACCCGACTAGTTTCCACATGCCACTGGGAGGAGAGTCTTGGAGTCACATCTCTTAGCGGCACATTATTTGGCAAAATGCTTGGTAAAGACCAACAGAAAGCCACAAAAGCGAGCCAAAAAACCAAAAACCAAACATCGAAGACGTTGAACGTCGAATGGCAAACGTAAACCAGCTTTCTTCGTCGTGACTTTTGATATTTGAAATGATGCCGAGACGCCTCGACGCCGCCTGGTGAGCTTTTGAACCCGTTTGCACCCTTTTCCAACTGTTCCATGCGTTTTCCCCCCTTCCGCCTCCTGACAGTTTTCAATTTGACTTTTCCGAGTCGAAGTCGTTTGCTGCTCTGTATGCTGAACAAATTTTGATTGTGTCCAGGACAAAGAGGCTGCTGCACATGAGCCGATCTGGAGGCTGAACGTGATGATCCGCGGGCCATTCATCTGGGGAGTTGGCGGTGGAGAATCACTAAGTTACACTAAGAAATTTTCATTCCTAAAAGTGATTTTGTGGATTTACTTTGGGATCTATCAGACAAGTTTTCAGACAAGAAGTAGTGTTGGTTTTGTGATATTTTTGATTTTAGGGTATCCTTTTTTCTAAGTGCAATCCAAATGGAAAATGCATGTTGCATGGTTTTACATTTGCAGAGCAATGTGAACTGTATTCCTAATGAAGTTTTGCGGTTACGGATAGGCATCCGATCAGAGGTGATCTTAGCTGCCATAATTCAAGTTAACCACATTTTTGACCCCCCAAAGTGCAATCCATTTGGCAACCCACCGTTGACCTTTATCACTTGACTCAATTCGCCACGCCTTTTTTCCCACTACTACTGTTTGCACATCACTTTCGGGCCGCATAATTAAGTCATCCATCTGGTCAGGCGATCATTGAGGCGCCTCGGGCTAAGCTTTATTGTGACACTTGATTGCTGCCCCTCTGATCCCCAGGAGATCCACGTCCCAGGTATTTATGATTCGCAGGGGCAAATGAAACCATAAATAGCCAAAAAAGAGCAACGAGTTCAATAAATAGCACAAAAAAGACGGCAGACAATCGAGAAATTTGTTTATAAATAAATTTGTATAAATTGCATAGATTTGACATAAGACAAAGGCCTTTGTGCTCTGTGTCAATGAGGGCCGGAGTAATAATTTAAAATGCAAATAGTCGAAAAAGGCAATCGTAGATTGTCGTTTAAGGTGTGAAATATGAACGCGGCAGAAGCAGCTCTAATCTGTGGACCCCATGTGAGGCTATAACGTTGAAACCTGAGAAAAGATTTGCCAACGCACTCCGGATAATCATATGCATCCAAATGTGTTTTAGCTGCAAGAGGCCAGGGGGATGCCCATATACGAATATAAATATATTTTATTCGGATATCTTTGGTTACATTTTACATTCGGGGCCGCCTTGTCAGTTCCGGATTAGACAAAATTGCTTTTTAAGTAAGCTAAATCAATCATTTGACAGCAGCTTAATTGTCCATCGATCGGCGGTCACTCCGACAAATGGGCTATGGGTTTGTCTTCGGGTCTTTGGACAGCTGCTGCTCTGGCTACCGGCTGAACTTTTGAACCCCCCTTTTTGTTTTTTGACCCATTGTGGATAGTTCAATGCCATGGCGGCTCGTTTTTCTACGGCTATTTTTCAACATGATTGAAATATGTTTGGGAACTTAAATGTCAGTGAAACTCGGAAATTAAAGGATTTTGATTGATGCGTGAAGTAAGTGAAATTTTACGGTCTCTAGAAAGAGAAATCTCATTTACCTTTAAGTGAAAATACAAGAATAAAGACCGAGATACTATTTATCAAGCTACCATTTTAAAGTAGCTAAACATCAGTTAGGAGGTATATCAATTAACTTTTTCATAAAAACAGTTTTAAACAAGCTAATAATTAAAAAAAAACACTTTTTTGTTATGTTTTAATTAGTTTTAACAAAAATTAGGCAAGGTAAACATTTCTATTTATAAACAATGTCTGGCTGATGGGTTTTCATCTTTCAATCAAGCCAATCAAAACTTGTTTTCCCACTGCGACCTTATGAAGATGTGGCCAATTAATGGCACCTCGATTTACGACCCATTTTTTAGGGCTTAATGATTATAACTAGTTAGCCAGCCAATATTAATATAATCCATCAAATGGGATAATATGAGATGATTTCCGAGATCATCTGCTTTCTTTATTTATTTGCTTATTCCTCATGTTTGTTTATGCCTTAAGCCAATCAAATTTATGCATTTATTCGATCCACTATATTTTTCAGGCCAAAAGATACATTTGATACGTTTTGGTATGACGTCCGCCTCATAAACAACAAAATGCCAGGCAATATCAATCAATTATGTCGAATTCAGACGCATCTGCAACTCTAGAGCTACGACCCAGCCCCGAGTTTTATGTAACAAAGTGGCTTAGATTTCGAGACATCTAGTAAAATCATAAATCTTGTGAATATTTTCGTTCGCCGATTGCGTCAACTTTGCGCACTTTGCTTTACATATTAGAAATTTATTTGTTTTTTCCCCCACTTTTGGCTTGAGCTCTTTGGGGTGATTAACATTTTGCTGACCCAACAAATTGTAGGTGTTGCCTGAGGTCACCGAAGATGCAAGCATTAACTTTATGGCTGAAGGGTGGGCATTGGTCGACGCCCACTCTTGGTGCGTGTGAAAACGGATTGGCCAAATTAACAAACACTAAAGGGTTTTGCCATGGTCCAAAACTTTGTCTTCAGATTTTCCTCTTTTTTTTTTTTCTAACCGATCTTTTGTTATGCTGATTGTCCGTAATTTGTCATACGCTGCGGGCCGACTAATGAAGGTTGAAGGGGCTTATGGAGCAGTCGGAGACATGACAGTTCATTTTCAACACATCTTTGAGTGATTTGCTTTGCCGGGCAGCTCCAAGTGACTCCCACAAATATTGATACAGTATGAGTTACGGCAGTAATAAGTCATGCTGCGATCGCTAAAAGCAATACTAAATCATCATGGGAAAATGCTCAATGAAACTATAGTAGTACTATTTTATCTCAAAAAACTGAAACTCAAATATCATCTAAACTGGATTTCTTTTAAAAATGATAAGAATAATGTTTTTGATTTCATTGCATACATTTTATTATATCAAAGACTCGTTATGCCTATAAATAAACACAATTTAATAGCTTAGCCTAAGGAAAAACAATTAAAAATGTCTATTCTGTTGATTCCGCCAGCGGCTTAGTCTCCTCTTTACTTTCAATTTTGTGGCTCTCAGCCCAATCTATGACATATTCACGTAGACTGGACAATGCTAGAACGGCAGAAGTCTCAAGCTGTTGATCCTTGGCCAGCCAATCGCAGTATTCGGATCGCGAACATGCTCCAGATCCGCCAAACTTTCTTACATACCGCACTCCCGCCAGCTGATCCGGCCAATAACGCGAGATGCACTCGAGCAGGACATCCATGTTGGCAGAAGACAAGGCACTGTGCTGGCCACAGGCGGATCCAGTCTTCCACAAAATGTTCATAAGGCGACCCAGTCCGGGAACCGAAATCCGCGGAGAGAGGAGCGGCAATAACTGCAGGACCAGGCGGTAAACTCGCAACTGGATATGATCATAGTCCAGCAGTTCCGAACGGGAGGCTGCCACGGAATACCATAGATTGTTGAGAATGCTAATGATCCCCTCGATGATGTCAAACTGATGGAACTCTGTGTCACGGATGACGCCCACCAACCACGACAGAATGCCAACATGCTCCAGCATGATACGGACTGCTCCAGGAATTTTCACGCAAGTGGAGAGCACCGATAGCAGCAGCAGATTTGTTCCCAGAGTGGCCAAACTGCAGCTGTAGAATCCAAGTAGCACCTTAAACGTATTGGTGGATACCAGCAGGAAGAGATCAGCGCTGCACTTGATGCCACTTCTAAGCAGCTCGACGATGAATTCACGGTACTGCTGGTGCTCTGTTTCTTGGGAGTAGAAAAATATGTTGAAATCGGGAATAGTCTGGAAATTGAAGCTTTGCTTCAATTGCAAGTAAAACATCAATCGCTTATAGAGGAGATGCGTTGGTTCTGTGCTCAGGTTAAAGCTCTGGGCTATGAACAATGCAGGGATCAGGGGTACCCTAGGCGTTCCTCCGTGCGTTCTCCTCTGCGCCAGCCAGGAGTTTCTCAGATCGCTTAAGCCTCCCTGAATGTTATCGTAAGCCTGCGTCCACAGCGGGCGCTCATAGAATTTAGAAAGTTCAAAGTGAGTTCGATAGCGTTGCTGGCAACTGGCAGCTGCAAGTCTCATATCCTTGTCCAGCGAGGAGAGTCCACAAAAGGAAACTGCCAGCAATCCATTCTGCACTGGCAAGCGAGCCCAGACCACGGATTCCGGTGCGAAGCAGTGCATCATCATAGGTAGCAGGAAGGCGGGATCATAGCACGTCTCGTATATTTGATCGCGTTTCGGGCAGATGCGCCGCAGATCTTGTGGGAATTCTTCCTGTCCTTGCTCAACCATTTTCTCCAATTGATTGTCGCCGAAATTTTGTGATTTCTTTGCTGGATTTTGAAACTCTAAAGAGGGCAGTTGCTGACTAGCATGCAAGCTCCTCCAAATGGGGAAATTCTCAATGGTGTACTCGCTGGTTTCTCGTACAATCAATGCCAACACCTGGGCTACGTTTGTCTCCTGTTGCTGCAGCCGTGATTTCTCATCCTCGTCTGCAGCTCTCAAGGCGTAATGGGCCACAGCACTTTCGCCCCAAATAAAAGGTCTAAACTTATCCAATTCCACACCGAAGCGTTCGTAGTGTTCCAGCAAAGCAAGTCCATACCGATCTGCAGGAGAAAGTTTCGCATGATAGGAGCCAAGGATCACGGGTATATGGGCGGATTGCAATGCACTGGGTGCTTTCCTGGCCAACACCTCCATGAGCTGTAAAATGTGTGTTTTGGTTTCAGTCTTTGTACCTAAGAGATGGTCAATGCAGCAGGAGTGCGAACAAATCATTTCATATAGAAGTGCTGGAGTGGGATCCTCCTCTTGTTGGGCTTCCTCATTATAATCATCATACATTCCATCACAGAGAAATGCCAAAAGCTTGAGCACAAGCCCATTGGTTTCATCCTGAAGCGGCTGTCGTTCCTCACTGAGATGAAGGGCCAGCTTTAAGCAGCTCTTGCAAAAGTTCAGCCACTGCTGGTTACCAAGCAAGCGACTCCAGTCAAGAGGCAGATCCTTGTTATAATTCACCTGCCACCACTCGTAACAGTTCCAGGAGATTTGCTCTAACTTGGGCAGATCCAAAGATTGCTTCTTCAAATCCAGTGCCAATAGTTGAACATTGAGGTTTATGTAATTTACAAAGACTGTAGCCTTTTGCTTCTCATCCTTGGCGGCAGCAAATGCTTGCCAGTAAATCTCCCGTAGTACTCGCACCTGGAAAAGCTCCACAGAGTCGAGTTTCAGCTGTTTCTGGCAATAATCCACGCACTCAGATTTGGGCATGCAAAGAGCAATAAGCAAAGCACTAGCCTCCGCATGTTCTCGGTATATCAAAGCTGCCTTCTGTGGCTTCTCTATGCTCTTCATGAAGCCGTTCTTGTAGGTCTGATAGCAACGTTGGAGCACTGGTTGAGGTAGTTCAAATTTCTTGGTCAAGGCAATATTTAGGAGAGGATACACCAGTTCCTTCTGTTCCAAATTAATGGGCAGTAGTTCAGCGAATTTCTCAGCTAATCTAGGTTGACGTTCTAGCACAAAAGTGGCTAAACGGATGGCGGATTTGCTCACCTTTCGAGAGGATGAAAAGAAACAGGCAAAAAACTCACTGTCGCACTCTTCTAGGTGTTGATGATAATTAGTTAGGAACTCAAGAATGGCAGCTTCCAAAGGTTCCACCTGTTGTTCACTTAACTCGCAGAAATCCTTGTAAAAAGACAGTAGGATTTTGAACGACTTCCTAAAATCGATGGCCTCCTTTAGGTGGGTCAATCGTCCCAGCAAACGAAGGAGTAGGTCAAAGTAATGATTAGGTTTGCTATTCAAGATGAAGTCCTTTGCTTGCAGCTTTGTTGTAATCAGGTCCAGGATTTGAGAGCATTCACTTGGAGCAAATTCGAATGAATCGACTAGCGCCACATACTCGAAGAGTTGCTGTTGATGTTGCAGTTCATTCACCGATGTATCCAGTGCAATATCCAAGGTCTTAATGAAGTGTAGACGGTAGTTGGCAGTGTAGCTCTCGAATCGAGGCAACGCCCGGCAATATTCCGTTAGTCTTCTTAGGAAAACGACATAATTTAAGCGAGATTCGCTTGTCTCACTAAGCATTTCTGTGGGTTGCAGTTGCCATACGCGGATGTTGAAGATATAGTGCAGCAGATTCTGAGTGTGCGTTTCTTCTTGCTGCTGATCATCGTCCTTCAGAAGCACTTCCTTGCCATCGTCAACCTGGTTGGCGATTTGCAAAAACTTGATAAGATAATCCGCAGTAAGTTCTGCTTGAAGTTTACTCAATTTCTGGTTTGTGAAAAGATAGCTGAAGACAGAAAGTAGATCGTGGACATAGATCATATTACGACATGGATTTTTGAGGCTGGGGTGTAATAACATTGTCTGGCCTTCGCCAAGCTGCAGCTCGAAGTTCTTACCCGCCTTTTCCACATTAAATGTCTCTTCAAAAGGCAAGGAATTCTCTTCTGTGATAACCGTGCGCACTTTTTTTAGGAGGGGCCATTTAAGGGCTACAGTGACTGGAAGTGACTTCGGGTTTCCCTCGCCCTTACCAGGCAGCCAACTCTTCATATAATCACTGTGCCTCTTTAAATGTTGTTCGTAAAGCTGCAACACTTGCTCCGGCTTGCTGTGATAGTGGAAAAGTAAGATGAATACGAGCTCTACATATTGGTCATAGGGTTCCTCCAACTCCACACCCGTTACCAGCAAGGGCATCGTCTTACTTAGTGTCAGAGTTTCTACATAAGCCTGCACGGTTTGACCTTGTTCTATTTGAGCAAACAATTTGCTTAGGTTCTTAATGTTACTGGCATTATCCGCTAAGTTCAGTTCAGGAAGCGTTATCTGCCTCCAATCCAAGCAAAGTACTGTCAGAAGGATATCTACCACATTGGTAACCGTTTCCGCATCGAATCCGATAAGAGCTTCTATCCAGATGTTAATCTCATGGCTACAGGAGTCAAATAATCCCGTATTGCGGAACAGGCTGTTTAATATATTACCAGCTTCTGACTTGATGGATTCATTTTCAAGCATGTAGGCTTTTATGAAAGATCGAAATACCTTGCCAAAGAGTGGTTCTTGTGGGTTAAGGGAACGTGGAAAGAGCAGAAGGATGGTCTTAATTGATTTCAACTCCACTTGAATCTTTAAGAGTTCATTTGGATTGCTTATGTTACCAAAATCCGTCTCGTAGAGCGGTCGCAACACATCCAAATAATCCAAAATTTGACTAGTCTGTACCACAAAAGCTCGATTTTCCTTGCACATAAGCAGCACCAGATCCAAAGTGATCGATAATGACTCTAGAACATTCACTCCTTCCTCTTTTTCCTGTTTTATGAACAGGTAAAGCGAGTACAGTATGGACTCGATGGTGGGAAAGTGGACAAGCAAGTGATTAAGTAAGTCGAATTTGAATTTTCGCAGGGAGTTGCCGGCTTTCTTCGACTGTTCTCGAACAGCAATGGCATGCATGTAATTGCTGTACTGTTTCATCATGGAAAGAAGCAGTTGCTGAATGGCCAATCTGAAATTAAAGTCAGTATGGCTTAGATACTTCTTACCAGTTATATGTAATAAAGCTTCGATTGGCAAACATAGCTCTTTTATCCAAAATTGAAAATCTGTTAAAGTCATCTTATTAAAAGCTGTTGACAGAGCGCTCGGAGGCACTGCATCAATGACTTTTGCCAGGCAGATCGCACCCTTGGGCACATTGTCAATTTTAACCCTAGCTGGACTGAGAAGGGTCGAAAAATTTTTCACAGTATTGCGCCCCAAATCCGGACAAGCAGTCAGCGTTTTAATAATCAAATCCATCTTGCGGGTATCGTCGAATGGGTTGTAAAGTGCACCAAGTATCTTGCCCTGCAACTTGTTTTGCTTCTGCCGGTAGTGGGTCATTGCATCAAAGCAGATACCGTGCTTGCGAGAGGTCATTAGGACCAACAGCAATTCATGAACGGCAGCCGAGACGGCTTCCGCCTCCTTTGGGTTTGGGGGTGGGTTCTGCACACCTCTAAATATCTTCTGGAGTCCGAGCGGTCCACTCCAGTCGTAGAGGCTTATCAGATTCTTACAGCAATTCAAATCGAACACCAACACTTTTTTGGTCTTTTGAATATCGGGGTTCTCTAACACATACTGTCTGAGGGCGTTCAGAACAACACAAACCGTTACATGGTCATCATAGACTAATCCCTTGATCAGTACTGCAATTAGTTGGCCTCGGTCCAAGATGTTTCTGATTAACAACGTATTGCCATCGACCAGAAAAGCCAGTATAAAGTGTATGTACGCTTTGCGCACTGTGTCCTCGTTTTTACAATCGTTCTTACAATGCGACAACATTTTCAGCATCTCAAGTATGTTGGATAGCATGTCGTAGGAGTTTAGGACCTGACGTCCCAATTGAGGTTCAACGCACACGATAGCCGTGAGTAGTTTAAGGGCATTGCGCCTATGACTTGGATGAGGGGATTGCAACAGATTCTCAAGTACTCCGCCGTGAACCTTTAGGAAATAGCGACAGCCATGCGCCGCCGATTCAATGTGGTTCTTTTGGTTGGTGAGTATTTCCATTACAACTCGCTGCAGTGCATCTGTGAGGTAGTCCACGTGAAAAATATTTCCCTTGTCAATCCTTTCAAAGGCTTCGGCCAGTTCCAAGGGTTTTCCACGCTTTTCTATGTACTTGGCAACCAGTTTGGGACGGGTGGTGGAGCACATATGTAAAAAATGCCGCAACTCTGGAACGAAAAATCAAGAGATAAGAAGATTTCGGATTTTGCAATTATTTACCTACCTGTTATAAAGCAATTACTACGAAGCTTTGTGCGGAAATTCATCATCTTGAAATCGTTTGGATAATTTACGTTTGGTTCCTCTGGTTCGATGCCTGAGTCTGGACTTATGTTATCCTCATCATGTTCTGTGTTCTTTCGGTTCCTACGCTTCTTGGAGGGAGATTTTTCCAACTCCATTTCCACCTGTTGCTCTTCATTTTCTTCGGGGGTTTTGGACTTTTTTTCTTTTTTCTTTGAGGAAGTGGATTCGACAGACTCTGTTTCGTTTGGTTCCTGCGTGTTTTTATCTAATGATCCATTCGTTTTTTTCTTTTTTTTCGGCGTGTCGGACTCTTTCGACAGTTTTTTGGGCACTTCCACCTCACCTTCATCCTGCTGCTCTGGACCCGCCTCCTCGTGTTTCCTTTTTCTGCGGTTAGGTTGTATGGCCATTCTGTTTTTATATTATATATTATATTCTCTTGTTTATGAGAGAATACTTTTAAAATTAAAGTTAAATACAAAACAACCGCACACACGTGCTGTCGGAGAATGGTAAGACCGTTGTTGAAGTACTGGAAAATACTTATCTTCTTTCAGTGTTGAAAAATACAACATTTGGCGCGGACTTAAAATGATAACTAGCGCAAAACCAGATACTTATAAGAATTGATTAAAGTTTCATTTTAATTTATCAATACGGTTATACAGTCAAACAATAAAGAACGCATTTATAGAATAATTATAACTATAGGAATGCGTTGTTGAACAATCCGCCAGTCGGCATTATAGTGTCTCATTCTATGTTGATTTAACCGGCTCTAGTCATCCTCCAAGGCGGCATTGGTGGCTCCTCCAGATCCCAATCCTCCAGGAGCAGAAGTTGTCACTGATCCAGAGACCGGGAATTCCGGTAGAGTAGAGCGCTGTTTTCCTGGGGCCGGAGGAACTTGAGGTAAATCAACAGATTTACTTGTGCCTGTGAACATACACCGTTTATAAGTTTCTAATGTTTATGCAGATATCTGTAAATTGCTTACTACAACAACAACCCATTATGGTACTCTTGACTCTTGATTCTCTAGGCGAATGGGCCAATTTTCTGAAGGTTCTTTGAGCACTAAATCAGGCAAATCAATTCGGTGGCCAATTGACGAGGAATGCGTATGTGTGCACCTGTGGCGTGCAAACGACTCATGGCTTCGTGATAAGCACTGCTGTTACTTTTATTCTCTTTTTGTTTAAAATGTAAAGTGGGTTATTTATGACACCATGGGCAGGTCTGCTATCAAATTGTAGTTACCAACGCGCTGCCTATACCAGGTGGAATAGAGCGTACAGCTATGAAGAAAGCACACACAGCCAGTCGGATATAACCGGAACGCAAAGAGCAGCAAATCAATTAAGATAAGCCCTTATCAGGCAAACCATTCCCAATGCTTTTTAGTTGGCGCTAAAAACAAAATTAAAAATCGAAAATATCGATAGGAAGGGCGACCAAATGCTCCGCTTTAGATTATAAAACCGTTATAAACATTTTGAAACGTTTTTAGTGTATCTTTCGCAATTAAGTTATTATTATTTTAGTTTAAATGACAGAGATAAAACAAAATGTTATTTTAAGGTATAGCCTGTGATTTATTATTAAATTACTTGTAAACATTGTAAAAACGCTATTGTATGTTAACAGGACTTTCTTTTTGTTTCGATTTAATAAATATGGAACAGCCATACTTGATTAACTAACAATATATACATTCAACTATTTAAGACCATATATAAAAACCCGCTAAACAATTTTATTTGTTTACGGTGGCTAGTGAGACCCTTCTTCGTTTCCCCTGAAATGCCGCGTATCACTATTACCATTTACTGAAGGGGCGCAGGGGGCGGTGCGTTCATTATCAGCCGGAACGTAAACAGTCGCTGCTTTTCACGCTTTCCGATAAAAATGTTTAAATCACACTGTGTTAATTAGAGCCCAAATCAAAATCAATGCGCCTGTGGACGCGAACGACTCGAGATCGTGTGCGCGTGAACGCGGATTAAGTAGCGATTTTTACAAAATTTAAAAAAACAAAAACAAGAGAGTGCTGAGTAGCACAGTGCGTGAGAAGGCGTGATTTGTGATTTTTGGCCCGTGAACGAATCACGAGCAAAGCGGATAAACAAAAGCCATAAAAAACAGATTCGCACGAGAATCATCGCTGTCGGTGCGAATAAATTTAAGTCTGGAATTGACTTTGGAAAAGTCTCGTTTTTCTGGAGCATTGGCAAGCATCAGCATCTGCCATGGACGACGAGTTCAAGCTATGTTGGAAGAACTTCCAAGACAACATTGCCAGCGGCTTCCAGAATCTTTACGACCGCGGCGACCTGGTGGACGTCACTCTAGCTTGCGATGGGAAACTTCTCCATGCCCACAAGATTGTACTGGCTATTTGCAGCCCATACTTCCAGGAGATCTTCACCACAAATCCCTGCAAGCATCCTATTAGTGAGTACCCCGTTCTTGTTATCCGGACATCTACAGACTACCTTGCCAGCGACCTCAGTTCGCCAGCTTTAAATGCTAAGTTATACGGCGGGTCTTACATTGTGAGCGCCATACATATGGATGTGGCTGGTGAAGCTCGCGACGACTTCCCCAATAAGCCACGAGTCCTCCACAAATTTGTCAATTTATTACATTGTCTCTTGGTTGTGGCGCCATACATATGGATGTTCCTAATGGGACATTGAATTCCTCAATAACTGACAAATTTGTTTATTTTATGTCAGAGAAAGGGTTCTACATGACTACTTTGTTTTCAGACACTTTACTTAAGATAATGACTTCATCAGTAAGGTGTCTATAATTCGCGTATTGTCTTCGGGTTTCCTTCGTCATATGATACATATGTATGATCCTAGTAAAGAAACTTATTGAAAGCCATTTATTATAATGACTTTCCTCATAAGTTCTTCTACAAATTGGTCAAGTAATGTCAGGGAATTCGTCTACTTATAACATTGTCATTGCCTTTTCATGTTATTCACATATACAAATGTCCATTATAGAAAACTAACGTTGACTTCCTCATTGAGCCACACTATTCCTCCAGATATCGGTCAGTTTATCACTGGGACAGAGGTGTCAGTTTATCGAGGAGCCCGGCCGTCAGCCTGTCTGTTCGTCACTCTTGTCAAACGCTTAGATATAAATCAACCTTTGTGTTTAATTCCGTGACACATTCGGTGGTTATCAGACTAGCTCCACTACCAGTTCGATGTCGAGTTCCAGCCAGAGTCCCAACCACGGTAGCACGTGTAGGGACTACTCCAGAGAGATACAGTACCACTTCCCGAAGTTAATTTACGAAGTTGGTTTACTTATTTTAGATTTAATAAAGCTACTCCTTTCCATAAGCTTAGCTTTCCTCTCTAAGTTTTTGAAATCAATCAATATGCCAAAAAAGAAAATAAAATGATAGATGGGCCGCTAATCAGAATTAATTATTATACACGTCAACTAAATTAGAAAAGATGCTCTTATTCAAAATGTTATCAAAAAAGTAATATCTTATGATAAAATGTTCTTTGTCAACGTCTTTAAACTTCTCTTTAAGTTTAACTTCAAAAATAGGATTTATACTTTTAACACTTATAACTTACTGTATCTGTCATCGACATCTACTGTCCTACTTAATGGAGTTTGACTATACAATGATTTCGCTGGTTGTAAATCTAAAGACAAACAGCAGCAACCCACAAAGAATCGAGGTCTAGTGATAATCCTCCAGTGAGCCGGGTGTCGCCGCGTTGTCTATGGCTATGTGGTAGCTGCAGGAATCCTCCGCCTCCAGCTATACACTCGGATTGTTTACCCACGCCACGCACAGAGTATCCACTGTGATAAGGTCCATGGCGATCGGATCGAGGAGATTGGGTGCGTTGCTGACCTCATCAAATGTACTTCAAATGGACTATAGAACGGTGCTGTTCGGTAGTGTACTATATATATATATGGTATATGGATATGATATCGCCGGGGCCCCTCCTGGTCGGTTCGATTTCGTTCGCGGTCGTGTTGAACACGGTTGCCTGCTGCACGGTGGCTTTATCTGATCAGGCGGCCATAAAAAATAAGGTTTTATCTTTTCAAGTAGCAGCAGAAAGGTGCTACCTACCCACAACCGCTGCTACAAGAGGTATTTCCAAAGATAAAGAATATTAATATACCCTATAAATAACACTGAACAGAGCAGTGTTAGCGGGGGCAAGTTATTAACAGGAGACCAAACAATAACGAACAAGCCAACCAACAATAGTCATCGAGGTGCTAACAAGCCAAATGGCTTTGCTTGGTCTCGATGTTGCTTTATGTGTCTCCCCCTTTATTGTTGTTGTTGTTGTGTTTGGGTGTAGTGTGTAACACGCAGCAACAACAATAGTCTAAATATTTTTATCTTTTTATCGCGTTTAACAATCATTTATTGCCCAACTGAGCAACTGGGTCCAACACCCCAACCCACAACCCCAACCCCCTTTCCGAACCACTCGAAGACTTTAGTTTTCGAGATATTGATTAGAGAGCTTCGCATGGTTGATATATATACGTGTTTCCGCTGCTGCGGCCGTGTAAATCAATCCACTCGGTCCGGGCCAAGTGGTTATATCTGCCCCACTCCCATTCCCACTCCCATTCCTAGTTCCCAATACAATGCTAATCCTCGAAAATTATCTATTTATTATTGGCATAAACAAGACGGACATAGTCTGGGGGCAGTGTTTTATCAGCCTTGCGTTTAGTGCCAACCACTTTACTTTGGGTATCACTCTTGATCGTAAAATAAGATTTTGAACTTATTGCTCGTTAGATAACGCACTCAGACAACCGCAGCATGTGCCATATGTGATATTGGGCCTCTCCAAGAACCAGGTCCAAGCCACTTCCATTCCACATCCCCTTTGGCCACCTGGCCATTCCCACTCCCGATTTGAAGTAGCAACGGTGATCGAATATAGCCACAGTTGCTTACCGGCCATAAACGTTCGGGTTCGGGAAGATAATAATAATATCGATCGCTGGACTTGTCGTAAATATTAAATACCCAATGTTATTAATATATTGCAGGACCGTGACTAAACCAAAGACGTTGGGTTTTTTTGGTTTAGCTCCAGAGGGGGTAAGAAATATTTTATGAAGGGGTGTACTATTTATTTCACCAACAATAATCCATTTTCGACCAATTTGGACTTTGAGTTCCGGTGCGTTGGAGGTCCGTAATCTTTAATTTGTGTATTTCGAAGTTATAAGCTTGCCAAGATTATCAAAAGTGTTTTAATTGCCATGAAAGATCTGAGTGGATTGTGTCATGCTGGAAGGGCAGTGATTTAAAAAAAATGTATTTGTTTATATTTTAAATGATTTAAAAATAAATTTTTTACCCGAAAATCTTAATAAAGTTGTATACTACTTTGAAAGAACTTCTGTTCAAAAATTGGTAATATTGAAATATTGATTTACTTCTGCAGCTTTAAAAGTTTTTTCTTTTGATCTAAAGATAAGAAATTCTTTATAATTCAACTAAAAAAGTAGTTTCAGGAAGAGAATAGAAAAATAATAATTTTACATTTTTTAAAATTTATTTGGATAATGTTTTGAAGGTAAGCCTAGTAAATATAGAGAACATAAAACACACAGAAATCTCTTAAAGTGCGATTTGTATTATCGAATTTATAAAACCCTTCTACATTTTTCGCTTCTGGGTTACCCAATCGATCGTATTAGTCGCTGTTTACGTATAGCCATAGTTTATGGTCTCTTCATATTATATCAAACTTTGACTTTGAGCATATGAAATTTCATAAATGCTTTTATTGGCCATTTGTGTTGACAATTCGTAATTTATGGGCCCGTTAGAAGCCAGTAGCCAGTAGTAGTCGCAAATAGACGTGGCAATCGCTTAAGCTTGGCTAATCCCTGCCCAGCCTAGCTGGTACTCCTTCGAGACATTGGCAATGGATTTCTTTACGAAAAGAGTTGGGTGGCAAAGGGAGGCATCGAAATCGGAATCTATTACTAGCATTTTTGACGTTGGGTTGGCTGGGCTTGTCGCTGGGCTTCTTGGTTTGTTTTTATCAGGTTGTACTACCACACCAGCACGACAATTCGATTCGACTACTCGACTATTATGGCGTTTGGAGATAACAAATATTTATGAATGTTTGTGCGACGACATTGTCAAAATGAGGCAGCCCACTCTACGACTCGTTGAGGAGAACAACAACAATAGAACCTATTGGCGTTCTGATTCGATAAACATTTATCATAATCATAAAATAAAACTGTTTTCGAAATCGATCGTCTGCGATCCGATTGGTGGAAACGTTTGGAGTGGGCGTGATCTTGGGAGCGAGGGTCTTGGTTGGGCCCGAAACAAATCAGAAACGAGCAAAGGAAGATATCGCTTCAGTTCCCCCAATACCCAGTTGTATTCCAGCCCCCAAGTCAGAACACCCTCGATCTACTTTCGGGACGCTCTGATATCAGCAAAGATCATTGCGGGTCAGGAGCCCATAAAATCCCCTTAGTACCAATATATGAGAGACATTTAAGCAAACAACGATCGAGACGAGATGATCTGACTTTTGGGTACTGTCGATCCTCTTATCAGCAGCATGCACGGATTTATCACGTTCTCCGTGAACTTTAGACAGAGTTTATCTACAGGCGGGGTCCATAAATGGTTTATTGATTCGAGAGAATTCTGTGTATGGATCTCTTTGTCTTGGCTGCATGGCCAGTCTTTATCTCGGGTGATGCTTGCTATCTGGCTTTCTGAGCACGAAAAAGTGAGTCAAATGATAGTGATCGTTTATATTGACTGATCTCAATATGTAATCCCGTATCTATCGGGCATCAGTAGTCAATGTATGTGTACTGTACCCCTGGGGCAATATATATAAGTATTTATTGCTCGGATTTTGATCTTCGCCATACGATCACTCGTTCGAATACGGACATGCCAAGGCGCAGATAGATAGATAGGCGAGACAAAATGATCCGTAATGACGACTACGGCAAATGATAGGGCACAAATGATGTCGTCGCACGTTCAGATTAAGCAACCGAGTTTGTCTGTTGCTGATCGGCGATTTAATATATTGTATTTACATACATCAGTATGTGATGTATGTACGATTGTTTGTGTAATAAAATTGTTATTGAGAACAAGTGATAATATTGTTTTTAACTAGATGTTGATGCTTGGAGGGACAGCACAGTGGCCAGGGGTCAATGGGAAGGTACTGATAAGAATCAGTTTAAGATTAGCAAGTTTTAGTTTATTTCTGAAAATAAGTACGAACTTAAACACTCAAGTTCATTTCAGAATAATTAATTTTGGCGGGAGAAATGTGTATCAATTTAAATAGCCATTATTAGGTAATGAAAAATTTTTGTAAATCCAAATTTGGAAATATTTAAAGATTTTTAATTACTACCATTTAAAGGCCCACCTATTTTATTGCTCGAAAACTATTAAATATTCCCATTCATGTGGCATGATCCCAAACCACCTCTGAGATAAGAGGTCCGTACCACTGTGAAGTAAAGTCGAGTCCGGAATGTTTCCCAGCTTCTTAGACCGAGTCGAGAGCACGCGGATGATATGTCATGCTACTTATTTTATAATTATTGCTGAGCTACTGCGTTGCTGTTGTTGAGTTTATATTTAAGTTTTCAGATTTCTTATCATAGCTGTTTTTATGTATTGATTTAGTATTTGAGCGTTTCGATGATAACATCTCCACTATGAATGTGACCTCCTTTCCTACTGATGTTATTGTCGTTTCCAGTCTTTATGTAAACAAGTAATTACGTTTGAGAGAGGGAAAAATCATAATCAATTTGGAAACCTTTAAAAATTTCCCCTAAATTTTAAAACTCATTTGAAAAAATCCCCAAATGTTTTTCTTTTTTTCTTTCAAATTTTATTGACTTACTTATCTCGCATTAGAACTGAATGAAATGAAACTCTCAGGTGGCCTTTATACATTCTTTATTAGAAACACTGTTTGCCGTTTTATTTTATTCTTTTTAAATTAATCTTGGTCATTATCAAAAATTTCAAAAAATTTTATAATCCTTAACTTTCTGTATTTCTATTTCCCTATCACTTTTAGTAATACTCAAAGATGTGAGCTTTAACATTATGATGGAGCTGTTGGAGTTCATGTACCAAGGCGTGGTGAATGTTAAGCACACTGAGCTACAATCGTTCATGAAGATTGGCCAGCTGCTGCAGATCAAGGGTCTGGCCACCAATTCCAACTCCTCGCCGGGATCGAGTGCCTCAGAGAAGTCCTCTAGTCAAACACCAGCGGAAGAATCAAACAACACCAACAGCACCAACCATCACAACTCCAGCTCTAATAGCAATAATAATAGCAAAACAGAAGTGGATCACAATGATTCCAAGGGCCCTAGCAATTCGAGAACAACATCGCCAGGTGGTGCCAGCAGAGCCTCCAACGAAGCCAATCACGTGTATACATCCACCAAACGTCCAATGCCGTCGGATTTTGGAAGCGATTCCTTGTCCATTTACTCTGGCAAGCAGTTAAGGCGGTCCCTCAAGGATCATGGGTCCGGCGGAAGCGAAGGTGGCGGAGGCGAGAATACGGATAGTGCAGCTGGATTGGAAAATAGCCTGAATTCGGAAGAGTTCTTCTTGCCACCCATCCCACATATATCAATGGGAGAGCCGCGTTACGATCTTGGAGGTCTGAAACGTGAATCGGATGGTCACCATCATGGTTCAACGACGGTCGGTAGTGGCGTAAACTCCGGCAGCGTAGGCAGCCACACCTCCTCGGCATCCCCATCTGCACCTATCCGAAATCCCTTTGCCACATCCTTCAATCTGGACTATAACTTATACAAAGGCGCCAACAGCAGTGGTCCCAGCGGCAGTTCCAATAGTTCAGTTGGGCCCGGAGGCATCAACAACAATGGTTCTATGGGTCTTGCCTCTGGCACCGAGTATCCCAATGAACTGTATATGCCCAACGATTACTCCAAAAACTTTGCAAACCATATGGACATTCCACAAAGTAGGTGGCCTTTAGATTGGTGCCTTTGGCACTCTTTTAATCACTTTTCTGTTGCATGTACCTTGGCACTCATTTTAATTTATTTTTTGATTCTTTATAAGATTGGGTTTTTATTTTGCATACATCATTTGGATTACATAACATCATCATTCATTACACTTACCCACTAGTCTACTGAACGCATTGCCACTAACCACAGTAATGGAACCAAATGGAAACGTATCAAAGCCACGATTGATTGTCGAGGGATATTTGCTGATTTAACTTTGGTAAAAGCATTAAGCAGGAGTACTTGAACTGAAGGTGTAGTTAGATAAACAATAGATAGCTCGAGATCCAGTTGTTCAATAGGCCTGGCAGACTGGCAGGCCTCAAGAACTAATTTATTGAGTTTTTGAGAGGTTGCAAATTTTGAAAGATACTACAAAAGATTTAAAAAATGATTTTAAGAATTTGAACTATTTTACAAAGTATAAAAATTGTATATAAATCATTAAAAATTTATAAAACAAATGGGATCTAAAGATGGTTTTTTGAAATTTTAAATTGGTTAATGCATATAAATCCTGCAAATAGTTGAATGAAGTTCACAGAGTAATCTAATTGTTAGGTGCACTTTAGACGCAGATTAACCGATTAACACATATCAAGATCTAACTGCTTTTAGTATTGGGCTTATAAGCGTGGTAAAAAAAAAGTTCTTTTAACTGCTAACAAACCGCACAGTATCGAGAACACGCACACTCAAACGCATAATACCAAAAGGAGGAAGAGTATGACTCCTCCCTCACTATTCAATAGCTTGACCCGTCCCGCCTCTTATCTCCTGTAAATAACACCTTTTGAGCGCCATTAGCGAAGAACACACCACTAATGATCCACCATTGTCCGGAGCAGGCGGCAGCAACATGGTAATGCTGTCCACCACCTCGCTGCTCCACGGCAACTGTGTGTTTAACCGGAACAACACGGTGGCCACGCAGCAGGGCATGAAGACCTACTGGCTATGCAAGTCCTACCGTATCAGCATGTGCCGGGCGAGGTGCATCACTCACCTGGGCAGGATCATCTCCGCAACGGGCGTCCACAATCATACGCCTCACATGCGCGGCGGGCAGGGATCTTCGGCATCTTCAACGTCCTCGGTGTCTGGGACATCATCTGCGCCAATTTCCAGCCAGGCGGGTTACTCTCTGTCAGATGGCGGTGTCCACCTTGGCGTGGACTTGCAGCATGGCAACCGAGTGAGCAATATGTTTGCCAATCAAACGCCACCACCTCCGCCGCCGCCACCGCCACTTCCAGTAACATCAACGCCGCACCACCCGCATCATCATCACCATCTAGGACAACATCTGCCAAATCTTCTGGTGCAGCATCATCCGGCGCCACCGCAAATGGAGCAGCATGGCAGCTCAGCGAACCTCATGCACAATCCGAATCTGATGCACCTGCAAACGCAGACGCACCACCAACAGCATCACCAGCAGCACTCGCCGCATAATCCTCCACCACCCCAACAGCACAATTTAGAAATTGGTGGAGGCTCGGCCTCGGGATCAGTGCTTCTTTCGCCGGCGCACCTGCAACAGAGCCCGCAATCCAACCGTAGCAGTCACTCCCTCCATGCCCAGAGTCCACCACCACAACCTGTGGAGGAACAGCAACCACTCCAGCAGCAACAAGAAGGAGCCGCACCTGAGGGAACCACGGATCCCAGCACTGCTCACGTGATCAACTCCATTACCATATCCCCGAGTAGTAGGCACACCTTCAAGATGGAGAACATGTAAGGCTGTTGCCGGGGAATCCCCCAGCCACACTGCCCAAAGAGCGGATGATTAATTTATTTTTGTCTAGTTAGAGTTTGTAGTAGAAAATTTGAATGAATATGATTTGAAAGAGAGAAAGAGAGTAACTAATGTAAATACCAGTACCGATGTGCATAATGTATTTGATAAACTAATGCGAAACGATAAACCAAAACATACTAATGGGCGCTGTGAAATGAATCCCAGATTAAGCTAACCAGAGTAATTTTGGATGTGTTTCGTGGCCCTGTGCGTATATCAATGGGTATTCCAATGGCCAGCCACTAACCAACTAGAAATAGGACTACATTTTTAAGCACATTAAGCATTTTGGATTTGATATTATAAAGCATTTAATATCAGGTCCAAAGGGATCCGTAATTTCTTTAACAACCTCCTGGCAGGTAAGTGAAATGCATGACTCACATAAACATACATAATTGGGCTCATTCGTGTACGTCCTGGCATCCAAAACCAAAACATAACCAACCAAGGGAGCGGAGAGTTCAACTCCAAGCATACCCATCAGCAGGCCTCAGTCCCAAACCGATCCTCACTAGCCTTCTCGTCCTGTCTTGTAGTCGCACCCGGCGAGCACTGGTTCCAGGGCAAGCTGGAGTTTATGCTAAGCCAGCGGGGCAAGCCTTTGCTGGTCCACGATGGACACACCTTCGGCATCCAGTACGTGCGCAAGGACAAGAAGTACTGGCAGTGCAATCTGTCGCGCAAGTTTAACTGCAAGGCGCGCGTGACCACCACGGACACCGGCGACATAATCGTGACCAACAACGAGCACTGCCACACGGAGATCCGCCAGCATCTGCGCAAAGACTACCAACGCAACAAGGTAATGATGAACGCCCTTATCAACCTGAGCACGAATCACCTACGTCGTAATAATATGGGAGGTCTTGGCGCTCTGCCCATGGTACCAGAGGTCCTGGCCCAAGGCTCACCCATTCACGAAATGGTTCAAAATCTGCACGACATGGCGGCTAAGGCTTCGGCGGGACAGCAACATTATCAGCAACAGCAACAGAGAGCACAGGATCTGGAGGAGCCGCTGGACTGCGGACTCCGATCCGCGGCGGCTCTCGAAGAGATGGCTCGCAGCTTCATGGTCAACAACAAGCCGTCAATAGCCTTTCCGGGAAGCGAACCCGGCCATAGCCATGCGCACGATCCCAAAGAGGAACCTTCATGGAAGGGGAAGAGTGAGGGCGATGCTTAGACTTATTTTTAAATAGCAGGTCAAACGACAGTTAAGTACAAAAATGGAATGATTGCAATAATACTCAAATACACTAAAGACGGCGTAACCAAAACAATTCCAAAGAATTTAGTTAATATATAAGCGAACGTACAATCTACTAGAGCATTTTCATGAGTTTTTATCGTTTTTATTATTTTACCTTTCGTTAGCTTTACACTGTAATAAATGTTGAATTTGAATAAACCTTTTTTATACGAACTACATTAGATGTTTATCACGCGACTCAGCTTCTGGATGCGGTTGAGTAGCAGATCTCCTTGCTTAATGGTAGCCTGGTACTGCCAATTCTTGTTGTCCGGTCGGTTGGTCTCCACAATGCCGCCTACGCGATCCACTTTGGCATGCAGCCGTCCGGCGGCGATGAAGCGGGCCAGCTCTTGGTCGATGTAGTCCACGGTGACACCGAATGACTCAGCCATATACTGCAGGGTGAGAGAGCGGTACGACTCCAGCAACTGGGTGTAGCCCAGGATACGCATTTCACGGACATAGTAGCGGTAGTGGGGATGGATGAGGTAGTCGGACCGCAGCTGCTTCTCTACGCCAGCCAAATGGACATAGAAATTCTCGTACTGGCAATTGTATAGGGCAAAAAGAAACTGTTTAACGTCGGGCAAGCCGTGAAGCACCTCCTGGATCTCGGAGCCCTTGATCACCTTGTCGCGCAGCTCATTACGGGGCAGGGCGATCATGGCCACGTACACTGTGTAGCGCACAAAGGTGGGATAGTCCATCAGCTCGTAAGAAGTGAATGTGCTCACGGTGTCAAGAAAGAATGTGGCAGCCGCCTTGAAATCGCGTACAGCCACTGAATATACGCCCTGATAGACCTTCAGCCGGTTGCGTCGATCCCAATCGCCTCCCTCCTCAATTAGATACTTGGCCTTGTCGATGTTTCGCGTGATAAGATCGTGGTCTAGGTAAAATAGTCCCAAACGGATCAGGTGGAACACAATGTCCAGACGGTGACCCAGTGACACAGTCTTTTCGTAGGTCTTGCGGAAGGCAGTCTCTGCCGCAGCCTTATCGCCGATTCGGCACAAGTATTCAGACTTCTTTAGGTTCGCCTCGCGCACCTCCATCTCGCCCAGATTTTTCTCTGCATCCTCGATGGCTGCATCTAGCTGCTCCACCTCCACGCGATTGTTCTCCTTCATACGCGCCAACAGGTCTTTGTCAACGGCCCAGCCGAGCTCCGTGCAGATGTGCTCGTACCACGGGGCCATGTTCTCCGTGCGAATCGCCTCCAGAAGCTTAGCCTTCAGGGCCGCATCCTGCTTGTACTCGGACAGGGTGAGTAAGAATTTAGTCTGGGCCAACTCCAGGTTCGGATTCTTCTCCAGGCCCTGCTCCTCCAGGTTTTCGGCTGGCATTTTGATTTGATTTGATGGCTTTGCTTCGTAGAGCACAGACAAATAGTTAATTTTTCCTGAACAAAATGAGATTTTGTTTTTGTCAAAGCCGCAAAGTCATGTACGACGTTAAGTTGGTTGTGCGTGTGGCGTTGCCAGTGCCTTTTAGATCAGAAATTGATAAATGGCAACGTAAAGAAGAATTAATTAGGAATTTCCAAAAAATATCATTATATTATAATTTATAAAAGAAGATGATGAAACTATTTGATTTTTTATGTACAAATTAAAAATATTTTAAATTACCGAGACGATCTTTTACAATCAGAAATCATTCGATAAATACATTTAAGACCATACAATTGGTGGTATACGTTCTACCACGAACGGCCACACTAAAGGGGAGTGAAATTGATTTTCTGATAAAATTTTTCGCTTGAAGCTCCTGCATCGGACTCTTTTTATGTATATATCTTATATTTGAATATAAATATATATATTACCGACTTGGACTAACCACCAGATAGCGCACAAGATGATCGGCGGCCTGTTCGTCTACAACCATAAGGGCGAGGTGCTGATCTCGCGAGTTTATCGCGACGACATCGGCCGCAATGCTGTGGACGCCTTTCGGGTCAACGTCATCCACGCCCGCCAGCAGGTTCGTTCTCCAGTGACCAACATTGCGAGGACCAGCTTCTTCCACATCAAGGTGGGTGCCAGAAGTCCTTATGCCACATTCCCCTGCACTCATCTCATAATCTCCTCCCACAGCGGGCAAACATTTGGCTGGCGGCTGTGACCAAGCAGAATGTGAATGCCGCTATGGTCTTTGAGTTCCTGCTGAAGATCATCGAAGTTATGCAGTCATACTTTGGCAAAATCTCTGAGGAGAATATCAAGAACAACTTTGTCCTCATATACGAGCTGCTGGACGAGATCCTCGACTTTGGCTATCCACAGAACACGGACTCCGGCACCCTGAAGACCTTCATTACGCAGCAAGGTATCAAGTCGGCCACCAAGGAAGAGCAGATGCAGATAACTTCCCAGGTCACTGGCCAGATTGGCTGGCGTCGGGAGGGCATTAAGTATCGGCGCAATGAACTCTTCCTGGACGTCCTTGAGTACGTTAACCTGCTTATGAGCCCACAAGGTCAGGTTTTGTCCGCTCATGTGGCCGGCAAAGTTGTGATGAAGTCGTACCTCTCGGGTAGGTTTAAATATACCATTAAATATACAATTTATTTTAATAATCTTCTTTCACAGGCATGCCCGAGTGCAAGTTCGGCATCAACGACAAGATCGTGATGGAGTCCAAGGGACGCGGCCTCTCTGGTAATTCGGAAGCGGAAACCTCCCGCTCCGGCAAACCCGTGGTAGTCATCGATGATTGCCAGTTCCATCAGTGCGTCAAGCTTAGTAAATTTGAGACGGAGCACTCAATCAGTTTTATCCCGCCGGACGGGGAGTTCGAGTTGATGCGCTACCGCACTACCAAAGACATTTCGCTGCCATTCCGTGTCATACCTCTGGTTCGGGAGGTGGGCCGTACAAAGATGGAGGTTAAGGTGGTGTTGAAGTCTAACTTTAAGCCTTCGCTGCTCGGCCAGAAGATTGAGGTGAAGATACCCACGCCGCTGAATACATCGGGAGTGCAATTGATTTGCCTGAAGGGCAAGGCCAAGTATAAGGCTTCGGAAAATGCAATCGTGTGGAAGATCAAGCGTATGGCCGGCATGAAGGAGACACAGCTGTCGGCTGAGATCGAGTTACTGGAAACGGACACCAAAAAGAAATGGACTAGGCCGCCCATTTCAATGAACTTCGAGGTGCCGTTTGCGCCATCCGGCTTTAAGGTGCGCTACCTCAAGGTGTTCGAACCCAAGATTAACTATTCCGACCACGATGTGGTTAAATGGGTTCGCTACATCGGTCGCAGTGGCCTCTACGAGACGCGCTGCTAGGGCGGCCACCCATCGCCACCACGGAGCAAGAGTATCACAGTTGAATTTAACGAAATGAATGGAGAACGTGTTACCGCATCTATTGGTATTTCCTCAATCAAATTGAACCAGCAGTTAATGTATTCCAAGATTAGTTCCAGCAAGTCCGGACGACGCTCGAGTAGCGGGCCCACCCCGGACACCTTATGCCGTATACCGCACACACTGCCTTCGCAAGCACTGGTTATGCGGGCGGGTAGTGTTCCCTATAGACATACCACTAGGTACTATGATTTATCCCTACTATGTAATTGTAAACTATGTTGTTTTTATATGCGTCGCGGGACGCCTCTCAAATCTCACGCTCACGTTTTCACAACTTTAATTATTATTTGTATTATCGTATTATAAATATATACATATATATATATTAATCATTATTTTCATTGTGCAAAGAACAAAGGCGATAACTGCAACTAAGCGTATTTAATAGACCAAAACTCTCTGTCAACGCTATCAATATTGATATTCAAGTGTTAATAATATTCGAATTGTTTAATAAATTAGCATGATATATATACTAAACGAATATTATAGTTATTGGTAAAATTATTGGGATTTAATACTCAGTGCTGGATCAAAAATCAATCTGTATGCCTTTCACATAATATCGAACTGATATAGTAACGGCCAATAATAAAACAAAAAGGGTACAATTACAACCTCATAAATGAACAATATATGGCTTTATGATCCGCCACAAGTGCTGTCTTCGCTATCAGTTGTGCACATTGGTGCAAAGTCGGCTCAATCTAAAAAAGATTTAAGTCATAAATATATAGCTATGAACATACCTTTGGATTTCTATCGACTCCAAAGTAGTAAAGACAAGTTTCAAGCTATGACTCATTTTATATTAGTGATCTATGCGTTTGTAGTAAAAATGCCTAAATAATGCCAGTTCGCATAAGAGCTTTGCTATCGCTGAGAGCGCTTTTCACAATTTTCCATAGACGACAAATCAATGTCGGAATACTGACCAATAAGTATAGCAACCGCGATAAAGTTTATTCCGGTGTATCCATAAAACTATTATTTTCAGGTTTTAGCTGTTGCCATCGCCGGATAACCTTGAGTGATTTCGACATTCAGATATTAATTAATTGAACTGGAAATTTTAATAAAACCTTAAGACATCCGCTGTATCAGAGGGAAGCTTTTGCTTTGTTATCACCCAGCCGGCTTGGTCATCAGTGATAAGGCCACGACAAAACCGTACCGTCATCTTTTTCGGCTGACACGTTATACGTAACATGGATGACATAGTGCCCGATGTTCTGGATGCGGTTCCCGCTGAGACCATTAAGGTCACCTATGGCGATGGCCTTCAGGTAAAGCAGGGCAACGAGCTGACCCCCACCCAAGTGAAAGATCAACCGATTGTCGACTGGTCTGGTCTGGAGGGCAAGTCCAACCTAGTCACCCTACTTATGGTGGATCCCGATGCTCCGACTCGTCAGGATCCCAAGTTCCGTGAGATCTTGCACTGGGCTGTCGTAAACATCCCCGGCAGCAATGTCGATCCATCGGGAGGTTATCCCCTAGCAGCCTACGTTGGTTCCGGACCGCCGGAGGGAACTGGCCTACATCGCTACATCTTCTTGCTCTACCGTCAGGAGAACAAAATTGAGGAGACGCCCTCCATATCCAACACGTATGATAAATTTATAAGAAATTTATCAGTTTAGTAATACTAACCAATCTTTTTTAATTTGCAGCACTCGTGCTGGTCGTTTGAACTTCAACGCCCGGGAATTTGCCGCCAAGCACGGATTGGGGGAACCCATCGCCGCCAATTATTACCAGGCCCAGTACGATGACTATGTGCCCATCCGAAATAAGGCTTTTGGATAGATTTCTGTATATATCATGCCGTGTCTGCTATTCCCAATCAATAAAGTCTACCCACTCGCTTATCTCTTTATCTATGCATTGGGGTATTAACTAAAAAGTGCACGAACTGATTAGGGGACGTACCTCGTCCAACGATAAAAGGCCAGCCTACAGGTATCCGGGCCAGAGTCAACTCGCTAACGCCACACCGAGCAGAAGCAGCAAAACTACCAGCTAACATGGACACCGCCGGCATCATTCCCGACATCATCGACGTCAAGCCCGCCTCCAAGGCTACCATCACCTATCCTTCGGGCGTTCAGGTTGAGCTGGGCAAGGAGCTGACTCCCACTCAGGTGAAGGACCAGCCCACAGTCGTCTTTGATGCTGATGCCGGCTCCCTGTACACCATCCTGTTGGTGGACCCCGACGCACCCAGCCGCGAGGACCCCAAGTTCCGTGAACTGCTCCACTGGCTGGTGATCAACATTCCCGGCAACAAGGTGTCCGAGGGTCAGACCATCGCCGAGTACATCGGAGCTGGTCCCCGCGAGGGAACCGGCCTGCACCGTTACGTCTTCCTGGTGTTCAAGCAGAACGAGAAGATCACCACCGAGAAGTTCGTGTCGAAGACCAGCCGTACCGGCCGCATCAACGTTAAGGCCCGCGATTACATACAGAAGTACAGCTTCGGCGGTCCCGTGGCCGGCAACTTCTTCCAGGCCCAATACGATGACTACGTGAAGACCCTCATTGAGACGGTCCAGTAATCTGGCCACCAACTGATCAGCTCTCTGTGAAATAATAAATTTTAAATACTAGTTATCATAAAACATATTTCCCATACTTCTTTTGTGGTCGGAGTTTAGGGAATTTACCACTTCCGGAGGTTCTATGAGTGTATAAACAGCTCAAGTTTCTTTCATAAGAATTTTATTAGATAATGTTCCGGAATTACATTTTGCTTGAAAATTGCTACATTTTTCCGAAAACTTTACTGATATCACTTTAAAGTAATTCCTTGAGGGTATAGTATAGCTGAGAGATACGGAATATTCCAACATTTTATTGACCTTGACTCAAAATTTGTTTAACTGTCACTTTCATTTATTTCCTTTTCATTTAGTTAAGTGATATGGTTATTCTTCAATTCATTTCGACATGATTCATTAAATAGATAAACAATTTCCTATAGCTAAGATATGAATTTGATTTATCAAAACTATCAGTTTTCTTATAAAAATATTGGACCTTTGGACCGTCTCATTTCAGATAGCTACTTCCACTTACATTTGAAATTTTATAACTTGAACTACTATCTGTCAGTTAAGAGTCGGCTTATAAACCACTTTTAGTTCTAACGACCATTTGCTATCAGCTTTTATAAAATGTGAACAAATCTCCAGAGATTTCAAGTTAAAAAAGTAATTCTAATCCTTTTTGTTGAAAAAATCAGCCACTAGTTTGTTGAACTCCTCCGCATAACGTAGATGAATATTGTGCTTGCCTTCGGGGAACTCATGGTATTTTGCATGACTCAAGCGCTCTCTCAGCCACGGAATATGTTCCGCTGCTATCATGGGATCCTTTTTTCCATGGAGTATAAAAGTAGGTGCCTTTATTTGTTCAACCTCAGAGCGACAGAAGTCTCCATCTCTTTGATCATAGAAGGCGCATGCGGCATCCACCCACTCGGCCCACAATTGAGGGAATCGTTCTACACCGTAAACCTGTTCCATGGGCTCCCGCATTCGGGGCGACCACTTGGCCACATCCCGAATGTTTTTAAGTGCCTTGACTTCTTCGGCGTTTAGGTAGGCCCCTGCTCCCCAGATCGCCAGGCGATCCACAGCTTCTGCATGGCGACCTGCTACGATGAGTGCTGTAATTCCTCCATCGCTCCAGCCCAGAATAGAGAAGCGGGGTCTTTCAAGGGCCTTCATCAAATCGACGGCTGCCTGGGCATCTTCTCGGAAGAATTCCAGACCGAATTTACGTTGCGGAGGCACAGATTTGCCATAGCCCGGCGGATCCCAAGCTATGATCGTGTGCCCTGGCAGAAGTTTTGGCAACTGTTCGATCTGGGGCTTAAAATCGGTCCAGGCCGATCCCAGGGCTCCAGGCATCAGGAGCAAACTCTGTTCTCCACTGCCACTCTCTACAATGTTCAAGTCGGAGCCATTCACTCGTATTTTCCGCTCCGTGTGCACTAATCGCCTGGTGATGGAGGAACGTAAACCCAAAAGTCGCCCCAGATTGCCCAGCATTACGTAAACGGTATCGGACAGGGATTTTGGAGTATGGCAACAAACTTAGTTGCTTCTGAAGGGCTCTTCAGATGACCAGAAAATGGTTTGCGGCTTGTCCAGATCTTTACACACGACGCCTTGTAAAGTGGTTTTGATTACAGGTAAAGTTCCGCTGATAACAGCTGATAGATAAGAACAGCTGTAAGTAAACGATCGAATTAGTGTGGCTGTGATGGAATATTCCGCTGGTGTAAAAATAAATATACCGAAAAAGACATTTTTGTAAAAGATCTAAAAAACCGTTTCATTTTCAAAAACTAACTTTAGAACTTTAAAAGGAGATTTTATAATTGAAAATTATTCAAAAGTATTAGTTCAACGATAAAGCAAAAATTGTAATGTCCTACGTTATCAATAAGTTTATCTTCATTTTATATTTTTTAACTTCCTGAATAACATACATCCGTATATAATATCCAACTGTTTATGGGGTTTCTCTGACAAAAAGAAAGCGTTTTCTTTAGTAATACCGAAGTGGAGAGTTTTTAAAATATACGTAGCTAGTTCAAAAGCCCTTAAAAGTTCAAGAGCTGCCTGACTGCCAAAAAAGCCGCCTAATTTGAATTAAAGCTTTCCGCTTTCCCTCCAGCTTTTTGACATTACCAGTCCTTGTAAGTCCCCTCGTACGTCACGGCTTCGAAGGACAATGGACAACACGTGCTGGCATTTGTTTAGCCTTTAGCGTGCGTTATAAAATTATTAAAAAATGTAAGTGCCAAGGAGTAGGGTCCTGATCCCTGGTGTAATGGTCAGTGCGTGATTGGTGTGCTCAAGTTAATGTTCTCGCTAGGGCGACGATTAATGGTGGCGACGGCCTTGCATTGTTCCCCTTGACGAAGGGGGAGGACTAAGGACGGAGGGCAGAACATATACTCACATACACACGAACATTTATTGAGAGTACAGGACCACACATTCCATTGCCAATGCAAATGCAAATCGAATTTGACACCGAGTCGTCGAAGTTGCGTAGTAAATGTCAAGGAATTTACACGGGTCGTCTCAGAGATAGTGAGTTTGTGTTAGTATGTGAGTGGATGTGATGGTGTATGTGTGACCACAGGACACCCACATATACGCAACGTATGTATATGTGGCATCTAATACGCTTTAGTGGTGCAGGTTATGAACCTGCGTGCTGTGCTCTCATTACGCATGTGTGAGTGGGCAGCTGGTGTCCCTGTGTGCGTTTGTGTGTTAGTAGTACGCATATGCATGCCTCGTGCGAAGTAAGCGAGCTTTTAATTTTTGGCATTCCCACACACTACTCACAAATAAGGAAGTCCATTCGTTTTCCATAGCATACTTTTTCGGGTAAAACATAGAACAACCAACTGTCAGCGGTTATACTGAATTAGAATTGTTTATAAAGCTCCTTAACTTACTTAAAATCAAGGTTATTGGCATATACACTTTGCTTCTTCGGTCAAGTAACATTGTAGCTCCACTTTTCAAGGCGTCTAGGCCGAACCAATGGCTTTTTGTGAATAAGCTGGCGGAGCTTTCGTTATCCATTGGAAACGCTACGAAGAAATTAAGTTTGAAATTGCAGTTCAGTCTTGTCGTGGATGCAGCGCGGATCGATAACGGAGCCAAGAGCAGCGGAAGGCGCTGCTTAGCAAATTTCGACACACAAAATTTTTGTATCCCTCAAAATTGAACCGAAAAATCAGCAAAAATAAATTCAACCCACTGAAACAAAATCGCGTCGTACTATTTGCCAGTTCGAAATGGTTACATAAAGTAAAAACGACAAAAAATATCATTCGAATTCGACGATATAAATTGTGTAATTGAAAAAATCCAAGTGTGTGCAATCAATAGTTCAATCGATACGCATAAATAACTGATTAGCTTGCTGCGGAATCGAATAAAGTTAAGCGCCCGTTTTGGGGGCATTCAATGTGAGGTGCTTAGAAAAATTTTCGCCTACATTCGCGACATGCAGTGAAAATTTTTTCCGATTTTTAGTATGTACATGTACGTTGGAGCGCTCGTGGGCGCCACAACCTCGGGTGGCAGGGGTATCCGGCAAGCTTTCGGCCAAATCATAACCCCCAGTGTCCGTAGTACAGCCGTCGCGGTCGGAACAACGATGGTCTGACCCAATATCATTGTAAAATATGTACCCGTTATTAATTACTTTGCCAAACATTATGCAAATCAAGTGTACGAAATGCCAAAAACTCAAAGTGCTCAGCATTAAGGACCAAAAAACCAGGCGAAATCACAAGCAATAATCGGTGCAGTCCCGTTAACAGACCACAAATACCGTTAACAGTCGCAGCCAACTTTGCTTGGCCGAGCTTTTGCTCTCGCGTTCTCTCACGCTCTCCTTCGGCAAGCGCGGATAAAACGGATTCCCGAGTAAACACCAATACAAGGACACGCGAAAAGCTCGCGCTCAAGGACTGGAATACGCGACAGGAGATAAAGGGAGATAGAAAGAGAGAGAGAGATAGAAGGAGAAAGAGACACTTTACGTTTACGCGCGCAACGTGCGTAGGTGCCTCTGTGTGGGTGAGCCCGAGTGCCCGTGCGTGTGAATGAAGGCGCCACATAGTGCAACATATCAGGATAACTATGCTCCTGCGGCCATGACAGCCATGACACGGCCGAACATGGACAGGGATCAGCAGCGAAATCGAAATCCGGCAGAGCTAAGGCTCCTGCCCGCCCAGCGCAGCAGCTGTCATGCCTCAACCTCCACCTCCGCCTTCGAATCCCCGGACTTGCGGTTCAACAAGGCTCGCCGACGGCGGAGAAACGAGCAAGTGCCTCCCGTATTCGTAGAATACCGGCGATCGTACCGTGTGCTCATCGTCAGCGCTCTGCTGGTCAGTTTAGCGGCCAGTTTTGTAACCCTCAGTGCCGGGTTCCAACTGGATGGTTCCCAGAACTCCTTCTACACTTTTCGAAAGTGGTATACCGGACTGAATGGTACCCTTGAACTGGAGTTTAAAACGGAACAGCCCAACGGATTGGTTCTCTACACTGATGACGGTGGCACCTATGACTTCTTCGAATTGAAGTTGGTGGAAGGAGCCCTTCGGTTGAGATATAATCTAGGCGGAGGAGCCCAGATCATCACCGTGGGTCGTGAACTGCATGATGGCCATTGGCACAAGGTGCAGGTCCTGCGAAATGATGAGCAGACCTCACTCATCGTGGACGGGGTTTCGCAGCAGCGTTCAACTAAGGGCAAAGAGTTCCAGTTCGGCAAGTTCGCCAGCAACTCGGATGTCTATGTGGGGGGAATGCCCAACTGGTACAGCACCAAGCTGGCGTTGCTTGCCTTGCCCAGTGTGATCTTTGAACCTCGTTTCCGAGGTGCCATCCGGAACTTGGTCTATGCGGACCAGCCAGGCGGATCTACCAGACGCCAGGAAATCAAGCAGCAGCGCGACATAAAGTGTGGTGATGTGCCTTGCGACCACGGAGAGCTGCCTGCTCGTGAGAGGCCTCTTAGGGTGAGTCCTTAAACTATAATTTTTTATAATATTAGATGCGATGATTAGCTATACCGTTTTATTAATGAGAAACCAAGTTCACCGATATACCTTTTCTCGAAAATATCCCTTTTTACCTCACAACTTTTTTTGTTGGTTAAAATGATTTTCATTGACATCCTGCAGGGCGTTCGGGGCAACACAACCGATGCCTGCGAACGGAACGATCCGTGCCAGCACGGCGGCATATGTATATCCACTGATTCCGGTCCAATTTGCGAGTGTCGAAACCTCGAGTACGATGGCCAGTATTGTGAGAAGGAGAAGGCGCCATCGGAAGCAACGTTCCGCGGTACACAGTTCCTCTCATACGACTTGGGCCAGACGGGCGCCGAGCCGATAGTGAGTGCCCAGGATGCCATATCCTTTTACTTTCGCACCCGCCAGCCGAACGGCTTGCTCTTCTACACGGGCCATGGCACCGACTATCTGAATCTGGCACTACGGGATGGTGGCGTCTCATTAACCATGGGATTGGCCAATGGCAAGCAGGAGATGCACATAAAACCATCAAAAGTGCGCTTCGACGACCACCAGTGGCACAAGGTCACCGTGCATCGTCGCATTCAGGAAATCTCCTCCATCACCAGCTTTTGCCGGGTAGGTTTCTTTGAAGCTAAAGTTGGAACTAAAGATAATGGTTATTTAAACTCCTCTAGCTGGTTACTGTGGTGGACGATGTCTATACGGATCACTCTCACATTGCTGGCAAGTTCACCATGCTCTCCTCCTCGCGGGTTTATGTTGGTGGTGCTGTAAACCCAAGGGCTCTCTTGGGTGCCCGTGTCCACACGAACTTCGTGGGTTGCCTGCGTAAAGTGGAGTTCTCTGCGGATACGCTGAATCTAAACCTCATAGACCTGGCCAAGAGCGGCTCCAAGTTGATCCAGGTGGCAGGCAACCTCGAGTACCAGTGCCCCAGTGGTGATCCACAAGATCCCGTGACCTTCACCACTCGCGAATCACATTTGGTAAGTTGGAACCCTTTCTAAATGAAAGAGGTTTTACTAATAAGTATGCTTATTCTTGGTAAAGGTGCTGCCTCCTTGGGAAACCGGAAAGCAGAGTTCTATTAGCTTCAAGTTCCGTACCAAGGAACCGAATGGCATTATTGTCCTGGCCACAGGATCCAAGCAACCAAGGGCCAAAAACGTAAGTTGATATTTTAAGTTTTCATATGATGCGAATATAAACTTATGTAAAAATGTCCTGCAGCCCGTTTTGATTGCAATTGAACTGCTGAATGGTCACATCTACATCCATTTGGACCTGGGATCCGGAGCCTCCAAGGTGAGAGCCTCACGGCGTCGCGTGGACGATGGCGACTGGCATGACCTGATTCTCCGGCGGAATGGACGAGACGCCAAGGTGAGCGTGGACGGGGTGTGGAACGACTTCCGGACGCCCGGCGACGGCACCATCCTCGAGCTGGACGGGCACATGTACCTGGGCGGTGTGGGACCCGCCTACAATAGCGTGGCCTGGCCGGCGGCCATTTGGACGGCCACGCTGCGCCAGGGATTTGTAGGCTGTTTGCGTGACCTGGTGCTGAGTGGCAAGGCGATCGATATAGCGGCATTTGCACGCGTCCAGGATTCGGGTGAGTAGTGCGCCAGAGTAGTCACGCCAGCGATTGTCATCCATTGATAACCCGTAACCCAAAACCCGTAACCTACATCTAAAACAGCCTCCGTGAAGCCATCATGCCATGTGCAGGCCAACGTCTGCAACGGTAATCCTTGCCTAAACGGTGGAACCTGCTTGGAGGGTTGGAACCGGCCCATCTGTGACTGCTCTGCAACCTTATATGGAGGACCCACCTGCGGAAGAGAACTGGCTACGCTGGCCTTTAACGGTAGCCAGCACATGACCATTTGGTTGGGCAACGGTCAGGGCACCAAGACGCAGACCGAGGAACTGGTCATTCGGTTCAAGACTTCGCGTCCAGCCGGACTTCTGCTGTTGACCAGCGCGGAGTCCAACTCTCCGGATCGTCTGGAGATTGCTCTAGTGGCGGGAAGGGTGCGAGCCAGTGTCCGACTGAGCGACCGCGAAAAGGTAAGATCTTACGGAGAAGGTGCTCAACCTCACCACATTTGCCCTTCGCTCTGGAAAATCGCCTTTAAATTTCAGCCTTGGACTTATGATATTTACTGGATAATCTTAAGATTATCTATTGGATTCCTGATTTGTATTTTGTGGTATTTTAGGGGGTTTGATTAGTTAATTAACATATATATATATTAAGTTGAGCTAAACTTTTCTAAGACCGTTTTAAGTTTCTAGCACAAGTCAAGGTCAAATTGAGATTAAGGGCGATTTTCGAGAGCTTGGGGGCAGTATTCTTAGTGTATGATAATCCCCTTGCAGAACCTGCTGGCCGGCCAGTCGGTACTCAACGACAACAACTGGCACACCATTCGCTTCTCGCGCAGAGCCTCCAATCTGCGGCTACAAGTTGACGGGGCTCCCCCCGTCAGGGGTATGTTATGTATGTATCAACAGCACATCTATGCCCTACTACGTGTCGTGCCGTGTCGTTTTTTTTTACCAACCAACTAAACCAACCAATGAACCAACCAATCGACAACCTACCAACTCCCTTCGTAGGGTCATAGGATTTAACCCCCATCAGCGATTAGCTTCCATGAAAGGTGCTCCACGCACCACCTGCAGGTTCAAGTTCAAGTAGGAATGCCCCTCTCAGCAGGAAGGTGTGTGAAGGTGCTTCAGGAAAAGACTTGAGAAAAAGATACAAAAGGAGAAAGAAGAAAAAAGAAGAAAGAACCATAAAATAAAAGAAGGAGAAAATCAATAAAGAAGGAAAGTGCAGTCAGCGGCGCGTTTTCCTGTTTTTAAGTTCCACTTAAACTTTTTCAGTTGAGAGCTTTTCAGTTAACAACGATTCTCACACCAACACAGCCTCACAAACACGCACACATACGAACACATGCGATTACACATAAACGAAATGCAGTTGAAATACTATAAAAAAAAAAAAAAGAAAACCAATTGAAGAAAATTGAAAAGTATTTAGCAAGTTTATTTACCTCTCATTTCTCATGACACACATTTCTCGAACTTCCTTACTCGAATGACGAAGATGATGATAGACAGCTCTTTCTCTCTAACTATCCACCTATGTCTACCTTGCTCTGTATCTCTAAAAACATCGTTAAGCATCTGCAAAATATATAGTTTGGACATCATAAGACACCCGGCTCCACATCCACACCATTCCACACATTGTACGCCTCTCTGAAAGTTTGTTTCAATCATAACATACTCATGCGATGGGTCGGAGATTGCCCTAAAGTTGGGTATCCTTCGATTGCATAACTCAAATAACTCATTCGTAATGATTTTTTATATATTTTGCTCTTGTAATTTCCTCTCAAAACTCTTTCAAACATCTCGATGTTGTGTTTTTATTTGCGATACTTAATTACTTACTTACTTTGTTTGATTTCCCAATTACGATTGCCAATTAAATTCCAATTACAATTCAATACCAATTCCTAAGCCCACACAACGAAAGTATTGTAATCGAATAAAAGTAAATACGAAAGCAAAGAAAGTTGGACAGCTGTAAAGTTTCAGCCTTAAGTGTTATAAATACCATCTTATTGATTGTCTTGTAAATTGTTTTGTCCTTGATAATCGATTTGTATTGTTTGGTTTTAATTAAAGTTTTGATAATTAAGTTTGCCTTTTGTTGCGCTTGTTGAATAATTGGCCAAGGATACTCATTAATTCTCTTGCCAATGAAGCATTGTTATAAAATTTCCTGATTCAAAAATAATTCTTTAGATTTCAAAATCTTTGTCTAAACCTTTGGCCCAATTCAACATCCGAAAAATACCTGTACATTTTGTGTTTGTTTTTCTTTTCTGTAAATATTTATCTGGAAAAGAGTTTTCGTTTACAGTCCTATTGATAATCTAAACAATGAAAATAATTTAAATAATTGCTGTACCATAATATAAACGACACGTGCGGTATGTTAACGTTAAAAGGTGTTTGTTTCAGACGTCTACCGAATGTAGAACAGCGAACAACAGCCAGTTCTACGACTACAAATAACAATGTCATATGCAAATGCAATTCCCTTATCACAAGCGTGATCTAAATGACCTTCTTTCAAATAAAAAAGTGAGCGAGAAAAATACAAAAATACAAAAAAGAAAAGCGAACAAAGCTTTAAAAAATGACGAGAACGCAACGTAAATAATTTCAATGTACAATATCGTTTTTCGTTTCATGTTTTAGGCGAGAGAAAAAAATCGACACGCAAGAACTCGGGGAAACATTTTTTTGCCCAAATCGCTCGATGAAAGTCACGCTATTCGGCGAAACAGCTATTGGCCATTGGAAAATGGCATTAGCCGTGGCTTATTGAGACGAGAGGGCAAAACAATGTTTGAAAGCGCCCAGGGCTGTAATTTTGCACCATTTAATATGTAATTAGCTTTGTGTTAAGTAAACTCAACTATCGTAAACATCAATACAACAATACCGCAACCGCAACCAAATTGCAACTAACTAATCAAGCCTAACGTGTCTCACGTAAAATTAGATTCTTGTTGTGTAAGTGTGTCCAAAAAAAGAAATATGAAACACTTAACTGAAATGAAGGAGAAATTAAAGGCAGGCCATGGAGAAGGCTACACTGAAAACGACTTAATAATATCTTAAGGTTAATCTGTTTTTCAAACTAATATGTTGCCATTCATTTGAATGATAAATAACAAATGTCATTAGTTAATCAGACATAAAATCAGTTAATTATATAGCTAACCTAAAGCATTTTTTATTGAAAAAGTTAAATCTTTGAAAGTGATTTTACTATAAAACTGTGTAACTTCATTAGGAATACTAAATCTAAAACCCAAAAGAAAAAGAAGAAATTTTAGTAAAAGATCAAAAAAGTTAGATGTTTTCCTTATAGCCGGATCCTGCTCCTGCCTCGAACAAAAACACACACACATACACAAAAACTTACTGTCAACTGGAAGTCTCGCACACCTGCACAGGCACACACCCACACTCTCTCACGCACCGTTGCACAGAAACACACACACACGACCACGTGTGAAGCGTTTGCATGTGAGCACTTGAAAAATAATAATAATAAAAAAAACAATCAGCAAAAGCAATGAAACTATGATAATAGCCCATAAAATAACAAGCAAAACCAATGACTGTCAGTCGGAATGATATAGCCTACGACCGCATGACCTGCTCACGAACCCAAATCGGGCTGTAGCCCTGTACAGTGTGTATAATGTATATCTTTGTTTCGTACTATATATCGTATAACGTATCGCTCGCCATCGCATCGTATCACTCAGCCCACTCAGCCATTAAAGTGTATGAATAAGTAACTGTAAATGCGCCAAATTGCCAGCTGCAACAACAGTGCCCTACTTCGACTTCTGTCCACCACCCACCGCCCACTGCCCACCACATTGACCCCCTTCTCTTTCGCTCTCTCTCTCTCTTGCTATTACTTTTACTCTGGCTGTTTCTGTTTCTGTCTCTGTCGCCGCAGTCATTTGCATGTCAAGATGTCAATCATTCTCGTGGGCCAACGCGTCGTATGCGCAATGTGGTCGCTCGTTAAGGCTAATGCACCCTTATTAACTTAGACGTAGTCGCCGCACACACACACACATACACAACAGAAACACACACACACATAAACAAATCTCTAGGGCACAGATTAACACATTTACATCTACAGAGAACATGGACAGTTTACCAATACCCAGAAACCCATCGATGTTTAGTTCAATGTCGTTAAGCAAAGACCAAATTATTTATTTATGTTTTTTTATCAATTATCCTGGTTATTACCGATATAATCCCTGACCTTTGTTTAGTTACCATTATTTCTAGACCGTAGGTTTGCCTATGTAAACTTTTCTCATACTTTTACTTTTCCTCGGTTTACCACGCACAGCTGAGAAATGAAAACTCAAATGATATTATCTGAAATGTCACCGCCACCGTAATCGTATTGAAAATGTATCTCACACACCAAAACTAGTTTAAGAAAATGAAAAACTATATATTCCTCAAATGTCAACCAATGCATATTCGTATGTAAACAAGAACAAAATGCGCACCAATTAACCTAATCTAACCAACTTAGCGAACTCTTTACTTTTACTTACTTTCCTTTGGTTTGCGCTGTGGCAGCGATTTTCGATTATCGATTTCGTTTTGTCTTAATTAACAACTAAAACTACTACTATCCGTACCAGTACATTGTATGTATTGTAATCTGCACCTTTCTTTAGTATGTACCAAGCTGCAACAAACTAAATAATAATAATAATAATAATAATACTCCAATCGAAATCCAACAACATTCAGCCACTTGTCGAGTGAAAAATACAAAATGCTTGAAAAAAATCTATGAACCAACCAAAAAAAAAACAACAACTAGATCTATGTCTACTAAAACCGCATACCTATATCTATTCTATACTCTTATATACTCTTTGACTACATATGCGTATGTGCTTCTTGTCACCAACTATACTCCATATACTACTACTATATATATATATATATATCTATCCAAAACGTATATCCATATGTAACCAATGTTAACGGTACTCCGCCTAGTCAACAACTTAGAGCAAAGCCAATCCCGGCTAGACAAACCCCATGGCGAGGCCACCGAGTTTTATCCATTTCTTGTTTTTGGAAATATATCTTTTCACAGCCGAAACGATTCTGGGTCGTCATAGTACCATGGAGATCCGTTCGATTCACCTGGGCGGTCTGTTCCATGCCGAGGAGGAGATCCAGATGACCTCCACCATGCCTAACTTTGTGGGTCAGATGCAGGGCTTGGTGTTCAATGGGCAGCGGTGGGTATCGACAGAATCTATTTAAATTTTAGATCGCTATTTTTGCTTTGTCCCATAGCTATTTGGACATAGTCAAGAGCCTGGGTCCGGAGCTTTCAGCTCTGCCCAGTGCCACCTTCAAGTTGACGGCCCGCTTTGTGAACTCTCCGGCAGGGCAACCCTACCATGCGGCCACCTTCCGCTCCAAGCACTCCTATGTCGGCTTGGGCATGTTGAAGGCCTACAACAGCATTTCCATTGACTTCCGCTTCAAGACCGTGGAGCCCAATGGTTTGCTCGTCTTTAATGGCGGACGACGTAACGATTTCGTGGCAGTCGAACTGGTGAATGGTCACATACACTATACCTTCGACTTGGGTGATGGTCCGGTGACCATGAGGGACAAGTCCCGCATCCACATGAACGATAACCGCTGGCATCAAGTCAGCATTAGGCGCCCAGGACCCAAAACGCACACTCTCACCGTGGACGATTCCTTTGAGATCATTAGTCTTACTGGAAATAATATGCACTTGGAGCTGGCTGGTATCCTGTACATAGGAGGCGTCTTCAAGGACATGTATTCCAAGCTGCCGGCTTCGATCTCTTCGCGGTCTGGTTTCGAGGGCTGTCTAGCCTCCCTGGATCTGGGCGATGCCTCTCCCTCGCTGACTAGCGATGCAGTGGTTCCCAGTTCCCTGGTGGTCAGTGGCTGCGAGGGACCGACCAAGTGCAGCCAGAATGCGTGTGCCAATAGAGGAAACTGTGTGCAGCAATGGAATGCTTATGCCTGTGAATGTGACATGACCTCTTACACGGGACCGACCTGTTATGATGGTAAGGAAATCTTTGGAGAATCCTTAAACGAAATCTTCTCTGATTTAAAATCTTTTGTGTTTCCGCAGAATCCATTGCCTATGAGTTTGGTAACAACAAGGGCATGGTGCAGTACACCTTCCCTGAAAATGCACAGGCTGACACCGAGGAGGATAATATAGCCATGGGCTTTATAACCACCAGACCGGATGCAGTGCTCCTTCGGGTAGAGAGTGCCACCACGCAGGACTATATGGAACTGGAGATCGTGGAGGGTAACATCTTTATGGTGTACAACATCGGCAGTGTGGACTTGCCACTGGGTGAGATTGGGACGAAAGTGAACGATAACGCCTACCATGTGGTGAGGTTCCAGCGGAAGGGAGGCAATGCAACGCTTCAACTGGACGACTACAATGTACAGGCACTGACGCCGCAGAGTAAGTGCATACGGGGATGGCCTTTTAACGGGGGTAACCTAATACTCTTTCGATCTTTTTGAACGACTTGCAGGCCATCATTCGACCGTGTTCAATACCATGTCAAATGTTCAGGTCGGCGGCAAGTTCAGCCGGAACGGTCGCAATCGAATCGAGCGACCGTTCGCTGGCGTTATTGCCGGACTGTCGGTGAACAAGTTACGCATCTTGGACTTGGCCGTCGAACGCGACCCCCATATCACCATCCGTGGAGATGTTCAATTGGTAACTGGAGTATTAGATAGAAATGATCTGCAGAGAATGCAGCAGGTTAGGGAATTTATTTGAAATTTTATTTGAATTCCTCTCAACTTTCAACTTTCCAAGTATTTTTCTCATCGTAAAACCAAGTTTATTCAAAATTCTTTCTTTAATTAAAAAAACAAAAAAAAAAAAAAGAAAATCTAACCAAAATTATTGTATTAATCCGCTTCATGAGTTGTGGAACCCCTTTTCCCAAAAATGATTTGACATGATTTGATTGCACCTCCAACAAATTCGAAAACCAATTCGAATTATGTACAGTTCCCGAGCACAATCCTGATATTTTTGAAATGCATAACCGTTAACCGTATCGAATGTAACTACATCTGTACATTGAAGTCATCGTCATCATAATCAAATCCGGGAAATTCGGTTCGACATTCAGTACAAACGTTAACCGTTTCAACTAAACCAAAAGTATTAGCTAACTAACTGTATAATCTAGTGTAAATGCTGCATTTGAATTGACTTTATGATTTCCCTCGGGCGCCTTCGTTTTTACTGTAACGCTTTTAACGCACCAACTAAAAAACCCAAAAATAACAAATTATCAAAAGAGATTTGCCAGATTTTTCACTAACCAGCTACTTCAGTTTCCTGAATTTTATTTACATTGCTGCACAGCACATTAACCAATAATAACTGTGAATATATATTCAGCTATATATATATGAAATGATACGATTTACTATGCACTAGAACTCGTCGCACTTATGCTGCATGACTCTAATCAAAGCTCACATTAACATAAATACACATCAATGACTAGTGTGTGAAAGCTAATGGAGATCTAAAACTAAAAACAGTTAATCCAAATGAAACTTAAAACATATATGATTATAGAAAATGTAACAATAATATCAGTTCTTTTGGTCCTTAAATGGAACTACTTGAAAGGTCTTTTAAAAGTTGTTTCCATTAGTTGGTTTTCATTACAAATGATATCAAAGTACCTTCTATATAAGTTATAACCTCCACTGCTTTCATATACTTACACCCACACATATATATACGTAATCAAGCAGCACCTAACCAATTTACTAATCCAGTTAACAAATCCCATACAATAACCATCGCTTGGCCCGGCTGCCGCCAGATCAACTGAAGTAAAATTAGACTTTGAACTCTACTCGACAGACGCCGGCGAGTGGTTATCCGGGTGCGCTGGACGATTTGATCTTCTCGGGAGCCGGATCCGGATGTCGTGGCGATGACGAGGACGAATGTACGCCGCCATTCGAATCGGGAAGCGGGGATGATCTAATAACGCCTGTATATGTGCCGCCCACCAAGCAGACAACCACCTCCCAGCAAGGGAATAATTTGAGTACCGGCGGGAATAACAGTGGCGGTGTCATCACCAATGGCACAGAAAGGGCCTGCGATGATGAGGACTGCGTCCATGGATCTGGAGACTATGGGGAGACCACGGAGCAGTTCACCTCGACGAGCACGGCCAGGGGCTCAGGTGAGTGGTTGCAGCGATTTGTGTGTTGGTCTCATTTTGTCATTGGCATTTGGATCAATCACGGAAAAACACAAAGCAAAAGAAACACACCACACACACACACACTTCATTACAGACATAAGCTAGCCCCACTCGAAATTCAAGTTAAGTATACGTCATTAAGTATACGCCATTAAGTATACGTCATTAAGTATACGCCATTAAGTATACGCCATAGTAACGTAGAGAACGTGTTAACGATTAAGCTGTGGGTTCAATTGTGTTCAAGTTCCAGTTTGAGTTTGAGTTCGAGCTATAGCCTATATAATCGAAGCTCTAGCCCTACATATAACCGCATAACCGTTTAGCTAGTGACGCTTTGCCTTTTTCAGTTTTGTTCAATGTTCTATGGAGATCGAGGAAGTTAGGCTAATGCCAATGCAACGCCAATGCTTTGATCGCTTACACAACCACATTGAAACAGCCAAAACAGCTATGAATATATTTATATATAAATTATATATATTCAAGTATATATCGCCTCTATCGCACCCCTCGCAATGCATCAACCCAACCAGAAAACCAATATCAATCAACTCGCCGTGTCATCTTCAGCTCAGATCAGCCCAGAAAAAACCAAAACCAAAACCAAAAAAAAAAAGAAAAGTATCGCAACAAAACGTCGCCTATATCCTTCATCTCCACCTGTTGCTGATGATCGATTGCCTTCTAATTTGAACTGACAACGAGTACGCCTTATGTGTCTCTTTCAGAATGTGAAATCGCCTTCATATTTCTGACTGTGATCGCGCCATGGATACTCTGTAAATTCCCATAAGCAAACAACCAATGCAACCAAGCAATGCACTTAGGCTAAGCTTCCAACTAGACCTCTGTCTAACTGTATAACTAACTCTAGCATTAACTGAGAGCTAAACCACCAGCAACAGCAACAAAACAGAAAAATATGAAAGAAAGAAATGATATGAAATGCAACTACAACAGCAACAACAACTACAACTATAACAACAACCAGAACAACAACAACAACCACACCGATCATTGGCAAGGGTTTTTGGTTGAGTGAGGGTTAAGCGTTAAGCGATAAGGGTTAAGCATAATAGGCACTCCATATATACTATATATAAATATATATATGGTTGTGCCCCGATCGAAGATGTATATGTTTTGTACATAGTAGCGATAAAAGCAGCGTCTGCAAGTGTAAGATGTGATTTTCCCACTCCTATTCCTTCTCCTCCTCCTCCTCGACATTTATTCCCTCGATTGCATATAGTTCTACCGTTCTTCCAATTCAAATTTGTACATATCGTGCGAAAAGATTGATGGTCCAGCACCCACAACAAGAAAGACACACCTCAACATATCTCTCAATATCTAAAAATCTCTAATCCTCTCTAACTGTGTTGAATAAACTATGAAAAGCAAAGCACAACTGGCGGTTCAAATGATTTTTTTTGGGGGGAAGACATTGATAGATAGCTTTGCCTCTTAAAAATAAAGGAGACTTTTGATCAGGAAAAGAAAATTACTTAATTTTGTCTATTTTATTATTAATTTAATAATTTCTATAACATTATCAAGGATTCGTGTTGAAATATTGATATTAACATCAGATTCTGATAAATTTCTTACATTTTTTGGAGATAAGTAAAGACTAGATATATTAAATATTATAGACTTTAGTATAGAGGGGGAAAAGTAAGGTAGAAATGAAACCACAAAATGCACACATACTTGCAACAGACATGTAAATATATATAGAGCACCCACTTGAGAACACTTGAATAAACCCAAACCGACTGCTTGCAGAGTCCAACAATGAGATGGTCACGATAACCACCACCGGACGCAGTGATGTGACCACGGAGCAACAGACACATGGCAGTAGTACGAGCAGCAGCAGCAGCGGCAGTACTCCATCCTATGCAACTACCCAATCAAGCAGCAGCAGCAGCAGCAGTGGAGGAGCCAGTACTCCAGGACAAGTAAGCACCACTAGCAGCGTGGCCACCACTTCAACGCAACGGGCCACCAGCAGCAGCACAAGCACGAGCACCAGTACAACCTCGACGACCACGACAACGACAACTACTCAGGCCACACCGCCTCCAGAGATCCGGAGCACGGTTACAGAGCGGGACACCACGCCGTATGATGTTTATGTTGCAGGTGGCGGCATGGGAGGATCCGGGCGAAATGATCACGATCGCATGCAACTGCCGGACGAACATCATCCACTGCCACCGCTTCCGCCACCCATACCGCCGCAGGATCCACCACCGTATGGACCTTATGGCGGAAATACTTACAACACCAATATGAACAACTACCGACCGAAGGGCAAGGGCGGCAGGATCAACTCAATTGAAGAGGAACGAACTGCCATGATCATAGGCATAGTGGCGGGCATACTAATAGCAGTGGTATTAGTTATTCTTCTGGTTTTGTGGCTCAAGTCGAATGGAGATCGCGGCTATAAGACGGAGAGCGAGAAGGCAGCCGCCTATGGATCGCACAATCCGAATGCCGCTCTACTGGGCAATACCAGCACCAATGGTTCGTATCACCAGCAAAGACAGCATCACATGCAAGGTGGTGGTGGTGGAGCAGGACAACAGCAGCATCATGGCCAACAGCAGATGCACAATGGCCATAATGGAAACGGAAATGGAGGTGGTGGCGGCGGAGGCGGCATGATGTCCAGCGGAAGTGGGTCCTTGGGCTACGGCAGTGATGGGCGACCCCAGATGGCGGGCTTGGTGCAGCCGAAGGCCAAGAAGCGCGACTCCAAGGACGTCAAGGAGTGGTATGTGTAAGGCGGCATGGTCGCAGGGAATTATCGTCAAATTAGCAATAAATGCAAATAGTGCAAAGCGAAAGTGAGCTGAAAGTGAAAGTCCCCCTAAGATACAAACAGAAACACACACACACATAAGCGTATATAAATATATATATTTATTTAGCAGCCTCATAAAGTTAATTAAATAAATTAGAAGCGGACACAGGCGGACACTGGGTGTACAAACGGAAACGGAAACGAACGGAAGGATAATAATATGAAGAAGACGCCGTGCGCAGCTCGGTTTGTGGGCAAAACGCTATTAAGGATGGCTGATAACGTTAGCAGCAAGCAGTTAGAAAGTTAGACACGCAAATACTTTAGACGAGTGCATCTGGCCAGAAGCATTGGTTCACCCTAAAAGTAACGTTTAGATTATGCCTAAGAAATTATAGCTTCAACTCAAGACTTGCTAATAGATCTAACACTGGAGAGCAGCCACAACCATCAGCGTATAAGCATATGATAAACACTAAACGAATACAACTATATATATATATTATATATATCACAACGTTACGATAAAATTATGCCACTAGCCAATCAAGTAATTGTGTAAAATATTTCGCCACAAAGTATGCTATGAAAAGTTCGAAGGAAGAAAACCCAAAACAACCAATTTAACTGCAAAATCTTCTAGCAAAAACACTAAAAAATTTAGCAGAAACTCAATATAAACCTACTTAAATATATATATATATTTATATGTAAACGTAAATTAATGAGAGGTTCTGAATGGGTTTTTTTCTTCGCGTGTAAAGTTACAAAATGTGGTGCTGTAAACGTAGGAGACAAGCAAATTGGTTGACTACAATAATAGTAATAATAATAATAAAAATAACGAGGAATGCAAGAATTTATGCTACAGATTGTTTGTTGAATTGAAACCGGCTTTAATTAGTTAAAATGTAAATTGAGATAATGATAAACCTAATGGATAAATAACTAAATGAATTCAAAGAATATAATATGGAGGACACAGTAGATACCCACGATTTGGTTGACGTATACGTGATGCGACTTTTTCGTTTGCGTGCAGCAACTCGATGCGACTTTATGTTAGTCCCTTCCACTCCCGAGCCCAACACATATACTTTTTATATGTATTTGAGACTAAATATTGTCACCGATCTGCGTGCAATATGAACTCAGACATATCAAGGAAAAGACAAGACACCAAACACAATCACACACCAAACACACACAAACACACACACACACGCTACACTCTAAAACACTGAAGCGAACCTACCTAGCTTTTCTACTTACTACAACTGCTATTCAATGTGAGCGAACATTACTTTACCGTCGACAAACGAGGAAATCAAGCAACAATTTTACAGTATTATAGCAGCTTTAAGCGTATTTTTCGAAGCCAACGTGACGTATACACAATCAGCAGTCACCAAACACCAGCACACTCTCACACAAGCTGACACACTCACACACAGACAGAAAGAAGCGAAATTCAGTTTTCCGCATATATATATATAATCGTCTATATCATTTTGATGCGCTATATTCAAATTTTTGCCTCACTATCAATACCAATTAGTGTATCATTTTGGATTAAATATACAAAATACCTATATACACTCGATATACTAATACTAATACACGCACACTCACCAATCACTCACCCACACATTTACCAAAATCACGCATTTGAAACACTAGCGAAATTACTTGACATACTTCTCTCAAATTCTTAATGGAAGCCAAGGCGAGGTATGCTGTATATACCTAGGAAAGTACTATATATACACGAATATATATATATATTTAACAACTAAAAAACATATACACTGCATTTCAAAAAACTTTTGATATATTTTCGAGTTTTTTAAACCCTTAACTTGTATACAAAAAGGATGCGAAAGCAAAAAAACACGAGACAAACTAGCGAATCTAGCTGAAATGGACACTTAGGACAATTACAAGTACATAGCGAAACACAGTACATAAATACAGTACAGTACATAGGCAGACATAAAAAAAAAGAATACACAATTATATTATACAAGACATACACGCATACATCCAAACTATACTATTTATAAATATACATCTATACAACATATACATACTATATAATGTACGAGTATGATAAACGAACAATGATTATTATGTATTACGTCCCTTCGATTTGATAATGAAACCAAACGAGAAAACCACAAATTTTAAACGCTGTTGATAACCAAAACCATTCCCACTTATATATGTAACACTCTCTCCCGACAACTTTCTCTCTATCTCTTCACAATGTTAATGCTGCACAATGAAAACTCTGCATTTAAAGTAAAAAAAACCCTTAAACGTTTATTCATTTCGATTCAAGAGAATAACAAATTAAATATAACTAATTATACAAATTTGCCTTGCGATTTATCAGCGAGCACACGATATTGAATCCAGAATGGGAAATAATTATATCCGCGATACAGATATCGAATCGACACGCCCCCAAACAAAACCAAATTCCTTTTCATTGTTTCCAAACAAATTACATTTTATTAGAGATCAAAAGCAAATCAAGGTAAATGTTATGTATGTATGATATAGTGACAGGATGGATCGTGAAGGACGAGTACAGTTAGTTGTATGGGTAACAGTAAAATAGTTAAATCATGTAACGTAATAGTTCAAGGATGAAGGCAGAGCAGCATGTGCGGGTGGGAGCGTATATAGCGAGGATGGATCGCAAGTATCGGTACTAAAACTTACTTCTACTTAGGCTTAATATCATTGTTATCTAATCTATACATATATATAAACCGACACACAACACCCCCCACATATAACAGAGATTATGTATATGAACATGTATTGGACGCGCGGCGCTTGAGCTGTGCCTACTTATATATATATTTAACAAATTGTAACGTGTATGTATATGTAGCGGCAGTGATTGTTAAAGAAATTGCTTTGTTTTGTGTTAGATTTTATAATTTACGAGAAAAACAAAAAAAAACCAAAAATTGTAAAACGCATACAAATACAGAATGACTGACAAAACACAGAATTATAACATTGCATATAATAAATACAATAAAAATATAATTGAAAAAATATTAATTGATTTGGTTTTGGAATCATGTGATCAGATTTCTCAGATTTAGAATTCAAATTCGTGCATGATTTTCAAATTCACCTAAAAAATGAGAATTTATACTTGCTATTCAATTTCTTAATTGACTTAAAGAAAACTTTCTTAGGCTCGATTGACTCGATTTTCAAAAATCGATAATTTTGAGGTAAACACTTTAAAACTGGCGCCAATTATTCGATATCTTTGAAAAGTTTACAATAGGCGTATGACAGCTCTTCCTCACGCGACTTCAAGAGGGTGGCAGCCTTATAGAGCAGAATTCGCAAAGGTGGCAACCACGCGCGGCGACTGAATAAAATAAAATAAATTTGGAATTTAAGTTATAAGTTAAAGCACAAACAATGGCTGCCACCACAAGCTCACCCGGGAAAGCCGAGATGATCGATCTGACCAAGCTGAGTCCGGAACAGCTGATGCAGTTTAAGCAGGAATTCGAGCAGGTGAGTCTAGCATGTGGGTGCGAGCGATGAGTCAAGATGTTAGAGAGAGGGGGTTCAACGGAGAAGGGGCTCTGCAAATGGCACATGCTTCTAAAACCCCTTTATATTTGTTATCCCTAGGAGATGACCAATATACAGGAATCGCTGTCGACACTGCATGGCTGCAAAGCTAAGTACGCCGGCTCCAAGGAGGCCCTGGAAACCTTCCAGTCGAACTGGGAGAATCGTCAGATCTTGGTTCCTCTGACCAGCAGTATGTATGTGCCAGGGCGCGTCAAGGATCTCAATAATTTTGTCATAGATATCGGCACCGGCTACTACATCGAAAAGGTATGACTTAAGATTCGCCCACTTAACAGTACCATCTGGTTGTAACATCTGTTTTCTAAATAGGATTTGGACGGCTCTAAGGACTACTTCAAGAGGCGTGTGGAGTACGTGCAGGAGCAGATCGAAAAAATCGAGAAGATTCATCTGCAGAAGACACGCTTCCTCAACTCTGTGATCGGCGTGCTAGAGCAGAAGCAGGCGGCTGCCGTAAAAATGCTGCAAGCCCAGCAGCAATCCCAGACGGCAGCACCCCAGAGCTCCTAGAACCACGCAGGACAAAAGAGATAGACACAGAGAGCATTAAATTATTAAACTTATAAACGAGATGTGTGCATTTAATTAACGTAGTTTATTAAATTGTTCAGCTACTTTTTGGCTTCCTCCAAAGCCACGGTGAGAACCTTTAGCTTCTGCTCGTACGCGGATTTAAGATCCTGGAAGGGGATAACATGTAACTTAAGGACCTTAAGTACTTCTAACTCACCTTGAATATCCTGGACTGAGTGTCGTACTCTGAACGAAGTTTGTCGTAAACACCCTTAGAGATGGCCAGTTTTTTCTCCGTAAGCACACACTTATCCTGCTCTGCCTTTATCCACAGCTGGCTCTTCTCCAAACGTGCCTGTGTGTGATCGCACTCAGCAGTCTTCAGTTGCAGCATGTCCTTTGTCACCTGCAGCACATCCTTGACCGTATCCACCTGGGTCTTGAGCACGGCTATCTGCTGCTCCTGTTGTTTATTCACCTTAGTTTTCTCGAACAGCAGTGTTTTGGCTTTCAACAACAACTCTTCCTGTTCTTGCCGGGACTTGGGTGCATCTGTGCCGCCAAGCATTACAGACTGCTTGAGGGACTGCTCAAGCTGCACCACTCGCCGTTTTAAACGTTCATTTTCCACCTTAGCTTCCTATAATCATGGTCAATTAAATGGGTACACCCAATGGAAACGGGTCAACTAACCTCAAAGTCTTTGCGGAGTGCTCCGATCCGCTTGCGAGACTCCTCTAGCAGCGCTTGTTTTTCGCTTTCCAACGTGAAAACCATGTCGAGCAGTTCGTTCTGCGGTTGCTCCGGCAGATTCACTTCCTCCTGGGCATTGTTTGTGATATTGTTGTTCAGATCGCCACCAACGGCTCCCTCCTGGGTATTCTCGGCCATTTTATTAAAAAATAATGTTGAAATAAATACAAATTGTTCAGAAATGTGCGTTTTTCGTGCCGTTGGGTTGTGTTTTCATTTTGTATTAATAGACCAATAGATGCAGACGCTATTTATAGGATATCCCACTCTCTGGTTCGCTCACTGACTGCTCTTCGCTAGAACACTCTCCCAAAATAACAAACCGTTTCCCTCCAGTTTAGTTTACGCCTCAACAAATTGTGAAGTTCAATTTATTATACATTGAAGCGTGGATGAGAAAGGATTACTGATGTGCGGTGTTAATACAAATCGCGAAGAGCAACACAACTAAATTGTTGTTACAATCAAATGGGGCGACAATCGAAAGTGAGTTGATTAATATTAAATGCCTAAACAGATTAGAAGAAATGTGGTTCGCTCGCAGATGAGAATGTCTAACCGTCCAGCTCTCCAGCGGCGCAGGCATCGGCGTAGCTCTTGCCGCTCTTGTCCTCCGGATTCAGCTTAATCATGTCGTCAATACGCAAAATTGTGATGGCGGCCTCCGTGGCAAACTTCAGCGACTTGATCTTTGACATAGCCGGCTCTAAAACACCAGCTTTCTTGTTGTCCCTGACCAAACCCTCGATGAGATCCAGACCGGTCCACTTGAGGTCAGATCGCTCGGGCTTTGTCTGGCTGGAGTTGTGGTAGGAGCGCAGCTTGGCTACCAGATCCGTGGCATCCTTGGCCGCGTTCACGGACAATGTTTTAGGAATGACCAGCAGCGACTTGGCGAACTCGGCAATGGCCAGTTGTTCGCGGGAAGCCAGCGAGGTGGCGAAGTTCTCCAAGTAGATTGATAGGGCAGCCTCCACGCAACCGCCTCCAGCAACCACCTTCTTGCTCTCCAGCACACGCTTAACCACGCACAGGGCGTCGTGTACGGAGCGTTCCATCTCATCACAGTAGAAGTCGTTGGGACCACGCAGTATAATGGAAGCAGCAGCGCTAAAAAATTAATTAAAATGTAAGTTTGGTAACAAATTATTTTCAGGTGATCGTATCTTACCGAGCCTTTGTACCCTTAATAAGGATAAGCTCATCATCGCAGATGCGCTCCTGAGCCACCTCGGCGGCCTCACCCACCATAGAAGCATCGAAGCTCTCCTCGCCATCCATGTTGGTCAGAGAAGTGAGGAAGGCGGCCCCGGTGGCCTTTGCAATGATCTTGAGATCACTCTTCTTCACGCGACGCACAGCCATGGCTCCAGCCTCAACAAAATACTTCATGCACAGATCATCAACTCCGCCACTAACTAGAACTACATTAACTCCGGTGCCCAGGATCATGTTGATGCGCTCCTTGGTGATGTCTAGCTCGCGGGCACGAATGGCCTCAAGCTTGTCGGGATCGTTGATCAACACCTGGACGCCCATCTTCATCTTGGTCTTTTGCAGCGAAAAGTCCAGGCAGGCAATCTTAGCGTTCACAATCTTCTTGGGCATCTGCTGGGAGGCAATGGTGCAGTTCAAGGCGTAGCCAGGAATCAGCACGGATTCCCTGGCTGACTTGCCATGGGCCTTTAGGACATTGATGGCTTTGATCGAGTAAGCTGCCTGACCGCGGGGATCTGTGATCTTCACCGACTGGGCAGCGTCCACAACCATGGCGGAGAAGAACTCTGCATCAGCACCAATAATCTTGGAGCTCATCGAGGTCTTGGCAATGTTGATCAAGGAATCACGACCTAGCTCATCTACGGGTGCGGTAAGATGCTCCGAAATGTACTTGCAGGCTTCCTTGCAAGCAATGCGGTAGCCCGAGATGATGGAAGTAGGGTGGATTTTCTGCTTGACCAGCTCGTCGGCGTTTTTCAGCAGCTCGGCAGCCAGGATAACCACAGAGGTGGTGCCATCGCCGACTTCTTCATCCTGCAGCTGAGCCAGCTCAACCAGGACCCTTAAAATTACCAAAAACCAGAGAATTAATTTTGCGTTGAATGGGGATAATTGATCTATAACTTACTTGGCAGCCGGATGCTCCACTTCCAGCAGGCGCAGAATAGTGGCTCCATCGTTGGTCACTGTGACATCACCGATATCGTCTACCAGCATCTTGTCCAGGCCTACGGGACCCAGCGAGCTCTTTACAATGTTCGATATGGACAGAGCAGCCATAACTGGAAAGATATGGAATCACAGTTGCAGTCATAACCTCAATTTACAGGAGCCTGTTCCTGAGAGCTTCTAACTCTTCAAGTTTAATTTTCGTTTTTGGTAAAGCAATTCATAGAATACGAAAACTCCCCCCCGATTTTGTTCCCGAACGTTCTCTGTACAAAGCATGACCGCCTGATGAGTAAGAAACGTGCTCTGCCGGCAGACGCACCGCAGATGTTGACAAAACCTTGGGATTCTTACCGTTCTGTGTGCGCACCGATGCGCCGGACTGGCGGGTGCCAGCAATGGACAAAGGAGAGGCCAAGGTCGACATATTCTTCTGGTTTTCCGCGACTTTTAATAAAAAACGAGATAAATCAAATACGCTGAAAAACCGCACGTTAAACCGCCTGACTCACTTCTCTTTTTGAGGGGGGCGCTTAGAGATGGAAACGGTGAACACGAAACGATGTATATTCGATATTATCGACGTTACCAGATCGTTTACTTTAGATTGAACATATACACATAAATCAAAAAGCTTTAACTTGAAATGATAACTGTATATCCGTTTATAAAATATAAGGTATCTTAGCGGTTGCTGGACATTTAACATGACCAACAAAATATCAATGTTATCGATGACTATCGCGATTTTTGATTCACAGACTTTTTACGGGAGCCCTGGTAAACGATATCGTGGTAACGCTTATTTAAATTGAACACGGTTTGAAATTCAATTTGAGGGAACTTTTTAGAAACATAGTTAGAAACTAAATAACGTTTTTAATTCGAAGCTTCAGAAATTTGGATTTTCAGTAGGCTGTGAATACGATTTCGTACTTGAATCTCAAATAACAGACAAGTCTCATTTCTTTCATAGAAGTCAACAAAACAAGTGAATAACTATTTTTCTAAATATTTATTTTAAAATTTTTGTAGTACTTCACATTTTGAGTAAGATACTAAATAGATAAAAATGTTCTGCTATTACTTAAATATATTTTTTTTAAATAGGCTAGTGATGTCGTCCTGGGGAGCGCGTCCCAAAAAACCCATGAGTTCCTATCTGATGTGGATGAATTCTTCCGGGCGTGAGCATATCAAGTCGGAGCAGCCAAACTTAACCATTGCAGAAGTGGCTGTGAAGGGCGGTGAATTGTGGCGCAACATGACGATTGAAGATAAGACCATATGGCAGGAATCTGCTTCCGTAGCCATGGTAAAATATAAGGACGACTTGGAACAGTGGAAGCACCAAGAGGGATTGGAACGTAGCTATAGCCAATGTGGAGATGGAATTAAAGATCGTTCGCCTCAATTTCTGGATAGCTCGTCCCTTGTTTTTAGCGACACGAAGAATCAGACTTCTTCGAGCTGCACAGCGCGTCCCAAGAAACCCATGAGTTCCTATCTGATGTGGATGAATTCTTGCGGCCGTAAGCAAATAAAATCCGAGCAGCCAGATTTAGGCTTCAAAGAAGTGGCTGTGAAGGGCGGTGAATTGTGGCACAGTATGTCGGCCGAAGATAAGTCTGTCTGGCAGGAGGCGGCCACTACAGCGATGGCAAAATATAAGGAGGTGGTGAAGCTGCAGAAGAGCCAGGAAGCGTTGGAACTTAATAACCAATTCGGTGGTAACGTGAATGGAGATGAAGATCCATTATTACAGTCCACACTCTTTGTGTACGACTCCACAGATAAGTGTTTTTATCCAATCTGCAAGGACTGTTTCCAAAAATGTCAGTGTTCTCATTAGAGGCTTTTTAGTATTTGTACACTTATAAATGATGAACTAAAATAAAAAAAGGGTTAAGCCCATATTCCGCATTTCTGATAAGGGGTACCATCATCAATTTTTGGAGTATTGGCCAAATATGGACTTTTCAAGGCAGGAATGCAGTTCTACTAGAATTTAAATTACGTGCAGAACGATGTGTAACATTCCATATTTGAACTATTATGGGTCAAAATATTGACATTTGTTTACGTTAAGGTGGATAAATATTTCTAACTAAAGCTTGACGATATCGGCTTTTAAGCTATTAATTGGTCTAAGCAATACGTTCAGCTAAATGAATGTAAAGCTGCTGCATGCTTTCTTAAATTTGAATACCTTTAAATAATTATAAAAAACAAAATACTAGACCGAGCTGAATTTGCTAAAAAAAACTTTTTATAATCAAGAGATAATTCGGGATTTTTCGGCAATGTTAAATACAAACCGCCATTTCAGACTGAAATATTTCTAAGCTATCAGTAATATTTCGAGTGTCTGCGATGGAGGAACGTCTTTATAAAATGAAGTCCCGTTTCGTTTTGTTTTTGTCGGCTTTGCTATTGACTAAGCTATCACTTATCGATGCAGCCCCAGCTAAAGATTACTCACACGTGGTCAAGGTCATTGTCGATCATTACAATAATCTAAAACAAGCAGCCGACCAAAGCGATCAAATGATTGCAAATATAAATATTTTGTCAAAAATGTTTGAAGACATGCAGAATGAGCTGAAATATGCTGATGTGCAAGTCGAATTGAAAAACAAAATAATAAGTGGCCGAGATGAAGAAATCGGTAAACTACATCAGAACATAGATGAAAAAGAAAAGAAGACAGGCGAAGAGATTTTGTTAATTAGGGAAGAACTAAACGCTTCAATAGCGCAAAGAAATACACTGACTAAAGCCAATCAGAACTTGCAGAGTGATTTGGAAATTGCTAAAGATGATATTAAAGAGAAAGAGAGAGAGATTAATATAAAAAACAAAGAAATCTTAAACCAAAGTGAACTGCTCAAAAATAAAGAAGTTATCATTGAAGCTCTTAACGCTCAGATAGTTTCTAAAGATTCCGAAATTAAAAGACTAAACGATTTGTTAAATGGAATCAAGATATATTTATTTGGTCCGAAGACTGAAAAGCTTGCCAACAGTATTTGAGCTGAATGCTAAAATCTTGGATTCCTAGGTCCGTGGATACTTATATTTTACAAAAATTCAAAATATGTATAACGCCCTTATTTTAATTTCAGTTCTGTAAACTAAGAAGTAATAGACAGAAGAGACCATACATAAAATGGAATAAAGGATTGTTTAAGTCGTTAAATATAATTTAGATTACTAATCAAAAATATTCGAATATGACAAACAATTGTATTTGTTAAACACTTTGTTATACCAGTAGACTTTGAAATTGTTCTCGTAGTCAAAGGTTCCCGAATCTATACAATTCTCATTTCTATTCTGGAACTCAACCATACAAAGTCAAAACTATTTTATTTATTATTTTTAAAACTTGGTAAAGCGAAACTGTTAAATTAGTACTACTTTCATAGACCAACAATGTCGTCTTGCGGACCGCGTCCCAAAAAACCCATGAGTTCCTACTTGTTGTGGTTAAATTTTTCCGGCCGTATGCAGATCAAATCGGAGCAGCCAGAGTTAAGCGTCAAAGAAGTGGCTGTGAAGGGCGGTGAATTGTGGCGCAGCATGTCGGTGGAAGAAAAAGCCTTCTGGCAGAAGTCTGCTTCCGTGGCTATGGAGAAATATAAGGAGGAGTTGGGGCAGTGGAATTGCCAAGCGGGAGCGGGCCTTCAGAATCAGCAATTTGTATTAAGCTGTAGTCAATGTTCAGATGGTGATAATGATCCTTCGTCTTCTCAATTGCTGGATGTCTCGGGGTCGTCCCTTGTTATGAACAACAACCAGAATCAACGTATCAAGAAACCCGTGAGTTCCTACTTGCTGTGGCTGAATTCTTCCGGCCGTAGGGAGATCAAATTGAAGCAGCCAGAATTAGGCTTCAAAGAAGTGGCTGTGAAGGGCGGTGAATTGTGGCGCAGCATGTCGGCGGAAGATAAAGCCTTCTGGCAGGAGACGGCCACCGCAGCCATGGAAAGGTATAAGGACGACGTGGAGCTGCAAAAGTGCCAGAAGAAGTTATCGGCGTATATCTATAAGAATCGTTAAGATGTGGTTGGAGATTATCCAAAAAAGCCCAACCGTTTTTCATATATCTTGAACTATTTTAAATTTCTGTTTTATTCGCATATACACATATGTAAAGCTAAAGAAAAATTAAATGTTTTGTGTTCGGTTACTATATTAGTTGAAAAAACCAATTCACTACAGAAATCATCTTCCGTCATCAAAGCCAACACTTGTATCGCTGGTGAAATGTATAAAGGTGATAATCATATGACATATAGTCATAGGAATTTCCAAGTCATTATTTTAAATGCCAGTTTTCTTCTAATCTGCACATGAAATTAATGGGGTCAATGGCTGGCTTTTATTTATTAGGTGCGCATTGCGATAATATATTGTTAATCAAAACAATTGGGAATGAATATATGAAAAAACAAATATTGATAATAAAAAATAATAAATAATATGCAACTGAACTTTGTATCTTCGCCCAGCATCATTGCCAGAGATTGTTTCACAAGTGCGCAAAGAAATCTTTCGTTTTGATTTTGACTTTGGCTTTTTCCCAGACCTTTTTTGCCTTTTCCCTGCTGTGTTAGCCAAAAGCCAATTTGGCTTTTTGTTCCATTTGCCGGCACTGCGTGCAATGTTTTTGTTCTGGCTGGCTTTCCTGCTTCGTGCAATTAAAGCTGCCAGCTCCTGCTCCATTTTTTCTATCCCTCCTGCTGGTTTCTGCCTTTGGCTTTGTGGAGCCAAGACAAATTGTCTTCGTGTAGAGAGAGTATTAACATGTGCGGACAAAGTAGTAGTACACTTATTGATCTCACTCATATAAAAATAATTTTTTATATTAGTTTTAAAATTTTTTTAAGTTTTTTTATAAAGGGAAATAGATATAAGGTTACAAGATGGTAAAGAAATCGAATTGTTTATTGTACTATATAATCTCATTTAGGGTGTACTAATTTAACGAATGCTACTGTGTGACTAGATTTAAGTGTCAGTGTGTTGGTAGGTATACCTACATAAAGAGCTACAGCTGATAATTGCAGTGGAAAAAGCAGCAGCAGCAGCAATGGCAACTGCCTCTTGCAATAAAAGTCACAATGGCGACAGCTCACGACACATTGCTTTGCCTCCCACCTCCCTTCTTCCATACTTTCACCTTTCCCGCTTTTTTCCCCCAGTGTATGTATTTGTGTGAGTGTGATTGACGGCCGGCGGGCTTTCTCATGTGTGTCGTGGCTGTAGTTATTGTTGAATTCAATTTGCCGTAAATGTATTGTTGGCCTGACTCGGCGCTCGGGACTTGTGGTCGCTTCTGTTGCCTTTGGTTACAGCTCATTAGCAGCAGCACAAACACAAGCACACTACCGAGTACTCTCACTAACACACACACACACGTACATCCCTTCACAGCACAGATAACATCCCTTCGGTTAACTTGATTTCAACGAGGTCGCTAGTGCGACGATCGCACAAAAAATGAGTACAGGAAATTTTTAATCTAATTCACAGATTTGATAATCTAAGATGAAATTATCTTCTTTATTAAGAAGTTTTTCTAAAACTTAAGTTTATATTGAATATACCCAGGAATAAACGAAAATCTGGAATTTAGAGCAACCCCTGCAAGAACATACACTTTGTCACATCTATACATGGATTAACACACAAGAAAATTATAAGTTTAACCATTTTTATTTAAGAGAAACCCTAGTTCAATAAATCGAGGCTGAACTGTAAAAACAACAGCCATAAAGTCCGGCTGTGAGCAAACAATTCCGATTGATTTATTGTCGCAATGGTTAATACGATTAAGCGATTGTGTCCGCAATACCAGTGAAACAAAAGCCCAGTGTTTGTTGGTCATCACAATGGGTCTCACCTGTACTTATACATATCTGTGTTTGTTTGTGTGTGTAATACCAGCGCACATGTGTGCGAGAGCTGGAGCTCAGCGGCTTTAATTGCCAGTCGGTTGGGCTCAGTTTGTCTCGCCGTGTGACTGGTGTGGCTGTGGATGTGAATGTGGAAGTGGATGTGGTTGGGATTTATGCTTGTTCTACATGCATGTTGTACAAACAATTTAGCTGTAACTGCGACACACACTGCCACACACAGATGAGTGTACAGCCTGCCTCAACACTCACACAGTCGCACATGTACGATGGGAACTCGGTATGCGTGCTGGACGACCTCCATTTAACACCAAACGTGTCATTTGTGGCCATTTGCTGGTTGCCGCTGCTATACACATACGTACATACATATGTGGGTATATATGTGCTTTGGTGCTTTACGAGGCTCTGGCTGCGTTTTGTGGTCTATTAAGTGGCTCGCACTAAACCAAAAAATATGCCATCATCTTTATGCGACTTGTGCAACACGGCGTATAAGCGTTATGCCTCAAGTGAGCAACAAGCGGCGGCAAAATAACCATCGTCCGTAAAGCTTAAGTTCCCCATTGGATGGCCACTAAAATGCCTGAGTGCATTACTGGACTGGAAAGGGGCGTATACGAGTATATAAACTAAAGTTCATTAAAACTAAAATCTGAGTACATCACAAATAAAGGGCAAAGACAAAGTTGTCATACACTTTACATAAAGGCACCGTAAAGCAAAAGGTTTTATTTATCTTAGGCGACAAAACTACTTACCTCGAATGATGGTTTATCTTGATCCTCAATTTTAGGACTCTAATTAATCCACCTCTCCTGAATGGACATCCCTATAATACCCCCAGGACCGAAGAGTATAATAAAAGCAGTGAGGGATAAAGGAGCTTTACAGCGAGGGATGATAGGGACAGGAATTTCATCTAGTTTAGGTGCAAGGTACTTGGTAAGAAATATGAGAATATTCATTAAACTTCAACTTTGTTCACTGTTTTCTTTAATTTTGGTTAAAAATATTGTCTGCTAGGCTGTTATTGTTAAGTGGCGAGAGGAGCTTCTAAATAAATTTAAAAATTAAACATGTTAAGCGTTGTTTCTGAGCGTAAATCAATGACTCTATGATATCTTGACATCAGCTATGTATTATTAGTATATGTCACAAACTAACAAACTGATTATTAACACTGATTCTTGGAAAGTGTACTAAAGGTACAAAAATAGGTACAACCACCTAGGCAATCCTTCTCATCACTATCCGCAAAGAAGATATTTACGACCCAGCCTGCTGTGCATGCAACAGGGCAGGAGCCTGAGAGTCCGGCTGGAAAAGCTGAAATGTCGACGGCTTCGCCCACGCCTGAGATAAAAGCGTCCAAGAAAACTTTCTCCCGCCGCCAGAACGGAAACGAAGCAACAGTAAAACAGTAAACCAAGGCAACAGACACCACCACTGCCATCGCCAGCCACATGTATGGGTTGCATGAAGCTGTCTATCTGCGCTTAAGCCCGCTCCAGGTTATGTGAGTGTATTAAAAGTACATAAAAAGCTAGCCTCGTGGCCTGGTGGCCTGGCACGGCTTTTGCTGTGCGTTGAAAGAAGTGAGCAACTTACCGACGAGCTGAGTGATGCACAGATAAACAAATAAACAAATTAATAAAAGGCAAATAATGAAACAAGACGGAAACACGAGTCATAAATTAAATAGCAACAGCGAAAATTACTTATCCAAAGGCGACTCCAAAACTCCAGACGAGAGCGAACTCCGGCGAACAGCGAATGAGATTGTCCTCTTTGCGCTGTGGCTGTCAATTTTTCGTAGCATACACACAAGCGCGGGCCCTTAACAACAAAAATAAAAAAAAGAGGAAAGTTTGGTAAAAGAAAGAAGCCTGCCAGGCTGGGAATATAATGTGGCACGGGCAACTGGGTACCAGCACGAATAATCTACTAGCGATTTATTTGAGACGCAGACGGAGTCAGAGTCAGACTCGACTCCGCTGCCCCAGCTGCTATTTTGGTTACTTCTTTATACAGAAGTACCACTAAATTTAGAGGTATGTTGTATTCTTGGGAAAAATAATATATCCAGTTTTCTATAAGAAAAGAAAAGGTGGCTAAGGGTAAGATTTCAGCCTTTTATATATGTATTTCCCTTCAAATAATACCTTCAACATATAAATAATAAATTCAAATAACATGTTTAGTAAGGTGAAGAATATTATAAGAAAATCCCGAAAAGTAGGCAACGGATCTATAAATACCCTTTGTGACTTTAAGGAATCCAATAGTCGGGTCACTCGACCGTAGCATTCTTTCTTGTTCATATTTCTAATTCTGCTTACTTTCAACCAAACGAAACCAACAACGATGGAACCTACGATGACTACGACAACGAAGACCACGACGACGCAGTTACTCGGTTTCGCCATCGCTTTCGGGGAAACTCGGCGTGATGGAAACTCGGTTCCTGGTCGGCAGCCGCAGTCGTGCGTTGTCCTTTGCTGCTGTCGGTTGTGTCCGCGCTCCGGTGAATATATCTCTAAAAAATATCCTGAATCACAGGGGCCCTCGACATTCTCGGAGCCTGTTCTCGGGCACACACCTGTGCGCTATCTCCCTCCACTGGCGAGTAACGTAAGCAAATTTGCACGTAAATTGCGCTAAATTATCTTACAACACAGCAAAAATTTGCCTTGGCGCGGATTTCTTCGCGTGTGCCTGTGCCTTTGCCCCTCAAATCCACTCCACTTCACACCGATCCCCAGACCGTGTACTTTCCCTGATGGTGGAAAATAATGTAGAAGGCAGGAAAAACACGAAATAACCGCTAAGTGTTTTACAACTTGAAGGCGTTAAGTTGGCCATCCTGGGTTTTCCGAGTTTTTGCAAGTTCCCCATGCCCTGTCTCGCGGGTCTTAGGCCAGAATGGCAAACAAAAATCTGTGTAAGCAGCTTTGCTGGCGGTTCAAAAAACGGGAAAAAACCTGCTAGCCATCAGTTTGTCAACGGCTTTAGGTCCCTTTTTTATAGTTGCCTTATTGAATTTTAAAGATCGCGGCAAGTGTGTCGTTTTACATACATAATGAGGCCACCACTAGCTATCCAGTGGCTGCGAAAGTGAAAACGCGATGGCATGGCAAGAACATAAATTAAAAGTTTGCCTTTTAACTCAATTAACAACTTTCGTGTGCACAAAAACAATGAAAGCTATTTACTTCTTTTTAGTGGATGGAAAGTTATTTTTAATTACCTACTCAAACTATTACTAATTGGGAG